GCCTGGCTCCCGCTCCAGCTGCTCCCAGATCCTGCTATAGCCCCAGTTGGGGTCAGGAATCTGTTCCTTAGAGCGGTCATCCTCCTCCAGCTGCACGATTAACTCTGCTTTGGTGAACTTTCCAACGCTCAACCCTCTCTTTTTGCACAGGGTTACAATGTCCTTCTTAAGGAGACGGGGACAGGCCATCACTCCGCTCCTCCCAAGTTGTTGTGGACTCACAGGCCCGTGTGTTCTCAGCTCCCCACGGTTTCCAGGGAGAACCCCTAGTGTGCCAGCCCTTTTCGAGGTCACCACCTCTTTGCCAGGGTCGAGCTGCAGACTCTTCCGCCCCTTGGACTGCTCGCTGCAATCCCCAGGGGAACCCTGTTACTGCAAAAGTCCTTCTCTCTCCCCGGGCCAAGCTGCAGGCTCCTCCGCCCCTGAGACTGCTCACTGCAGTCCCCAGGGGACCCCATTACTGCACAGTCCTTCTCGCTGGTCACACACTCCCAGGGGTTAACCGCCCCCCCGAAACCGCTCCTCTCTGAGCCTTCAGCAGGCCTGGTCCTCGGCAATCCCCCTTCGTGTTACTGCTCCCCAGTCACTTACTGCAGGAAGCGCCATCCACGGGGTGCAGTACATCCCACCGCTGCCACCAGTTGTCACGGAGTCCCTGGGCGATGCTCTGGAACTGCTCCCCATGAAGCCAGTCAGGACTCTGGGGCAGTCGCCTTTTTGTGAGCAGCCTGTCTTCAGGACACACAGCTCACACAGCTTCCACCTTCCTGGGTCTGACCTCGGAGCATTCAGCCTCCTCTGCTCCTCCGTGCGCTTCCCCCAGCGAGTCCGCTCAGGCGGGGCTCCTGGGGAAGCCAGAGGGTCCGGCACCCCAACTTCGCAGTCAGACGTGACTCTCAGCCAGCCAGTAAAACAGAAGGTTTATTAGACGACAGGAACATGGTCTAAAACAGAGCTTGCAGGTGCAGAGAACGGGACCCCTCAGCTGGGTCCATTTTGGGGGCAGTGAGCCAGACAACCACGTCTGCACTTCACTCCATGTCCCAGCCAGCCCCAAACTGAAACTCCCTCCAGCCCCTCCTCCTCTGGGCTTTGTTCCTTTCCCGGGCCAGGAGGGCACCTGATTCCTTTGTTCTCCAACCCTTCAGCTTTCACCTTGCAGGGGGGGAAGGGCCCAGGCCATCAGTTGCCAGGAAACAGGGTGTTGGCCATTCTCTGTGTCCAGACCCCTGCACACACCTGCCCTCTAGGGCTCTGCAATGATCATACACCCTTACCCCACCACCTAGATACTTAAGAACTGCATAGGGGGGAACTGAGGCACCCCCACAATATTCGGAGGAAACATTAAGAACAGGCCCACTTCGTCACACCCTGCCTCTCCAGTGCATTAGGTGTAAGGCTAAGATTTAGTCATGGGCATATTTTGTAAAAGTCACGGACAATAAACAAAAATTCATAAACTCCAGGGGTGCAGCTGCTGCTCTGGAGTGGGGGCTCCGGGCCACTCCCTGGTGCTGGGGTCGGGGGCGGGAGGTGGCCCAGGACTGCCGCTGTTGTGTGGGGGGTGGTGTGGCTGGCCCCGGGGCCCCCCGAGTTGCTTGGTCGGCCTTGGGGTCAGTCGCACCTGCTGGCTGCAGAAGTAAGGGTGGTCCCAGAAAGCCACCGAATCCGTGACTTCCAGAGACCTCAGTGACATTTTCTGCCCCAGGGCTGGAGCTCCCAGCCGGCCCCCTGCAGCTTCTAGCCCCTGCCCAGCTGCGGTGGGGGCTGTCACAGAGTCCCTGGGTGATGCTCTGGAACTGCTCCCCATGAAGCCAGTCAGGACTCTGGGGCAGTCGCCTTTCTGTGAGCAGCCTGTCTGCAGGACACACAGCTCACACGGCTTCCACCTTCCTGGGTCTGACCTCGGAGCATTCAGCCTCCTCTGCTCCTCCGTGAGCTTCCCACAGCGAGTCCACCCAGGTGGGCTCCCGGGGAAGCCAGAGGGTCCTGCCCCCCAACTCCGCAGTCAGACGTGACTCTCAGCCAGCCAGTAAAACAGAGGTTTATTAGATGACAGGAACATGATCTACCACAGAGGTTGTGGGTGCAGAGAACAGGACCCCTCAGCTGGGTCCATTTTGTGGGGCAGTGAGCCAGACAACCACGTCTGCCCTTCACTCCATGTCTCCAGCCAGTCCTAAACTGAAACTCCCTCCAGCCCCTCCTCCCCTGGGCTTTGTCCCTTTCCGGGGCCAGGAGGGCACCTGATTCCTTTGTTCTCCAACCCTTTAGCTCTCACCTTGCAGGGCGGAAGGGCCCAGGCCATCAGCTGCCAGGAAACAGGGTGTCGGCCATTCTCTGTGTCCTGCCCTCTAGGGCTCTGCAGTGATCATACACCCTAGATATTTAAGAACTGCCTAGGGAAAACTGAGGCACCCCCACACTATTCAGAGGAAACATTAAAAACAGTCCCACTTCGTCACAGGGGGACCCTGGAACTCTTAGCCGGGGGGTGAGGGGACCCGCAGCAGCCCAGCCCCTGTGGGTGGTGAAGGACCCCGGAGCTTGCACTTGTCACAGGTGGCGGAGAACCCCCCGGAGCTCCCTCCTGCCCTGGGCGGCGGGGCCTCCTTAGAGGTGGGGGATCCCGTATCCCCAGCAACCTTGGGTGCTGAATCCACCTCCCCGTTTTGTGAGGGATATTTTTAGTGAATGTCAAGCACAGGTCACAGGCTGTGAATTTTTGTTTGTTCCTGTGACGTTTACTAAAAATAACGGTGACAAAATCTTAGCCTTAATTACGGCCTCCCGCAGGGGGTCCCCTCCTCACTGAGGGCCCCTGCCCCAGCCTGGGGACTCATCCGGCAGCTACATGGGGTGTGGGGGAGAGGCGTGCCAGCTGCTGATCCCCAGGGGCAATTCACTCTGTGTTGCTCCTCTGCCCCCAGCCTGGGCCCCCTGCCCACAGGACTGAGCCTGGAGTCCCAGATCTCGGGGAGGGGGCAGGGCAGGGGTGTGGGCTGCTGGAGGTCTCCTTGGAGGCCCCAAGAGATGTGGGCTGGGAGCTCAGCTGGCCCTTCACTGAAGGGCAGGGCTGTGCTATCATTAACAAAGAGAGCTTTGCTCCCTGCTGTGTGGCAGGCATCTGAGTTACCAACACCATCTGACCTCCCAGTGCAAAAACCAGCCTCCCGCTCCCTCTGTGCGTCAAAGCAACAGACAGGGCCAAACCGAGCACCTTTCTGGGCAGGCTGCCCCCTAGGTCCGGGCACGTCTGCAATGGGATGGGCAGGGCCCCAGCCAGGCCGCTCGAGTTGCCGGGAGAGCCACAGGAGGACACGCAGCTTGGCCCTGCAGAACAGATGTCTTTACAGGGGAGGAGCCTGGCCATGTCACGCCCTGCCCCTCCCAGCCCCACAGTGCCGGGGGCAGGAGCCAGCTTTAGGGTCTGTGTGGGGAATCTGTCCCTCGTCGCTCTCTCCTCTCCCACATCCTCCACATGCCGGCAACTGCCTCTCTCCCTCACCATCCCCGGCCCCCACCATGAGCCCTGGAGCCTCCTCCTCTGTGCCACCCTGTGTCTCTCAGCCTCACTCAGCCCCGCTGAGGAACGTGGACATTGTGATAATATTCATGAGGCCCATGTGTGCCTCAGTTTCCCCCAGGCTCTGTGTTGCTGTCCGCTGAGTGTAATGGCATGGGACGGGGCGGTTGAGACACATGGAGACCAGAGCCCTTAACAAACTGGGTAAAGACCCACCTGCGAATGGAGGATGCAGCCCAGCTGATGGAAAGCGCATTGGCTGGGCCGTTCCCACCTGGAGACCGATCTGCCGAGCTCGAAAGCTTGTGTCGCCCGCCCACAGACACTGGCCCAATAAAATCTATTCCCTCCCCGACCTGGTCTCTCTCATCCTGGGACCAAGGGTGGGGTGGGGTGGGCCCCACCGCCCTGCAGGGAAGCAGAGAAAAGGCCCTGAGCGAGCTGGAGAACGATGGGGAAAGGTGGCCGGCTGCTGGATTAAGAACGGAGCTCACACTGGTCCAGGCCTGCCCTGGGACGGAGAGCAAAGGTTCAAGGCTGGAGGAAGGATGCAGAGATGACAGATTGTGCAGAGCCCTGGCTGTAGCCTGGCTGAACACTGGCTTAACCCCCGCCTCACTGTGCCAGCCTGAGGGCTCTCAGCGGCTGGGTGCCCGGGGACTGGTACACGACTACCTCGGTTTGACAAGGCTCCTGGTGTCGCCGTGGACACTCCCTGGAGCTTGGAGCCCTGACGGGCACAGGCCGAGCCCCCGCAGGGCCTGGCTGGGCTGGGTTTGCTGCAGGGAGCCATGAGGCACTGGACCCCGAAGGGCCAGCTCTGGAGTCGTGGGGGCCCAGTCCTGGGGGGTCCTTGGGGTCCAGCCCACTGCAGGGGACACTCCAATGGGACTGGTCAGAGGCCAGGGCTTAGACCAGACCATGTGGATTATGGCACCCCCATCTCCTGCCCAGGCTCAGCCCCCCTACCGTGGCTGGGGGCTGCCGTTGGCCCAGTGGCCTGCCCCCCCTGAGATGGGGTGGATCAGCTGCCACAGAGCCCAGCCAGTCCCAGCTGGGGGACTGGGCTGCGGACAGTGGCCTGAGCAGAGCAGCCCCATTCCCCAGACCCAGTCCTGCGGGGCCTCCCCTCCCTCCGCAGTGTCACACGAGGGGCCAGGGTCCACTCCGTGAGCTGCCGGGTACCCAGCGCTGGGGCCAGGACAGGTGTGCTCTGTCCCCCAGCCACCCCTTCCTGCCCAGCACATACCACAAGCAAACCAAGTCCCTGCTCCTGGCATGGGGGGGATGTTGGGGGGGTGTGGGAAGGGATTGAGCTGTTGCTATTTTCTTCCCATGTCCCCCTCCCACTCCCACCTGTCGCTGTCCATCCACATTCCCAGCTCGGGCTTCCGGCCTTCGCCACAGACCCAGGAGCCAGCAAGGGGCTGGCAGGGAGCAAGGCACGGCCGGGCACCAGCACCCACGGAACATGGAGAGGCCGGCCCTGCGGCTCGCTCTGCTCTGGGCCGTCACCCTGTCGGGTAAGGACGCGGGGCTGCCAGTGAAACACCCCCCCCCCCGCACCCTCTGCTCCCCCCCATTCTGTTTCCCACGGGGAGAACTGATGCTGCGGGCACCAATCTCAGGAGTCAGGGTGGGAGCTCGGGGCGGGGGCCTGACCGAGGCCAAGCCAGGAGGGGCACTGGGGTGATGGTTCTGGAGTGACTCCACCCCATTGAGCCCCCCCTCCCCCCGGCTGTTTTGCTTTGGCCAGGTCTCCAGCTGGCAGCACCAGGCTGGGATCCTGCTGCCCGTCCGTGCTGCGCTGACAGCACCCCCTCCCCACCCACACAGCAGGCCCCCGGGTATCGCTGCCCCTGCCCCCTGGAGCCCACCTGCCCCTCTGCCCACGGGCAGCCGGACAGGAATGACTCATCCCCTGCTCCAGAGCAGAATGCTCCTGAATTCCCCCCCGGCCCGGCCCCAGCGACGGGCTCACCAAACCCACCCACTCAGAACAGGCTCAGGGCCGAGGGATGGATGTGGAGGGGCGTGTGTGTGTTCACGCATTCATGCATGTGTGTGCGCACCCGGGTGTGGGGGTCAATCCTCTCCTAGGAAGATCCCATCCAGCTTCCCAGCCTGGCCTGAGGAGCTGGCTCCTGGCAGTCAACAGGAGTCAAGTGCCTAAATCCCCTGGGGGCGCTGAGCCGGGGAGCGCAGCAAGCATGGGGCTCTGGTAGTGGAGCGACTGGTTATTCCCTCAGCAGCAAGCCCCAGAAGGTGGGCCACGGCCATGCAGTGCCCTGTTCTAGGCTCCCAGCAGCCCAGTAAGACCCTCACATGTGGGGAGTGCCCATCTCACCCCTCCAAGCCATTCCCTCTGCCCTCCAGGCCTCTCTGCTGCAGCCTGGTCCATCCAGGGTAGGGCTTCTCTCCAAGTGGAAGGTGGGGGGCTGGGAAGTGCATGCAGTGGGTGGAGGGTATAACGATGCTGGCTTTGGTGGGACCCTTCTGAGAGTATCAGTTCAGGACAAATTGCTTAGAGCAGGGCAGTTACAGCCCAAGGATGGGGTTTCTCCACTTCTAAGGCAAACCAAACCAGCCAAATAGAGAGGACTTTGGTTTTATCCCACTGGCTAACCATAAGCCATACAAGCAATTCCCTTAGACACTCCAGTTTCCCAGAATCCCCACCAGTGCCACTCGTTATGGGGATGAAATAGTTATGAAAACCAGTACTCCAGTAAAAGAAAAGAGGTTCCCTCGATCCCAAAGGACCAAGCCCCAGACCCAGGTCAATATACAAATCAGATCTTACCACAAATCACGCTGTAGCCAATCCTTTAGAATCTAAAATCTAAAGGTTTATTCATAAAAGGAAAAAAATATAGATGAGAGCTAGAATTGGTTAAATGGAATCAATGACATACAGTAATGGCCAAGTTCTTGGTTCAGGCTTGTAGCAGTGATAGAATAAACTGCAGGCTCAAATCAAGTCTCTGGAGAACATCCACAGCTGGGACGGGTCATCAGTCCTTCATTCAGAGCTTCAGTTTGTAGCAAGGTTCCTCCAGAGGTCAGAAGCAGGACTGAAGACAAAATGGAGGCGTTTTCATGGCCTTTTATATTCTCTGCCTGTGGAAGGACCCCTTTTGCTCTTACTGTGGAAAATCACAGCAGCAAGACGGAGTTTGGAGTCACATGGGCAAGTCACATGTCTATGCATGACTGAGTTCTTTACAGGCCAACACCGTTGTTTGCATGTTAGTTTGAACGTTCCCAGGAAAGCTCAGATGTGGATTGGCATTTCCCAAAGTTCACTGTCAGTTAAAAGAAAAGGAGGACTCGTGGCACCTTAGAGACTAATAAATTTGTTAGTCTCTAAAGTGCCACAAGTCCTCCTGTTCTTATTGTCAGCTAAGTGTTTCTTGACTGGGCACTTACTGAGAATAGTCCTTTCTTAAGAAGCTGACCAAATGCTTCACTGAGGCTACTTAGAATCAAAACACAGTGAGATACAAGTACTGTACATAGCCAATATTCACAACTTCAACTACAAAAATGGTACACACACACAGACAGCATAATCCCAGCCCGCAAATCGTAACCTTCCCACAGACACCTCACACGACAGCCTTTGTACAATATTTGCGGCAAATACATGACATCCGTTGCAACACCGATCCACACGGTCACCGTTTATGCCAATCACGTCACAGAGGGGTCTCACCTCTGCTCCTTCCTGCCTGCTCAGACTCAGCGAGTCCCGCTCCCCTGGAGTCGTGGGCTCAGCCCTGTGCTTGCGCCCGTGTCCCGCAGGCGGCCTGGCTGTGAACCAGGAGGAGCGGCTCATGAACTACCTCTTTGTGGAGAAGGGCTACAACAAGGAGCTGCGGCCCGTCACCTCCAGGGACGAGAGCGTCAACGTGGACCTGGGCCTGACGCTCTCCAACCTCGTCTCTCTGGTGAGCTTGGCAGGCACCTCGGGGGGCCTTTCACCACTCGGCTCGCCGGATCCCGGGCCTGCCCTGGCTGGTGGAGATCCTTTGGGCCCCTCCGGCTCGGGTGTGTCCTGAGCCCTGCGGGTCATTGGTCGGGAGGGGCTGATTGCACCTGCATGGCTGCGTTGGAGGTAGCCCGGGGGAGAACACAGCGGCGGTCCACAAGGGCTGAAGTTCACCACGGCTTTCTGGCCCTCCAGGAGCTCAGCATGGCCTCTCTTTAAGGCCGGAGACTCGTCACAGCCCTCACCCTGCCTTGGAGAGAGAACCGAGCCAGTTACTGAGCCCCTGGCCAAGCCCCTTCCAGGCCCAAGGCCCCTCAGCTCAGCAGGAGTTAGCCTGGGTTCAGATCTCAAGGCTCCTTGGGTTTGCATCGGCACCACACGTGACACAAACATGCCTTTCCCAAGCAACTGTTGACCCCGCTGGTGCCAAGCAGCAGGGCTGGGGCCCACTCTGTGTCTCATTTCTGCTTGGTGTCCTTCCAGAAAGAGGCCGACGAGACCCTCACCACCAGCGTGTGGCTTGATCACGTAAGTTGGCCCCCTGTTGGGTTCTGAGTCCCCGGCGCCCAGCCACTTGGGGAGGGATTTCTCTGGGTGGGCCCCCAGTGCTGAAAGCCAACCAGCCGACCGGTGCTCGGTGTGTGTCACGTGATGCCTCCTCTCGCCGTGCCCCCTGGCACTAAGACCCGGCATTGCGGCACCCTGCCTCAGTTTCCCTTTTAGGAACTCCGGTCAGTTCCCGCTGTGGAGGTGACAGCCCTCCAGCCATGCCACATTAGTGAGTTCTTCCCCTTCCAGAGGATCCCAGTCTAGCTGTGAATGGTCTGTCCCCTTCAAAGATCCCTCGCCCATCTCCTCTGGGCCAGCAGCAAAGTCCTTCCAAGTAAAGCAGAACTTCACCAAACAGCGCTCTTCCTTCTCAGGGGAGCAGGCCCCAGGGCTGCTCCCTGGCCACCTCTAGAGAGCTCGGACTACAAACAAAACAAAACCCTCTATCCCGCCCCCATCCCATCGCAGGGAGCTCCAGCCTCCAGGGACACGCAACGGGACCTTGGGGCTCAGGGCACCTTCTCCACTGCAATGCCACCACTAGTGCCCACGTCTGGTGCAGCTCCCTGCCCTTTATTCCATCACGGTGGGCAGCTGGGCCAGGCTCTGTTCCTTGGCCTCTCCTCAGAGCCTGCCGGCCTGGGAACGGGAGATTCGGAGCAGGCGGGAGTGTGGGAGGGGGTCCCAGCCGCTGGGTGGAGGCTCCATCCTGGAAGCTTGATTTCCCGCAGAGCTGGACAGATTACAGGCTGCAGTGGAACACGTCGGAGTTCGGTGGCCTGAAGATCCTTCGCCTGCCCCCGGACATGCTGTGGCTGCCCGAGATCGTCTTGGAGAACAAGTGAGTCCTGGCCTGGCTTTTCCCAGAGGACCCCGCCCACAGCACTGCCTTCGGGCCCTTGGCAAGATCGTCACAGTCCCGCAGCTGGCAGAGCGAGGGCTCGGAGCGGGGCTCCCTCGCCTTGCGCCTGCCCACAAGGTGCCTCTGAGCCGTGGGGGCTGCACCCAGCCCAGATCTGGGGTGGTTCCAAGTGCGTCAGGGAATCTGGCAGCGGGTGCCCAGCACCCGGAACTCCAATCCCACCCCACAGCAGGTGCCATCGCCCTGGGGACAGCTGTGTCCGTGCTGGGGCACCCAGAACTCCAATCACAGATCCCACCCCGCAGCGCAGGGGTGAAAGGTCCCCTTGGGCTTTCCCACACACTGGTCCCGGCCCATTACTCCTAGGGACACAGGGTTTTCTGCACTAGCCCAGGGCTCCCCCAGCCATGCTGAGCTCCCCGTCAGCCCCGCTCGTGTCTCTGTTTGCGCAGCAACGATGGCTTCTTCCAGATCGCCTACTACTGCAACGTGCTGATCTACGACTCCGGCTTCGTATACTGGCTGCCGCCCGCCATCTTCCACAGCCCCTGCCCCATCAACGTCAACTTCTTCCCCTTCGACTGGCAGAACTGCAGCCTCAAGTTCAGGTGAGGGCCTCACCCCGCTCGCTGCAGCCCCGTGTACCAGTGTGGCCTCGGGCGGGACGCACTGCGAGTATCAGTTCAGGGCGAATCGCTTCAAGCGGGGCAGTCACAGCCCAAGGCTGGGGTTCCTTTACTATTAAGACACCAAACCCGCCAAACAGAGAGGACTTTGGTTTTACCCCATTGGCTAACCATAAGACACACAAGCAATTCCCTGAGACACTCCAGTTTCCCAGTATCCCCACCAGTGCCACTCGTTATGGGGACGAATGGTTATGAAAACCAACACCCCAGTAAAAGAGAAAAGGTTCCCTCGATCCCAAAGGACCAAGCCCCAGACCCGGGTCAATATACAAATCAGATCTTACCCACAAATCACGCTCTTGCCAATCCTTTAGAATCTAAAGTCTAAAGGTTTATTCATAAAAGGAAAAAGCTAGAGATGAGAGCTAGAATGGGTTAACTGGAATCAATGACATACAGTGATGGCCAAGTTCTTGGTTCACGCTTGTAGTAGTGATAGAATAAACTGAGGGTTCAAATCAAGTCTCTGGAGAACATCCCCAGCTGGGATGGGTCATTCAGTCCTTTGTTCAGAGCTTCAGTATAGCCAAGTCCCTCCAGAGGTAAGAAGCAGGATTGAAGACAAGATGGAGATGATGCAGCTGCCTTTTATAGTCCTTTTGCCATGTGGCTTGTGCTTCCTTTGTCCCAAACACAAGCTGCCCAGCCATGGCTTGAAAGCCTCAGAGCTCTGTCCATAGGCAGGTCCCTGCAGGCCTTGCTGAGTCACAAGGCATGTCTGCCTTCTCTCATTGGGCCAGCTGTAGAGCTGATGGTCCTCAGTGGGCCATCAAGCAGGCTAGGCAGTGCTGATGCCAAATTGTCTGGGGTGTCACCCAGAAGCATAGCCCAGGTTTGAACTACAGTCAGTATCGAGCCAATACCTGTAATTCTAAATACAAAAATGATACCTGCATACAGACAGCATAATCATAACCAGCAAATCATAACCTTCTCCTAGACACCTTATCCGACCTTCTTTGGCCAAGATTTGGTGCCACTACAGGACCTTGGTTGCAACAATGATCTATACAGTCACAGTTCATATTAATAACGTCACACCCCACCGGCTGGAGGCCCAGCCCAGCCCCAGTGCCCACCACCAGGCCAGGCCCAAAGAGCCAGAGCCCTTTGAAGTCAATGGAAAGATGCCCATCAAAGTTGCCCTGGCACTGTATCCTGGGCCAGATCTACCACCCACTGGGGCTTTGGATCAGCTTCCCCATGACAACTGGGGCAGCCATTGAGTGCCAGACCTCAGCCGGGGCGCACCACTCATGGGGAGCCCCCATCCTCGCTGGCAGCATGAGGCACGGGGGAGTGGGGTGGAGCAAGGGGGGGGCAAGCCGCCACTCACCCGTCTCTTGTCGGGCCCAGCTCGCTCCGCTACAACGCCAAGGAGATCACCATGAACCTGAAGCAGGAACCTGATCCTGACAGAACGCTCAACAAAAGCTACCTCGTGGAATGGATCACCATCGACCTGGAGGCCTTCACGGGTAAAGCACGTTCCCGCCTCCCCCCGCTGGGCAGAGCCAGGGGCTGGCATGGCAGCTTCCGGTGACCTGAGTAGTTTGCCCGGGGCAGGGCACTGCCCTGGAGGAGGCGGCTTTATCCTGAGGCTGTCTCCTCATGGGAGGAAACAAGGGGGCTCCAGGGGCAGAGAGGTCTCCCCAAGGTGGAGAGGGTAGAGCATGGGCCATCAGGGCACTGAGACACCGGGATCAAAAGGCATGGCAGGGCCAGTCCCATGTCCCAGGGTGCCGTGTGGGGATGTTGGGGGCTGTGAGGGCCAGTGGGGCCCCAGCAATACACCTCCTCTCTGCCCACCCTGCTCCCACAGAGAATGGTGAGTGGGAGATCATCCACAAACCGGCCCGCAAGAACATCGACAGGAGCGTCTCGCCCGAGAGCAGCAAGTACCAGGACATCACCTTCTACCTCATCATCAAGCGCAAGCCGCTCTTCTACATCATCAACATCGTCCTGCCCTGCATCCTCATCGCCTTCATGGCCATCTTCGTCTTCTACCTGCCAGCCGAAAGTGAGTGCGGGGTCCCCCATCTCACCCCCAGGGAGTGCAGGCCTCCCCCATCCCAACCCCAGGGAGCATGGGGTCCTCACCCCCCAGGGAGTACAGAGCTCCCACATCCCACCTCCAGGGAATGCAGGGTCCTCACCCGCCCCAGGGAGTACAGGGACCCCCATCCGACCCCCAGTGAGACCACCACCCCAAGGGAGTACAGGGTCCCCCATCTCACCTCCTGTGAGTACAGGGCTCCCCCCCGAGTGAGTATGGGGACCACCATCCCACCCCCAGTGAGTGCAGGACCCCCACCCCAAGGGAGTACAGGGTTGCTCCTACAGTGAGTACACAGACCCCCCCAACACACCCCCACTGAGTGCAGGATCCTGACCCCCCCACAGTGAGTACTGGGTCTCCCCCAACCATGAGTACCCAGCTGGGCAGGGAGAGCCTTCTACCCCCCGATACTGACAGTGAGGATTTGGCAAGGCCAAGCCCCACCCATGCTGAGCACCTGCCCCCGTTTGTGCCTTCGGGCTCAGATTCCTCCCCAGTGGAGCTGCTGTTCCCTTGGCCAGAGCTCCCCCAGGAAGGTGGCTGGAAACGCACAGGCCTGCATTGTGTCAGGTAGGGATCAGAGCTGGCATCCCGGGTGTCATGGGGTTCGTGAGCCGGGAGCAGTTCCTGGGGGGGGGAGGGGCTCCATCTCCTTGGATCCCCTCTTTCCCTAGGGGTCTTCCCACTGGGCTGATGGGGAGCAGAGGGGGTGTTACTCTGAGCTCTGTCTGTTCTCCAGGTGGGGAGAAGATGACTCTGGCTATCTCCGTCCTGCTGGCCCAGTCTGTCTTCCTGCTGCTGATCTCCCAGCGCCTGCCAGCCACCTCCCTCGCCATCCCCCTCATTGGCAAGTGAGTCTCCATGGGTTGCCCCACGTGCCCCGCTGGCCCGCTCTGCTTGCTGGGGATGCTGGAACGGGGATGCTGGGTGTCCCGTGGCTGGTGGAGGTGGCTGGTCCCTGCTGGGAAGGTCTCGGAGTGTTTCCCCCAGCAGCGGATGCACTCACAGTGAAGGAGACCCCTTGCGTCGTCGCTGGTCCATGGGGCTCCTACAGAGCCCCCCTCTGGCAGGGGGCCCAGGCCCTGCTGTCTCCAGGAGGGAAGCCAGGCTGCCCCCACTGGGAGCTGGTCTCTGCCCTTGCAGGTACCTGCTCTTCATCATGCTGCTGGTGACCGCGGTGGTGGGGACCTGCGTGATCGTGCTGAACATCCACTTCCGGACACCCAGCACCCACGTCATGTCCAGCTGGGTCAAAGAGGTGAGCGGGGGAGCTGGGCACAGGGGCCTCTGGCTGGGCTTAGTGCCCAGGAGGGCGGACGCCCAGCTACCTCCATCAGCCCATCACCCCGTCTCCGTGCCCCTATGCCTTCCGGGGACTGGCTGCTCCCTCGGCTCGTGCCGGGGCCCCTGGAGCCCAACCACCATCTCTGGCTGCAGCTCCAGAATCCGCTAGCACGATCCCCGGGCCTGGGAGCGAGGGGCATGGGAAAGGCCTGGGCACCGCACAAATCAGCCAGCCCCACTGGCACTGTGCAGACCAAGCGGCAGGCCCCGGGGTAGATTCACATCAGGGCAGAGGCCCACGCCCCCCGGGAGTCACGGCCCCGGGCATCCTGCGTTCAACCCTGGCAGTGCCCACAGCTGCTGAGTAATGCTGCCACCCAGTGGCATGAGAGTTCCCATGCACCTCCAGTACAGTGGCTCTCTCCAGCTAGGCCTGGCCAGCACCAGCCCCTTCTCTCTAGGCGTCACCCCGGCCCCCCAGGGCCTGGCGCAGGGGCACCCCACCTGGCCCTCAGCCCAGCTAGGGGAGACAGGTCAGCCCAGCTCCTGAAGGCTCGGCCCAGGGGAGAGCGGCTGCCCGGGAGCGCCCCCCAAAGGCCGGGCTGCAGTCACGCACCTGCGGGAGGCTGGGGAGCGTCGAGCCGGCTCTGGAGCCCCCCGCTGCCCCGAGACGCACCCAGCACCGGCCTCTCCCCTGTCCCCAGCTCTTCCTGGAGACACTGCCGTGCCTGCTGCACATGTCCAGGCCGGCGGAGAGCAAGCCGGGGCCCCGCGCCAGCCTGCTCATCCGGCGGAGCAGCTCCGTGGGCTACATGGCCAAGGCGGAGGAGTACTTCGCCGTCAAGTCCCGCAGCGAGCTCATGTTCGAGAAGCAGTCGGAGCGGCACGGGCTGGCCAGCCGCGTCACCCCCTCCCGTGAGCGCCCCGCGGCCGGGGGACGGGGTGGGTGCCACGGGGCTCTCCCAGCGGGCCCGGTGGCTCCTTTAGTGCCCGGGGGAACGGCAGGTCCCGGCAGGCTGAGGCCTCGAGAGAACTGGGCTGTACAGCCCAGGGCGGCAGGCACCCACAGAGCACAGAAGGGAGGGCTCCACGCGTCCCAGGCTGGGAGCTCAGCCCACGCCCCACACCCAAGGGCAAGACCCTGCCCACTCCCTGAACCGCAGAACGGGACCCGGCTGCCCCTCCCCGGCATGGGATCCAGTCCTACCCCCTCAACCGAGTCCTGGATGGGACCCCAGCTACCCCAAACCCGATGCCCAAGGACAGGAACCTGGCCCTCCCTCCCGCCCCCGGGCCCTGGGACAGGACCTTGGCCCCACTGAGCCTGCGCCCCAGAATGGGACCCCTGCCTCATGCCAGGACCCTGGCCCTGATCCCTGAGCCCTGCACCCTGGGATGGGACCCTGGAGCCCCACCCCCTGAGCCCCATGTCCCAGGTCAGGACCCTGGCCCCACACATGAAGCCAGCAAACTGGTGCCATCCCTCACAGCATCTCCTTTCCTCCCTGCCCGCTGGCAGGGCCCAGGCCCCTGGGCATGGCCGACATTCAAGAGCAGCTATACAGCGAGGTGAAGCCGGCCATCGACGGCGCCAACTTCATCATCAAGCACACGCGGGACAAGAATGACTACAACGAGGTGGGTGTGCCCGGGCAGGCAGCAGCCCAGAGCCGCCAGGAGGGGCTTGGGCAGAGCCCAGCCCCGGGGTGTTGAGTGGGAACGGCCCCAGGGCTGCCTCACTGGCCAGTCCCAGCAACGCCCTCCCAGTCAGACTCACACAGCAAGATGGAGGTGCCTGTTGGGGGCCAGAACACCCCCAGTTGCCACAGTGGGTTCTAACTGGCCCCTTGCTGGCAACCTCATCCGGGCACAAGAGACTAAGTGGGACAGAAAGCCTGGGATCAGGGTGCCAGGGGGAGCGGGGTGCCAGGGGGAGCAGAGTTCCATGGGAAGGGGTGTGCTGGGGGTGCAGGGTACCACAGGGAGTGTCGTGTTGGGGAAGTGGGGTGCCAAGGGGAGCAGGGTGCCGGGGGAGCCTAGGCTGTCTCTGCTGTGTGGATAGGGGGCTCCTGGCCATGGCACGTTCACCAGCCTCAGACTCACCCCAGTTAACAAGCTCTGCCCCCCCTTCACGTGCTGTGCCCCACCACTGTCTGTTTCTGCCCCACTCTGTGTCCCATCCCCGCCCCTGGTGTCCCCCCGCCCCAGGAGAAGGATAACTGGAACCGCGTTGCCCGGACGGTTGACCGCCTCTGCCTCTTCCTGGTGACCCCGGTGGTGATCCTTGGGACCCTGGGGATCTTTCTGATGGGAATCTACAACGAACCCCCCGAGCTGCCCTTCGCTGGGGACCCCTTCGACTACAGGATGGAGCACAGACACTTCGTCTAGGGGCCACGGCTACCTGCCCCTGCTGGGCTGCACCGCCGCCCCGCCCTCTGCCCGCGGGGTGCCAGGCCCCTCCCCGGGGCTTTGGCGTGTCGGTGACCTTGGCTGCTCTTGTCTCATTCCTGGCGCTTGAATAAACTCCACGGTTCTCAGCCAGCGGCTGCAGGGAGTGCATGGCGGGGAGTCGCCATCCCAAGCCCGGACCAGTCTCCCCTCCCACTGGCCCCCACCCCGGCCAGCCTCCCCTCCCCTCCTCCCACTGGCCAGCACCCTACGCTAGGCCCTGTCTCCCCGTCTCTCCTCCCCTCCCACTGGCCAGCACCCCACGCTAGGCCCTGTCTCCCCGTCTCTCCTCCCCTCCCCCTGGCCAGCACCCCACGCTAGGTCCTGTTGCCCCATCTCCCCTCTCCTCCACTCCCACTGGCCAGCACCCCACGCTAGGCCCTGTATCCCCATTTCCCCTCCCACTGGGCGGTGGATAACACCTGTGTAACCTCACTGGGAAAGGCACATAGGGAAATTAGTGGATTCTGAGCAGCTGGGAAGTAGGTGGGAAGAAGGCGAAGCTGGTGCCATGTGACCAGCCAGCAAGTGCTACAGGCCACAGGGTGAGCTGATCATGGGCAGGGTCAGACCCAGGGACATGTTTGATTATTGGCAGTTCCAAGCCCCAGGGCTACCAGCCCTTCCCTCAGATGTGAGGGAGCCCCGGCCCTTCCGGGGGACAATTCCCAGCTAGATTCATCCCCCAGTCGGGGTGTGACAACGCTCCCAGCCCTGCCCTGGGGACAATTCCCAGCTGGTTGGATCCATCCCCCGGTCAGGGCAACTCTGCCTCTGTAACGATGCTGGCTTTGGTGGGACACAACGGAGAGTGCCAATTCAGGACACATTGCTTAAAGCAGGGCAGTTACAGCCCAAGGCTGGGGTTTTTCCACCTCTAAGGCAAACCAAACCAGCCAGACAGAGAGGACTTTGGTCTCACCCCACTGGCTAACCACAAGTCACACAAGCAATTCCCTTAGACACTCCAGTTTCCCAGTATTCCCACCAGTGCCACTCATTATGGGGATGAATAGTTATGAAAACCAATGCCCCAGTGAAAGAAAAAAGGTTCCCTCGATCCTAAAGGACCAAGCCCCAGACCCAGGTCAATATACAAATCAGATCTTACCCACAAACCACGCTGTTGCCAATCCTTCAGAATCTACAATCTAAAGGTTTATTCATAAAAGGAAAAAGCTAGAGATGAGAGCGAGAATGGGTTAACTGGAATCAATGACATACAGTGATGGCCAAGTTCTTGGTGCAGGCTTGTAGCAGTGATGGAATAAGCTGCAGGCTCAAATCAAGTCTCTGGAGAACATCCCCAGCTGGGATGGGTCATTCAGTCCTTTGTTCAGAGCTTCAGTGTAGCAAAGTCCCTCCCGAGGTCAGAAGCAGGATGGAAGACAAGATGGAGGAGCTGCAGCAGGTCTTTATAGTCTCTTGCCATGTGGTCTCTGCTTTCTTTGTCCCAAAGACAAGCTGCCCAGCACATGGCCTGGAAAAACCTCAGAGCTCTGTCCCTAAGCAGGTCCCTGCACACCTTGCTGAGTCCCAAGGCGTATCTGCCTTCTCGCAATGGGTCAGTTGTGTAGCTGATGGTCCTTAATGGCCATCCAGCAGGCTAGGCAGAGCTGACACCAACTTGTCTGGGGTGTCCCCCAGAAGCATAGCACAAGTTCGCAATACAGACAGTATCGAGCCAATACCTGTAATTCTAAATACAAAAATGATACCTGCATACAGACAGCATAATCCTAACCAGCAAACCATAACCTTGTCTTAGACACCTTATTTGACCCCCTTTATACAAGATTTGGTGCCACCACAGGACCTTGATTGCAACAATGATCTATACAGTCCCAGTTCATGTCAATAACGTCACAGCCCCCTCTCGGGCTTTGTACCCTTCCGTTCCATGCAGTGTTCCCATGCCCTCCACCTGGGCACTCAGCCTGTCCCAGCTGACCTAGACTCTGGGCACTTGAGCCCTTCTTTGCAGATCAGCCCCTGCTGGTTTGTCTCACCCTTCTCTGGCCTCTGGCTGCTGGGGAGCACCCAGAACTGAATGCAGCAGCCCACCAGGGTTGACCCAGAGCCGGGTCTGCAGGTACGCGTGTGGGGCACCATGGCACCTACATAGACATTGGATCCTAGGCAGGGATCAAACCCAGCACCTTTGGCAGCAAGGCCCTCGATTCCGCATGGGGAGTTGCTGTTCCAGCCAGGGGGTGGCCTCACGGGGGCGGATGCCGTGTGTTCCCAGTAGCCCCACCCTGCTCCAGGGGGAAACGGTCCCTCCCCTCTCCCCCCCACCATTGGCGCCTTTCCCCAGGGCACACCAGACATGGGTGCTCACCCGGCCTCCCTGCACTGCACTTAGCAGCCCAGGGACAAGGGGAGGCCACGGGGGGGAGGGGGTGTCTCGTTATCACAGCAGTGACCCCCACGGGGCAGGAGGGTGCTGGGCATGGCTGCCCCGAGCTGTCCTTTGAGGAGATGGTGCGGGTGGAAGGTGCCATGCAGACAATGCTGGAGCCTGAGATCTCTCCAGGGAGCACGGCCAGCTTCCCACAGCAGCCCCTGCCAACCTGCCCCGCCCTCTGGGGCCCATTCAGTCCATGGCCTCCCCGCTGACACTGCCCAGATGGGGGGCAGTTAGCGTTGATTGCCACTCGCCCACCAGTCATGGGGCTGAGACCCACAAACTCATTCCACGCTGCGGCCACCCAGCCGCCTTGGGGTAGGGAGAATGATGGACGCCCCTCCTTCCCGAGCCAAGCAGTGCCCTGCTAAGCCCAGCCTCCCATCACCCCTGCACCATCCTCCCAAGGAGCCAGGGCTGGATGGGACCCCTGAGCAGACACCCCCCCTGGGGGCCCCAGCACTAAACCGGCAGGATCGGTGCCCTCTCTCCAGGGCCCTACGTACCAAGCCTGGGCCTGGCTGGCAGAAGCCCCTTGGCCCCCTAGAGCCTGGCGTCAGGCCCAGCCCTGACCTCACTTGCCCACTGGCGTGGGGCAAATACGGGGCACTAGGGCCTGCAATGGGGAATGCCGGGGAGCCCCCTGAGCCAGGCTGGGGCCTGCCTATGGGTATTATTAACTCAGGCTCCCTCGCCAGTGGGTCAGGTGGAAGCAGGTGGGGGTGGGCAGTGTGCAGGAGGGAGGCTGGGGGGGTGAGGCAGCAGCAGGTGAAGGGGGGGGCAGTGCAGGGGAGACAGGCCGGGGGGGGGGGAGGGGGCGTCAGATGGGATATGCCAGGAATCCCATTTCTCAGGACAGCTGATGCTGCTCGCGTCGCCCACATTGCGGGCTCAGGCAAGCCTGGTATGTGACCCCCAGACAGGCTGGTCACCCCTCCCCTCCCCCAGGACAGCTGGGGCTGGTGCTCATCCCTCAGACGCCAGCCCAGCCCCAGCACTCCCAGCCCTGAAGAGAAGTCTCTCCCTAGCCCTGTTCCAGGCTGACATGGTCCTGTACTGCTAGGGGTGTGAGGAAGCCTCTCCCCAGCCCGATACACAGGTGCCGGCTAGAACATCAGTTGCAATCTCTCACCTGGTGCAAGCCTCTCCAGGCAGCTGGGCTGGGCTGCATCCCAGCCTTTGTGCAGACCAGAGCTAGTTAACCCCGGAGCTCCTGGATCAAACACACAGCGAAAGCTCCAGGCGGTGTCGAGTGTCCTGAGCGGTGGGAAACTGGGATCGGACCTCACGTCACCTGCAGGGCCCAATCCATTTCCCCGGACTGGGCTGGTGCATCAGCAGCAACTGAGCTGTCAATGCAGAGCCATCTGCAGGGCCGAATCCTTCCCTGGCCTGGGCTGCGCCAACCTTCTCCGTGGGCAGCGGGAGAGCGAGGGCAGCGTTTGGCCTGTGGGGGATGGGAGCCCACCGTAACATGAGCAGCTTGGAAGCTGGGCAGACCCACCCGGGGGGGCCACTCAGCAGCGTCAGCTGCCCTTAGAGACACTCATGAAACCAGTGTCCCCAACTGCACACTGCCCAGGCAGAGGGAGTGCCATGGGCATTACCCAGGCCCACACTCTGCCCCCATTACACTCTGCCAGTGTGTCTCCAGCATGCTGGACATGGGGCCTCGGGTCCTGGGCATTGGAATCAGAAACCTTTGTGTGGCTAGCATGCCCCCAGCGGGGGGTGGGAGGCCCTGGTGTGATTTCCCTGTTCCATGCCCCAGATGCGGGGGTGATAAAGGTGGGCATTCCGGTAATATCTTTATGAACCAGATGCGTGCCTCAGTTTCCCTATGCGCTTGGTACTGTCACACACTGAGCGTGAACAGGAACGAGGGCTGGCAGAACGTCACGGGGCCCCTCATGTTGGAAGGGCTGCCCTGCGTCCCTGCATTGCTCCTCGTTCGGGAGTCTGATCTCGGTGAGGAACAGGGATCGCTGGAGCCCAAAGGGTCAGAAGTTGGAGTCATGGAGGCCAGGTGGAGCCGTGTGGCCCGGGGGGCCGGGGGGGGGGAGCTGGCACGTAGAGGCCAGGGTATAGCCGAGTCCCTATCGATCCATGACACCATGCACGTGTGAGACCCCTCTCCCCAGTGAAAGGTGGGGGCTGGTGTCCGTGTGTCACACCCAGCCAGGGAGGGGACACCAGTCAGGGACAAAGCTATGCAGAGACTGGGTAAGCCCGAGTTGTGGGCTAAGCGGGTCATGTATCCTCACTGAGACAACACTGCCTTCCTCTGGCGCCTTCACTTAGGGGCTCTCAAAGCACCTGACAGGCATTAAAGGTGAGGAGGAGGAAAAGATCATCCTCAGTTCAGAGCTGGAGAAACTGAGGCCCAGGGAGGGGGAGGGATTCGCCCAAGCTCCCACGACAGCTCCATGGCAGAGCTGGAAAGAAAACCCAGGTCTCCGGCGTCCCAGTCCCCAGCTCTAGCCACCAAACCAGAAGCTCTGGGCTGGCAGGCTCCCAGGGGACTGCCTGGACTCTCTGGTCCTGATGGACTCTCCGGTCCCTCCTCAGACGTATCCCGGCCCTGTGGAACCGTGGCTTCGGGGAGCCATCCCCAAGCCCTGGCCTGGGTCCTGATCCTGTGTGGGGCCTAGCTGCAGGCTGGGGGAGAGTCATGGATTCACAGGATCTGTGCTATACTCCAGGCACATGCAGGCTCCCGGGAGATCCCCTTTAGTGCCCAAGGGGCTGCTTTTTTTCCACACGGTCTCCACACCTCTGGACTTGGGCCTTCAGGCTCCAGCAGCATCTGTTCCCTGCTGTGAGCTCTGACCAGCGGGTCCGACTGAGGTGCAGGCCGGTTTCGAGGCTCTGTACCCCTACAGGGAGCAGCATGTCAGGGAGTATTTGCAGCGATACTGGGCAGCCCTTCTGCGTCAGCTGGCATCCGGGCTCCAGCAGTCGGCAGCTCAGCACGGGAAAGGCAAGTGAGAGACAGAGGATCCCACTGGGCTCCGGCGGGCCCTGATTCTCTGCTTCTCTCTGGCCCTCTCTTCCCAGCTAAGACACTGAGAACAGCCTGTTCACACCTGGCTGCTCTGGCTCTAGCCATGCAGTGTTCACGCGCCCAGGCTACGGTGGCCGTAATGTCCCGGGCCATGGGGCTCCCTTTGTCTCTTCTGCCTCCTCCGGTCTGTTCAGCCAGTCTGAGGGGTCTGGCCTCCAACCAGGCAGCTATGGGAGTCAAACACTGCATCAGGGCACAGCAGTACAGAGCACACAGGGAAACTGAGGCACACTTGGCTCATACAAATATTGCCAACTCAGCACGGAGAGGGGGGGTCTGCATGTCCCCGGTAGGTGGCTGTCAGGGTGAGTCGCTCCCTCCCCCATTGTCGTTTCAGAGGCACTTGGCGATCCGCTGGGGAACAGCTGATAATGCTGGCCGGACAGCTGGACTTCAGGCACAGTGCGATCGGGGAGAGGAGGGGCGCAGGGGGGCTGACCACGGCCCAAAATAAACCTCCAGAGCTTGCCGAGCACACAGCCGCCACCGTGCTGGAAGGGAGGTTGCCACCACCATGCGCTGCCTGGCTCTGCTCGCGACCCTCGGCTCCCTCACCGGTAAGCCATGCCCGGCCTGCGGACAGGGGACGGGGCGAGGGGCAGCCGGGTACGGTGCTGGGGAGGTGATGGCTAAACCTAGGCTGTGAGCTCAGAGGGCTCTGTTTTGGGTTCAGCAGCAGGCAATCAGGGAAGCTCAGAAGACCACCCCCACACCACTCCATCCTGGGGCTGGGGGTGGGGACCAGAGAGCAGCCTCCTCTCTTGCTATCATCACGCTCCACTTCTCCCTTCAGGGCTTGGGGCACAGCAGCAGCCCCCTTGTCCTGCTGGCTGGCGCAGGGCAGAGTGCCATTCTGCACAGCCCCCGGCAGGCTGGCCTAGCTACTATGTGTGCATACAGCACCTAGCGCAGCAGGGTCCTGCTTCTGACTGGGGCTCCCAATATCAGTATCTCTGCCCGGTGAGCAGCCCCTTCCACGCCCTGCCTGCCAGAGGGTTCAGCTCTGAGCATCAGCAGCCCTTACCCCAGCCCCCTGTACCCACTCCCAGCCCTGAACAGCTGCAGGGAGTCCTGGAGCATGACACGCCCGCCAGAACCCTGCTCAGCGCACTGGGATGTTACGCTGCGACCGTCTCCCACCGCTCCACCTGCTTGGGGCACCCACCCCCGTCCGTTTCACGCTGCCGGTCCTGGGGCACCCACCCCCGTCCATTTCACGCTGCCGGTCCTGGGGCACCCACCCCCGTCCGTTTCACGCTGCCGGTCCTGGGGCACCCACCCCCGTCCGTTTCACGCTGCCGGTCCTGGGGAACCCACCCCCGTCCGTTTCACGCTGCCGGTCCTGGGGCACCCACCCCCGTCCGTTTCACGCTGCCGGTCCTGGGGCACCCACCCCCGTCCGTTTCACGCGGTCCTGGGGGTCACGCTGCCGGTCCTGGGGCACCCACCCCCGTCCATTTCACGCTGCCGGTCCTGGGGAACCCACCCCCGTCCGTTTCACGCTGCCGGTCCTGGGGCACCCACCCCCGTCCGTTTCACGCTGCCGGTCCTGGGGCACCCACCCTCGTCCGTTTCATGCTGGGGACGAAGGGGGGACTGAACTGGGCTTCTTCCGCTTTGAGAGCGTGACGGACAGAGGCCACAAAACAATTCTTGGCAGGCACCATTGTGACAGTGGAACCAGCTGCTGCTTAGGCCTGTTAGCAGGGGCTTTGAGCCCAGAGAAGCCAGAGACACGTGCACACACATGGGCAGGGCACGCGCAGACCCCCTCCCCACGAGTGTGGGACACACACATACACACACAGTGGTGCTGGCCAGTTGCCAGCGCTAAACCCCAAGCTGCTCTCTGAGTCCTCCTCTGGCCTCTGGCCCCAACGCTTTCCAGGAAGCAGCAGCAGCAGGTTTGCTAACGAAGGTAATTCGTTAGCCCCTTACGCTTCTCTCCAGAGGCATTTCATTCAGAGGCGCTTGGCCCGTCTGGCCATTAATAATTTAATAATGCCGGGCATTTGTAAAGCCCCAGCTCATGAGCTAACGATCCGGGCAGCGGATGGGGATTGATCCCGGGGCCAGCGCTGACAGGCTGCAGGACCCCATTGTTAGGCCACAGTTAAGCTGGGTTCAACACACATTGCCTGTAGAGTTCAAGCCACGTTTACTCCTTCTGGGGTCCCAGAGTCGGGGCCAGCTCACGAAGATTGGAGAGCGGGACGCCTGCGGCCCTCACCCCAGAGAGAAATGGGTTATTGTTATGACTCGCTACACCCTCAGGGCGTCCAGCCCCGGAGCCCTGGGCAGCCCCCTGGAGGTCATTGGCAGGGTCTGAACCCGGGCCCTTTGGCTCTGAAGCATAGAGCTCGGCCTCTTGTGTTCAAGAAGTCACTCCATTACTACACAGCAAGAGTAGGCTTTTATCCTGTGTGGCCAGTCCCATCCCCCACTCCAGAAGCTTGTTACACTGTTGCCTGTCGTCAGTTCAAACCCCACGTGGGTGAGCGGAGGCTGCAAGCAGCTCCCATGTGGTGCCCCCGTATGAATCCCGTTTGACGGGTCCCGGCGCACAGCACAAAGCCAGGCAGCCCTGTGCGCTCCGTGGGTGCTGACAATACACCTGCCCACTTTGGGTCTCACCGGAGAGGCCACAGATGCCGAGCGCCCTCTCAAAGGGGCGAGCTGGGGTAGACCGGCGGAGCGGTGTAGGGGGAGCTTACCTTGCTGCTGCCCATGCTGGGCCTGCCCTGCGCCCTCAGGTTGCCAGGGCAGGCACTTGGCGCCATCTGGAGGGGCCGCTCGTGACCAGTGCTCGAGGGAACCGCTCGGCCTCCCCTCTGTGGGGCTGGCGTGGCCACTGGGTGGGGGTGGCATGGTGCCGGCTTCCCTCGGGGCCTGGCAGTGCCCTGCTTTCAGCCGTGCTGTGCCGGAACCTGGAGGAGAAGCTGCTCAATGACCTGATGACCAACTACAACCGCAACCTGCGTCCGGCCCAGCGGGAGGGGGACATCATTAACGTCACGCTGAAGCTCACCCTCACCAACCTCATCTCCCTGGTAAGCAGAGCCCCCCCCCCCCCCCCCCCCGTCCCCGTTCCTTGCCAGCCCCCACCTGCAGAGCTGGGCCCTTTCCTGCCTTTCTCCTTGAGCAGCTCAGATTGGGGGCGGGGGCAGGGATGGCTGCTCCCTCGTTAGGCTAGCATGGGGGACAGAGGCCTGAGTGCACTGCCCAGGACAGGGAATGACAGAGGCAGGGGCACCGATGCCAGGAACATGCCGAGCTGGGCGCCAGCCTGTCCCACCTGCTCAGTGGGTCCCTGCCACCTCTCCTCCCAAAGGCACCCAGCCCCCAGCGCTGACCGGGGACAGCCAGTCCTGCCTGGGCGTCCCTCACACTACCCCTGCCGTCAGAATGGGGAGTCCATGCCAGGGCAGATGCCCATGGAACTGGCTGCGGGACTCTCTGTCCGAGCCGCCCTTGGTAACGGTCCCTGAGGAGAATCACTGTGCTGGGGGGAGTAGGGGAAGGAAGAGGGAGATTGGGGAGGTGGGCATGGGGTGGTGATTGAGCTGGGGCGATGTTGGATAGGGGCCCGGGGCAGTGAATGCATTAGAGGCAGGGTTCCTGGCAGCAACAGAGTTGCAGTGAGGGCATGGCCTGGCTGTACCTCAGTGGCTCTGTGGCTGCTGCTGGCTTCCCCTGGGGGGGCAGGGGCCGGGATCATGGGACGCTGCCCTGCTCAGGGCACCCCTGGGATGCCCCACACCCTGCTGCACCCTGGGAGAGAATTCCTCAGGGCTCCATGCACTGGAGCCCCATGAGGCGGGCGTTGCCTGAGTGCCCAGTAGCTGGCGTGCACCGTGCAGCTTCACGTTCACCATGCACCGTGCAGCAGGGCTGCCCAGCCGCCAGCGGGAAGCTGTTGCGGTGGCGGGAGAGGGCAGGGCGGCGGGGCAGCAATCCCAAAATCCCTCTCTCCTTTCTGGGTTCCAGAACGAGCGGGAAGAGACCCTCACCACCAACATCTGGATTGAGATGGTAAGATGCCCAGGGGTGCCGCCAGCCACTCGGGCTGGGCGGCATGCAGCAGGCAGAGATCAGCTAATGCCTCCCGCTCCCCATGATAAGCTCCAGCAGCCCTCCAACGCCCCAGCGCCCCGATGCACCTGCAGCCCAAGGGCTAGGGCAGGTCGCAGCCCCCTCCTGGCCTGAAGGCAGATGTGGCTGGGGCCAAAGCCTCACAAACGGCAGCCGGGAGGGAGAGGATTGTTCAGGGCTCGTTCCATAGCCAGACCCCACTTTGGCGCTGAGATCAGCGGCTTGGGCAGAGACCCCTGCCACAGAGCGCAGGCCAGAGGGGTCACTCCACGCCACGGCTCCCAGCACAAGTCACGGAGAAACAGGGCCGGCTCCAGGCACCAGCGTTCCAAGCAGGAGCTTGGGGCGGCACTGGGAAAGGGGCGGCCGTCCGTGTGCCGACAGGGCGGCGTCTCGTCTTTCTGCACATGGGCGGCAGCTTTACCCTGCAGGCTGCCGCGGCGGCAATTCAGCGGCAGCTTCTGTCTTCAGACGTCCTGCTTGGGGTGGCAAAAACGGTGGAGCCGGCCCTGCAGAGAAACCCTAGCAGGTCCCAGCCTGTGGCCAGAGCATGCCGTTTCCCTGCAGACCACGCCCCCGGGCAGTGTGGTATTGGGGGGTCACGGGGTGGCCAGAGATGCTCATTCTATGACAAGTGACTGACCCTGCTTTGCTCAGCCCCTTCCCCTCCATTCCAGAAGTGGTGCGATTATCGGCTGCAGTGGGATCCTGACGAATACGACAACATCCAGATACTGAGGGTGCCCTCCACCGAGGTGTGGCTGCCGGACATCGTCCTGGAGAACAAGTGAGCAGCTGCAGGGCCCAGGGCAGGGGGGCAGTGGGAAGCTGGGTGAGGACCCCAGCAATACAAACAGACCTTGTCCAGCTGTCCCTCTGCCCGGGCACTCCATGTGAGGCTCCATTCCCTGCAGGGGCCGCATCTGTGGCTACCCACCCAGAGACGTCACGGTCAGCAGCTAACTCTCACGCATCCAGCAGACAGAACAGACAGAACCCCACATGCTCTGCTCCACCAGCACAGGGCCCTACCAGGGGGGCTAAAGGGAAGATCTCTACTAGAGGCAGCAGTAGTAGGCTTTTATCTCCTGTGAGCAGCAGCCAATAGGCAGCAGCATGATCCCAGCCATGAGCAGTTCCGATTCCATCCAGCAGAGGGCAGTGGTGGCGCGCCCTTCCCCCCAATCACGTCCTGTCCTGCAGCTGGTAGGGCGCTCCTGGGGGTTTGGAGCCCATAGTTGGGCACTGGCTGGCTGTCCGGGGGCATTTTGGGATCGCCTCTGCCTTGCTGGGGCTGCCTTGCTCTGTGGCCCTGGGACAGTTCCAGTCCCGTGGGCAGTGGCCAGCCCACAGCATGAGCTCCGGCAGGGAGGGAGGGAGCGCCTGGCTGGCCTGACCTGCCCCTCTCCTTCCCCCAGCATCGACGGGGTGTTTGAGATCACCCTGTACTGCAACACGCTGCTGGATTCCAAAGGCTGCCTCCTGTGGATGCCGCCCGCCATCTACCGCACCTCCTGCGCCATCTTCGTCACCTACTTCCCCTTCGACTGGCAGAACTGCTCCATGGTGTTTCAGTGAGTGCGGCTGCCCGGGAAGGGGCTGGGCTGCCCCCCAGATGGGAGGGCAGGGGGCAGAGCCCGGGGCACGCATGCAGGTCTCCTGCCAGGCAGGCGGTTCTCACGCCCTCTCTCAGGTGGCAGCTTGCCCAGATCACCAGCTAAGGGCCCATGAGATCATGCACAGCTGTGACCCTCTGCACCTCCCTCCGCCTTAGCCAGAGGCAGGTTGTGCTCAGCTCCGCGGCAGCCGCCAGGTCGGTTACCATGGCATGAGCCCTGTAGGTTGCCGAGCTAGCCAACGAAGGCATGCAAACCAAAGAAACCCAGGGACCCCTGTTCTAGCCCATTGCCCTGAGCCCAAGACGGCCCTGCGTGTGGCAGCGTGGTGCCCTGCTTTATCAGACATTTCCGTCCCCTCCCAAGACAGACCGAGCTAGCCCTGGGAGAGTGAAATGTGTGTGATCAACACTTCCTCCCCCTTCCCACAAATTCTCCCATTGTATGGGCCCCGATCCGATGGACCCAGGTGGGTGTTGTTCTTGGTGGGGGTCACCTGCATGGAACAGCGTGCAGGACCAGGGCCCCGGCGGCTCGTCTGACTGTTGTTCCTCTCCGATCAGTCCGTGGCTACGTGTGACCGGATCTGATTTCTGAAGCGGTCACTAAATTCTGAGTGCATCCAAGTTAGTGACGCAGGGGTCCCTTCCCCCAGCATCGGCCAGTGCCGATCGATAGCAGGACGGGAGCTCACCCCGAGCGTCGCTGAAAGGCCTTGGACGATAAAAGTCAGCTCCCGTCTTGATAACTGGACCTGGCCCCAGTGATGTGCCTAACGCCCCGTAATGCAGAGACAGACGGAGTCCCCAGCCTGGAAAGCGAGCACCCCACGTCCCGACTCTGAAGTCAGACTTGGGGAGGTGCCGCACCAGGGCGAGCGACCAGCCGGGCGGGTTCGATTGCAGGACTGAGGCCTACATGAAAACTCTTCCCCTGTCTGTGCCCACACGCCTACCAGCTGGCTGGATCCAGGCAAGGCTGGTGGCTGCAGTGGTGCTACGTAGGATGGGTCTGAGTCAGAGCTGGGCTTGATCCCAAGCTGGGGAGGTGCCGGAGCCATAGGCCAGGCAGCCCAGACGCTGCCTCGCTTCAAAAGGAAGGGAAAGCCAATTCCGCGGCCCTGCGTAAGTCTGGGTGTAGCGCCGATCCCAGGAGCGGCTGAAGCACCCGCTAGCTGGTTGGATCTTGGCATTTCTGTTTGTATGAGCATGTCCTTTAGACAGCCAGTCTCAGCCACACGCGTCCTCCCCCCCGATCCCTGCCACATAGGTCCCAGACCTACAGCGCCAATGAAATTAACCTGCTGCTGACGGTGGAAGATGGGCAGACCATTGAGTGGATCGTCATCGACCCCGAAGCTTTCACAGGTAACGACCTGCTTCCTCTATCTGTTTCCCGGGGGGTGGGGTGGGGTTCCCTGGCCCCATGGGGCCAGCCTACCAGTTGTGTCTGCGGAAATCTTCCAGCTGTTGGCTACAGGAGGAAATGCCAGTGCCAGAAAGGGTGATGTCACCACTAGTCAGGAGGAGCCCAGCGGCTGGCAGCGTGGCTCAGCACGGCCCAGAAATGTAGCAAAGCACAACAGCCACCCAACCGGTCCCTCCAGCCCACCCAGTGTGGGATGGAGACATTTGTAAATAACTGGCGTTCAACTGACGGTTAGGCGGGACTGGTAGCACGGCCTGTTGTGAAGGTTTCCTGACCCTTCCCGTATAGGAGATCTCGTTTTCAGTTGCTTAAAGTCTTTGCCAAACTTTAACCATTCGGCTGAAATTCTCCACGCCGGGCGTCCGCCTCGGGCTCAGCCGGTTGGGAAAGTGTCAGCTGAAGCGGTTCAGCCGGGTCCAAGAACGAGGCCGGGGAAAAATAACTCGTTTTGCCCAAATTCCAGGGACCTTTCCCTTGAACAGCTGTAGTGCCCCGAATCCCTGCTCCAAAGCGTGGGAACACGGCGCGGGGCGGGGGAGGTGTTTGGGGCGGGGATGCACCTTTTGCCACCCTGGTGAAAATGCTCCCAAACCTGGCGACGGTACGAGCCTCTGAAAAAATTGCGGCTGCCCCCAGCTCAGTAGAGACGAGCATGGGGGTGGGCAGACTTTTTGGCCCGAGGGCCCACTGGGGTTGCAAAACTGTATGGAGGGCCGGGGAGGGAGGGCTGTGCCCCCCAAATGGCCTGGCCCTGGCCCCCTGTCCACCCCCTCCCACTTCCCGCCCCCCTCAGAACCTCCGACCCATCCAAGCCCCCCTGCTCCTTGTCCCCTCACCACCTCCTCCCGGAACCCCCTGCCCCTAACCACCCCCCCGGGACCCCACCCCCTATCCAACACCCCCCCTCCGCTCCCTGTCCCCTGACTCCCACCCCCTGACAGGCCCCCCGGGATCCCACGCCCTATTCAAACCCCCGTTCCCCGTACCCTGACCGCCACCTCCGAACCTCCACCCCATCCAACCACCCCCTGCTCCCAGACTGCCCTGACCCCTATCCGCACTCAAGGCTTAGGAAAGGCCAGAACAAAGGGCTCCTGGGCAACCTGAATTCAGCCTTCTCGCGGGTCTTCCTGAAGATGGCCGTTAATTCCCTGGGCACGTCCTGTTTCCCACAGGGGCCCAGCCTCATTCCGTGCCCGGGATGGGCCTGCTCTGGGGCCGAACCAGGGGTGGGGAGGCCGTTGTCTGCCGGCCTCCGGCCTCACTTGGTACAGAGGTTGGCACGTGTGTCATGAGCGAGGCCGGGAGGGTGCACAGGTGGCTCCCAGGCTCTCTTTTCTTAACTTCCGAGCGCGGGACTTTGCCCCTTGACTCCTGGTCGGGTAATGCAGCTTGTGTGCAGTCGGGGTAAAGGCCCGTCTCCCGTCACGGTGGCTTGCCCCGAGAGGGGGAAGGACGCACTCAGGAAAGTTGTTCAGATTGTGGGCACCACCACACGGAAATCACAGAGAGCAGAGCCGCCGGAGGCGCACTCGGGCCCTGAGCACTGGGAAGTCCCAGGGCTGGTTGCACTGTCCTGGGTCCTTCCCTCTTGGCTGGAGCAGGTGTCCGGGTCAGGTTTTGTAGCCAAGATTTGGAACAGGAGTTGCTGGCCTGTGCACGCTCAGCATCGCGCCACAGGTATCCCCCGCACAGAGGGTTATTAGCAGCTGCCACCATCACACAGGTTTCAGAGTAGCAGCCGTGTTAGTCTCTATTCGCAAAAAGAAAAGGAGGACTTGTGGCACCTTAGAGACTAACCAATTTGTTTGAGCATAAGCTTTCGTGAGCTGAAGCTTATGCTCAAATAAATTGGTTAGTCTCTAAGGTGCCACAAGTCCGCCTTTTCTTTTCACCATCACACAGGTATTTAAGTCAATAATCACACTCAGAGAGAGTTTTTCTAACCCCTGTTCTCGGTCCTTCTGCCTGCAAATCGCAAACCGGTACCGGGAGCGGATTGATGTGGGGAATGGAGCTTTCGCAGGCAGACAGGGATGTTTCCCATCACCTTTTAATTGCATCTTGAAGGAGCAAAATGCTTTTTTGGGCAGCGAGATTTATTCTTTCATTACCGGGCCGAGCCAGATATCTAGGTTGGTAAAAAAATAAAATCTGTCGTAGGAGACAGGACAACAAGGCTTAGTAAGGTGTCACGCGCGGCTTCCCCCAGCAGCTGGGAGTCAGGTGGGAGAGTGACGGAGCCTCCATCCAAACCCCCTGCACCATGGGAGCTGGCAATGCTTAGCCCCCAAGCGGGATCGGGCCCCTGGGAGCCAGCCCCTGCAAAATGGGGTGCATTAAGCTGGTGGCTGCATATGTCCTGCCATGACAGAGAACATTGCAGGGTTCCCAGGCACCGCTGTAAATCTTCTCCCAGCCCCTTTCTCTGGATCTTTAGCAGCTGCCCCTCCCCCCCCGGGAAGCCCCCAGCAAAGGATTTCTCTTCCCCCGTATCCAGGAGGCATTGTCTCGGGCCCCCTCCGTCCCCCTAGAGACATGGCGGCAGCAGGGGCAGGGTGAATGGGCTCCCCAGGCACAGACAGAAATGTCAATAGTTGCTCAGCTGGTCCTGTCATTCACGTCCTCGGGCCTGGGCGGCATGCAGAGACAGGAACAGGCTCGCAGCACAGACCTCGGCCCGCCCGGCCTTGCTGTTTCCAAAGACACCTGCAAACATCTGGGGAGAACTGGCAGCTCAGTGTCCAGGCTCAGACCATGCCAGCGAGCAGGATTCCTCTTCCAATCTATCCTCCTGCCCCCAAAGACCCCAAATAAGAGCAGTGCCCCCCCCACGCTGCTGTAATGTGGGCAAGAGGCAGTTCCGGGCATCGCTGGATGAACTCCTGTTCCCCCAGGGGTGGCATATGCTGCTCCCAAGGGGAGTTGGGGCCCAAAGTTGGACCCCCAGGAGGCTGGGCCTGCGTGGTTTCCATAGGCACGTGGTATTGTCTTCCCCGCAGAGAATGGGGAGTGGGCAATCAAGCACCGGCCGGCCAAGAAGATCGTGAACGCCGAGCGCTTCACCCCGGACGACTTAGGTTACCAGCAGGTCGTCTTCTACCTGATCATCCAGAGGAAACCGCTCTTCTATGTCATCAACATCATCGTGCCCTGCGTGCTCATCTCGTCCGTGGCTGTGCTGGTGTATTTCCTGCCTGCCAAAGGTAGAGCCCTGGCCCACCCGAGTTCGCTGCCACCAGCCACCGACATGGCTCGAGCCACTGGCATTGGCCTGTGGACAATCCACACCTCCCGGAGTGGGAAGGGGGCAGCAGCAGTTGATGGGGACAGACCCAGTCCAATGCCCATGCGGGTGAGACGGGCCACCGGGGGCTCACCCTCGCGCCCTGGTTATCTGAACCGAAATGGGCAAAACTCTCCCCTGCCCCTGCCCAGTTATGTCCCACTTCTGGCCCCTCGGCTCCCCCGTGTCTCTGGGAGCGCATGGCTCGCTCGCACACATCAGGATGGAACGGCAGAGAATTCTTTCCCACACCTGGCTCCCAGCCCTCTGCTCTAACCACTAGGAAGGCAGGCTCTTCGCGGGCTCTGGTGTGCAGGAGAAGAGCAAAGCCCTTCCCAGAGGGTGCCGGTGCTTGGGGAGCTCGGTGCAGACGCAGGCTAATCTCTTGCTTTCTGCATCCCGGCAGCGGGCGGCCAGAAGTGCACGGTCTCCATAAACGTCCTCCTGGCCCAGACCGTCTTCCTCTTCCTGATCGCACAGAAGGTGCCTGAGACCTCCGATGCTATGCCTCTCATTGGCAAGTAAGTGATGCTCTCTGGGGGCCTGCCAGCCCATATCTGGCAGGGCCCCAGGCAAGCTCCCAAACCCGCTGGGCTCCTCACCCCCCAATCCCAGCTGAGACTATTCACCTCAGCCTGGGAGGGCAGAACAAGTGGGGTCCTTCAAGGCCCTGCTCCAAGGGACACAATGGACATGGGCAGGGCCAGAGAATGAGAGCCGTCGTAGGTGGGGTTTGGGGACTGGTAACTCAAAGCGAGCATCAGCAGAGGCCTTGGATGTGTGGCCATGCCGCTCCTTCTCCCCTGCCCCGCAATGCAAGAACCAGGGCACGAATTAACAGAACTTCCTAGTGGCCCACAGGACATGCCTTGCTGCACAGCCCAGGGTTCATCTGCGGAACTCACCGCTGCAGGAGGGTGCTGAGGCAAACAGCATGGCCCAACTCAAGAGTGTTCTCCGGGGGCTAGGATGGAGCTAGAAGCACCATCCTCCTTCACATTTTGAACAGAAAGTGAGCGCACAGCTGGGAGTTCGGAGGGAGATCCCCCCATGCAGCAGTCTTGCACAGCCAGGGGCATTGTCGGAGGAGATGTCTGCTGCTAGGCGGATTAGATGGACCATTGGGAAGTTCTGGTCTGGGCTCCCTTTGTCTTCTATGAACATATGGGCTGTGGAGCGAGAGATCCAGGCGCTTCCCATTCCCGGATCCCAGCTGGCCTTCGGCTTTGCCCTGTGCCTGCTGCTAGGGCCTCACCAAGAGCTGGCAGATGCCCCAGCACAGGCCCCGTGGCTAGTGAAGCGGGTGGGGCGGCCTGGCGACCAGCGACGGCGGCCCCTTCTCTCCTCCAGGTACCTGACCTTTCTCCTGGTGGTGACGGTGGTGATCGTGGTGAATGCCGTCATTGTGCTGAACATCTCGCTGAGGACCCCCAATACGCACTCCATGTCGCAGAAAGTGCGGCAGGTAGGCCGGGCGGGGCCGGCGCGCGCTCCCACCCAGGCTGGGCAGAGACCCGCTTAACGCCCGCGTGATCGGCCTCCGGCTCCTCCCAGAGCCGCCAGCTCCGGAGAGCAGACACGGCCCATGCTGCGGGGCTGGGGTCGCTGCCTCAGGAAAACGGGGGTTCAGGGGGAAGGTCAGAGAGCAAAGGCAAGTGCACTGAGCCGTCAAACCATTTCCCGGGATCGAGAGCCCCAGAGACTTGGCCGGATCGTCCGACCCATGGCGCATGGGGCACTCTCCTCCACGGGGGCGCAGGGCCTGGCCCTGGTGTCTCGTTACCCTGGCCGCACCACAGCCGCGGGCTCACCGCCCGGATCTGACTGCATCTCCACACCGCTTTGCCCAGGCCCAAATGAGGGCACAGGGGGCAGGGCCGCGGGGATGGAATCGGGTCCCCAGCTGCCAAGGAACCACTGGGCATTAGCGCCCCCCTGGCAGCTCCCACTCGGCGGAGGTGGGGGAGATGGAGCCCACGCTGCTTCTGCTCCCACCGGCGTCAGTCAGGGGAAAGTGCACTGCGCCCGATGGAACGGCCCCGGGGCCAGACTCAGGCTCCATGAGCCCCCCGACAGACAGGGCCTCCCCTGTGCCAAGCGTGACGGCGCAGACCCCCCCGGCCTGCCCCGAGCGTCACAGCACCGGCTCCTCGCTCTGTCCCCAGATCTGCCTGCGGCAGCTGCCCCACTTCCTGGGGATGCACATGCGCCGCAGGGACATGGCCCCCCGCCCGCTGATGGCCCGGCGCCGCAGCTCCCTGGGGCTGATGGTGAAGGCTGACGAGTACATGCTGTGGAAGGCCCGGACCGAGCTGATCTTTGAGAAGCAGAAGGAGAGGGCCGGGCTGATGAAGGCCGTCCTGGAAAAGATCGGTGAGTGACGGCTCCGTGGAGCCGGGGAGAATCTCATGGTGGAGCAGCCTGAGGCCCCCACCTCCCGGACAGTGACCCCCTGGGCCTTTTGCCGGCAGCAAATCCACCCCGTAAGAGCAGCCCCCCAGGGCTGGAATGAGGTGGGGGTGGGGGTGCTGACAGGGAAATGGTACTGGGGTGAGGGTGTCACCATGGATGCCAAGTGCCAGGAGCCAGACTGCAGAGGAGAGGAGAGTGAATAGCTCCCATTGCTCCGGCATCGGGTCCTGATGCAAACCCATCCCTGTGCCCGCCAGCGGGCAGCAAGCAGGGTGAGGCAAGCGGCACCAGCTCCCCCCCTGCGTGGGCCATCTCGTTTGGGAGAATCAGTGACGCCAACAAAATTCAGGCTTCAACTCTTCCCTCCCGCGAGGGGTGCGACTGGGCACCTGACTCACGTGGCGCTGCTCTGGGTCCCTGACTGGATGCCCAGCCGTGTTGGAAAACAGGAGAACCGCCAGCTGGCCGTGGCCTTTCCAGCAGGGAGAGCCAAACATGGCGTCCCTGGTGCTAAACTGCGTGAAACGCTTCGGAGCAGCCACAAAAGCACCAGGCTTCAGTGCAGGAAGCTAGTCGTGAATTCGCTGTGTGCCGTTCGGCCTGCTCCGCTGGGCTGGGGCCTGGCCGGCCGGTGCTTTGCAAAGGGCCAGGTGCCTTTGAGATGCCTGAGGGTAACAGAGATGGTTGGTGGAGGCTTTCCCGGGCAGCGCTGGCCTTCAAGGCAGCCAGCTGTCTGGTGCTATCCCCTTCCCTCCTTGTCTCTAGGGAAAGGCCTGGAAAACGGGTGCTCCCAGGATCTCTGTCACAGCTTGGTGCAGGCTGGTCCCGAGATCCGGGCCTGCGTGGACGCCTGCAACCACATTGCCAAGACGCTGCAGGAGCAGAACGACTTCGACAACGTGAGTGCCACCCTTGCAGAGCCTTAACCGAGGGGGGGGGCTCTCAGGTCAGAGCGGGACCCAGAACAGTGGGGACAGAGGGGCCCAATTTGCAAGGACTCGCATATGGAGAAGCAGATCAGCGACCAAGCTGGAAAGGGAAATGGGGGAGGAAGGAGAGAAGGGGCCGTGTTTAGCCGCAGGGGAAGCGAGCGAAGTTTTGACTGAGTTCAGCGGTGGCTGCCCTTGGTCCGAAGCCCAAAGGCCCCAGGGCACACGGGCCCAGCGACAGCGGGAGCCTGCAGCAGGTTTGGCCGTGAGCATCTGTCTCTCCTCCCCGCAGGAGAACGAGGAGTGGATCCTGGTGGGGAGAGTCATCGACCGCGTCTGCTTCTTGGTCATGGCCTCGCTCTTCGTCCTGGGGACGGTCAGCATCTTCCTGATGGCCCATTTCAACCAGGCACCAGTAGTGCCCTTTCCCGGGGACCCCAAGCGCTACCTGCCGTAGCGCCCCACTTGGAGGGGGCGAGCCCAGGACGTCTGCACGAGAGCCTCACCCCACAGCTCTGCCGCGGGAGGCTGAGCCCTCCCTTGCACGGCGACGGGGGCCCCTGGGCTCCAGGCACCGGGTCCCAGGCGGGGCTCACAGAGCTGCTGCAGAGTGGAGCCTGCGGCTGCACCCGCCCACTGGACCCTTCAGCTGGGGCTGCTCGTGGGAGCCGCAGATGGAGACGACGCGGACCGCTGGGAGAGATGGCAGCCGAACGGGAGAATTCGGAGCCTGCCACGCCCACGCTGCACCCAGCTGCAGCCCTCTTGCTTGCCTCGTTTACATGGAAAGGGCAAGTGAGCTGAAGGGCACTGGCTGAATCTGGGCCCCCCCCAAACACTGCAGCTGGCAGCTCTGGAACCCCAGGGGACAAGGAGCCTGTCTGCCCCCGTGGGTAGCTACGTGGCGACAGCCCAGCGAGGGGAGCGGGGCAGGTTCGCGTGGGTTTGGCGGGAGATCTCGGGCGGCCGCGTGTGTTTCATGTGAGCCAGGCATGGGAGTAAACACCACCGCGTTTCCAAACGGCTGCTGGACTTCTTTGCTGGCCGCAAGGAAAGGCCAGGCGGGCGCTGGGGGCGGGGAGACAGGTCCTTCTCTGTTGGCCCAGCTGGCCCCGGCTTCCCAGAAGCGGCCGGGCAGAGGGAGATGGGGTGGGGGAGGCTGCCCGCTGCTGCTCCCAGGCTGCTGAGCGCCAGCCACGGCTCTGGGTACACTCGCCCAAGCTGTGGGGTTCCTGTTCTTTAGGGTGAGCAGCTCAGGCCCAGAGCACCTGCTCGCCGGCCACACTGCGGTCCCTGCGGCGCCAGGCTGGCTGGTGGAGCTCCGGCATTCCAGGGGGCATGAGTGGTTTGGCACATGCTCAGCTGGATTAATTCCTACTTTGCAGGGCAGCTCTGGCCAGCCCCTTCCCTCTCGACTGGCCATTAACCTGCTCTTTGCCTGGCCCAGACACGGGGTGGGGGTGGGGAGGGGTTCTGCTTTGAGCTGCCTGGGGAGAGCCCTGGAGTCAGTCCCGGAGCACGCTGCAGATCTGTGGGCACACGCGCCCGCTCGGCCAACTGGCCAGGGAAGGAGGCCACCGTGACCATTCGTGCCCAGTAACGGCTGCACAGGGAGCACTGGCTCCCCTTTGGATTCAGCCAGCTGGGCCTCCCACGACCGTTTCCAAACTCCCCCCTCGCCAGTCGCTGCTCCAGGCAGTTCCCAGCCGGCTCTGGGACACCCAGCGCACGCTGGCCAAGACGCCTTGGCCTCTGCAGCTCTGACTGCACCTCTCACACTCTGCATTCGGTCTCTGGCGGGGGCCACCCGGCTGAGCAGCATGGCCAGGCAGGGGCACGCTGCCGCAGGAGAGGCGAGGGGTTCAGATCGGGCCCCTTGCAGATCTCAGGAACCGAGAGGGGCTCTGGCTCGTTCCTCAGACCTTAGCCACAATCCCCAGCTGGCTGGGGGGCAGGCAGTGTAAGGGCAATGGGTGGGACGCCCCAGAAGGTCCATAAGACCCCCATAGGGCCTTCTGTCATGCCACACCCAGGCACAAGGGGGCTGGGGCAGAAAGGGGCCTCAAATCCGGCAGACCTGATTTTCAGAGCAGAGATTCTGGTGAAGCCTTTTCACCGCCCTGATCCGCTTCCTCCTCCGGCTTCGATCCTGGAGCAAAGCCCTAATCCCTGCTGCCCTCCCCCGTCCTCCCCCCACGGGGCCAGGAGCAGCCACCCAAAGAGCCCCAGCGGGAGATGGCCCCAAAGTGGCGGAGGAAAGGAAAGCGCCATGCAAGCGGAACAGCTGTGTGCTCAACCTCCCGTCCCGGCTGTGAACAAGCCAGAGTCGGAAACGGGGTTCGTGGGGGGGAAAGGCACGGGTTGCTTTGCCACAGAGGGCGCTGCCATGTGCGGGAGCCACAGGCACTGGGGAGGGGGTTCCAGAGGTGGGCTCCAGAGTCGACTGCTTTGGATTGCCCCAGGCACTAGCAGCTGGAAGCTGCTACCATGGGGGGGGCTATGGGGTGCCAGAGCTGAGCCGGCCCTATAGAGACAGGGCAGGGTCAGCTGGCTGCTTGCACCAGGGTGGGAGGAAACCTCCCAGTGCCTTGTCCTGTTTACTAAGGCAGCACTCCCCTGGAGCTCAGCTGGGGCTGGCCTGGGTCGGGGTGGGGATGGGAGCTAACAGTGTGGCTGGCCAGCCCGTGCCAGAGGACGTTGCCCCTTTCCTGGGCCGCATCTCAGAGGGTAGCAGGGAGTCCTATGGGGCAGGAGGAGCCCAGCACTGCCAGGATCCGGGCTGAGGATTCAAAATGCCCCATTGGATACTGGGGGCTGTCATGGAGTGTGGGGGAGTCCAGGCCCTGCACCCCTCTTCCTGGGATTCACTGAGACTCTCAGCCAGCCAGTAAAACAGAAGGTTTATTGGACAACAGGAACACAGTCCCAAACAGAGCTTGTGGGTACAACCAGGACCCCTCAGTCAAGTCCTTCTGGGGGAGCAGGGAGCTTAGACCCCAGCCCTGGGGTTGCCTGCGTTCCGCCACCCAGCACCAAGCCTGCAACTAACCCCCCCCCCCCGCCCTCCAGCAGGCTCCCTCCTGCAGCCTCTGTTCACATTCCTGGTCAGAGGTGTTACCTCCCCCTCCCCCTCCTGGCTCAGGTTACAGGCTCTCAGGTCTCCCATTGAAACTCCCCTGCCACATTCCCAGGTCAACACTCCCCCCTCCCTGCTGCGTCACATCTCTCCCCCCTTCGAGACTGAACTGAGCGGGGTCACGCTGACCAGTGACCTGGGGAAGTTCGGGGCCCCCTCTCCGGGACAACGCCTCCGCTATCATGTTGGCACTTCCCTTCACGTGGACCATGTCCATGTCGTAATCCTGCAGGAGCAGGCTCCATCTCAGGAGCTTGGCGTTGGCTCCTTTCATCTGGTGCAGCCAGGTCAGGGGAGAGTGGTCGGTGTAGACGGTGAAGTGCCGCCTGAAGAGATAGGGCTCTAGTTTCTTGAGGGCCCACACCATGGCCAGGCACTCCTTCTCGATGGCCGCGTAGTGTTGCTCCCGGGGTAGCAACTTCTTGCTCAGGTACACGATGGGGTGTCTCTCCCCCTTTTCATCCTCCTGCATTAACACCGCCCCCAGTCCCATGTCTGAGGCGTCGGTGAACACCACAAAGGGCTTGTCAAAGTCTGGGTTTGCCAGAACTGGGCCGCTGACCAGAGCCTCCTTCAGTGCGCGGAAAGCCTCCTGGCACTGCTCGGTCCAGACCACCTTCTCTGGCTGCCCCTTCTTGCATAGCTCAGTGATGGGGGTGGCTATGGCGCTAAAGTGGGGCACAAACCTTTGGTAGTATCCTGCCAACTCAATAAAGGCTTGGACCTGCTTTTTGGTGTGGGGAGCGGGCCAGTCTCTGATCACCTCCACCTTAGCTGGTTCCGGCTTTAGGTAGCTGCTCCCCACCCGATGGCCCAGGTAAGATACTTCCGCCATCCCTACCTTGCACTTCTCAGCTTTTATGGTCAGCCCAGCCCCCTGGAGTCGGTCCAGCATTTGTCTAACCTGGGACACGTGGTCCTCCCAGGTCTGGCTAAAGACACAGATGTCATCAATATACGCCACGGCAAAACTCTCCATCCCCCTCAGGAGCTGGTCCACCAGGCACTGGAAGGTGGCCGGCGCTCCCTTGAGGCCGAAAGGCAGGGTCAGGGACTCATAGAGCCCCAGAGGGGTGATAAAGGCCGATTTCAGCCGGGCATCTGCATCCAGCGGCACTTGCCAGTAGCCCTTTGTAAGGTCCATGGTGGTAAGGTACCGAGCTCCTCCCAGCTCGTCTAGGAGCTCGTCCGGCCTGGGCATGGGGTAGGCATCAGATACAGTGATGGCATTGAGCTTCCGATAGTCCACACAGAACTGGACCGACCCGTCCTTTTTGGGGACCAGCACCACCGTCGAGGCCCAAGGGCTGGCAGATGGCTGGATCACCCCCAAAGCCAGCATATCCCTGACCTCTCTTTCCAGGTCCTGAGCAGTTTTCCTTGTGACTCGGAAGGGGGAGCATCTTATCGGTGGGTGCGACCCTGTCTGCACCCGGTGGACAGTCAGATTAGTGCGTCCAGGCTGGTTGGAAAACAGCTGTCGGTAGGGATGCAGCACCCCCCTGACCTCAGCTTGCTGGGCAGGGGTTAGCTGATCCGAGAGGGGAATTGTTTCCAGGGGGGAACCAGCTCTGGTCCCAGGGAATAGATCTACTAAAGGGTCATCTCCCTGCTCCTCCCAATGTCCACACACGGCCAACACCACATTCCCCCTGGCATAATATGGCTTCATCATATTCACATGGTACACCCGGCGGTGGTGCGCCCGGTTCGACAGCTCCACCACATAGTTTACCTCATTTAGCTGCTTGACAACCTTGAAAGGGCCCTCCCAGGCGGCCTGTAGTTTGTTCTTTCTCACAGGGATGAGAACCATCACCGGATCCCCGGTGGCGTAGGCACGGGCCCGCGCCGTGTGGTCATACCAGACCTTCTGCTTCTTCTGGGCTCTGGCCAGATTCTCCCTGGCCAGGCCCATGAGTTCAACAAGTCTCTCTCGGAAGATCAGGACATACTCCACCACTGACTCTCCATCGGGAGTGGCCTTCCCCTCCCACTCGTCTCTCATCAGGTCCAGGGGGCCCCTCACCCTCCTTCCATATAACAGTTCAAAAGGTGAAAATCCGGTAGACTCCTGGGGCACCTCCCTGTACGCGAACAGCAGGTGAGGTAAGTATTTGTCCCAATCCTGCGGGTGCTGGTTCATAAAGGTTTTCAATATCATCTTTAGCGTCCCGTTGAACCTCTCCACCAGCCCATTGGACTGGGGGTGATAAGCTGAGGCCCAGTTGTGCTGGACCCCACATTTCTCCCACAAGCACCTGAGCAGGGCCGACATGAAGTTGGAGCCTTGGTCTGTCAAGACTTCCTTGGGGAACCCCACTCGGCTGAAAATGGTCAGGAGCGCATCTGCCACGGTGTCTGCTTCAATGGAAGCTAAGGGCACTGCCTCGGGGTAGCAAGTGGCAAAATCTACCACCACCAGAATGTATTTCTTCCTCAACCTGGTCGTCTTGCTCACCGGTCCCATTATGTCCATGGCCACCTTCTGGAAAGGTTCCTCTATGATGGGCAAAAGTCTCAAAGCTGCTTTCCCCTTGTCCCGGGCCTTCCCCACCCTCTTACAGGGGTCACAGGATCGGCAATACTGCCGGACCGTGGTAAAGACCCCGGGCCAGTAAAAGTTCTGTAGCAACCTCTGCCGGGTGCCCCGGATTCCCTCGTGCCCTGAGAGGGGGATGTCATGGGCCAGGTACAGTAGCTTGCAGCGATACTTCTGGGGGACCACCAGCTGCCTCCTGATCCCACATGACTCCACTTCCCTTGGGGGAGCCCATTCTCGGTACAGGAACCCCTTCTCCCACAGGAACCTCTCCTGGCAACCTCTCCGTACCACACTGAGGTCGGCCAGGTCCCTGAGCTTCCGCAAGGAGGGATCTTTCTGCAACTCAGCCTGGAACTCAGCGGCTGGGGAAGGGATGGGGACCAGTTCCCTCTCACTGGCTGGGTCTGAGGCCACAGCCTCTCTGAGCCGTGCCCCTCGGCGCTCCCTCCCCACCAGGGTAGGGTCCTGCGCCTCCCGTGTGGTACCCTCCCCAAGGTCAGGGTGCAGTACCCCTCGCCGGCTCTGGCTACGCGTCACAACCAGGACGGTCTGGGGGTTGCTTGGCCAGTCCTCTAGGTCCCCCCCCATCAAAACCTCAGTGGGCAAATGGTGGTGCACCCCCACGTCCTTGGGGCCCTCCTTGGCCCCCCATTTCAGGTGTACCCTTGCCACGGGCACCTTGAATGGGGTCCTGCCCACCCCCGTCAGGGTCAGGTAGGTGTTGGGCACCACCCGATCTGGGGCCACCACCTCAGGCCGGGCCAGTGTCACCTCCGCGCCTGTATCCCAGTATCCATTGACCTTCCTCCCATCCACCTCCAGGGGAACAAGGCACTCGCTCCGGAGGGACAGCCCCACACCCACCCTGTAAACCGAGCACCCTGAGCCCAGAGCCTCCAGCCCTCTGGCGGAGCTGGCCTGGGGTACTCTTCCCTCCCGAGTAGGTAGTCAGCTAGCAGCCCCCCTTGCCTGGGCCGTCTGCCCCTCGTCCAGCTGGGTCCCTCCCCATTTAACCCAGGGTAGGTTGGGTCTGCTCAGTCTGTCCCTGAGCCTGGGGCACTGGGTCCGTATGTGGCCTCTCTGGCCACAGTGATAGCAGCTCAGGTCACGTTGGTCCCCTCGAGCGGGTCGGAGGGTCCCAACGCCAGACATTCCCCTTGGGAGGGGGTTCTCCCTATTTCCCCGCTGGGAGGTCCCATGGTGACTCTCTGTCTGCATCGTGGGGGGCCTGTTATTTTGGGACTCCTCCCGGCTACCCCCTGACCAACTGTTCACAAACTCATCGGCCAGCTGCCCTGCGTACTGGGGGTTCTCTAGCTTTTTGTCCATCAACCACAGCCTCAGGTCGGAAGGGCACTGTTCATACAGTTGCTCCAGTATGATTAGGTCAAGCAGGTCCTCTTTAGCTTGGGCCCCAGCTGTCCACTTGCGGGCATATCCCTGCATTCGGTTGACCAGTTGTAGATATGTGACCTCAGGCATTTTACGCTGACTCCGGAACCTTTTCCGGTACATCTCGGGGGTCAGCCCAAACTCACGGAGCAGGGCCTGTTTGAACAGTTCATAGTCCCCTGCCTCCGGCCCTGTCATTCGGCTGTACACCTCCACGGCTTTGGGGTCCAGTAAGGGGGTGAGGAACTGGAGCCTGTCTGCAGGGTCAACCTTGTGCAGCTCGCAGGCATTCTCAAAGGCCGTCAGGAAGCTATCTATGTCCTCCCCCTCCTTCCGCTGGGCCAGGAAGCACTTATCAAAGCTCTTTGCAGTCTTGGGTCCCCCCGCACTCACCGCAGCTGGGGCCCCACTGCTCCTCAGTCTGGCCAGCTCCAGTTCATGCTGTCTTTGTTTCTCCTTCTCCTCCTGTTCATGCCTACGTTGCCTCTCCTTCTCCTGACGTTCCCTCTCCTTCTCCTCCTGCTCATGCCAACGTTGTTTCTCCTCATGCTGACGCTGCTTTTCACGGTCCTCCAGCTCCCTCATTTTCATCTCCCTCTCCCATTCCAGCCGCCTCCGCTCCAGGGATGGGGAGCTCTGCCGGGAGGATCCCCTGCTGGCTGCCGGGGTCAGGGTGCCCTCGGTCTTCACTGGGCTTCCCCAACCCCTCCCCCAGGCATAGGTAGGAAGGGTCTCGGGATGTCCTTGGCAGCAGTCTGACCCCTCCCAGCCCGGTCAGGCCCCAGGGCCCACGCTGCGTCTGCCGGGCGGCTTCCCTCAGGGACAGGGATCGGATCATCCAAGCGATCCCTCTCCTCCAACTGGGCAATCAGCTGTTCCTTGGTGGACCTCCCAATGCGCAGCCCCCTCTGCCTGCACAGCTCCACCAGGTCGCTCTTAAGGCGTTTAGCGTACATCTCCCTGCTGGCCACTCGCAGGCCTGGGCAGCTTTCCACAGTTTCCAGGAAAAACCCCGAGGGTGCCAGTCCTTCTTGAGGTCACCACCTCTTTGCCAGGGTCGAGCTGCAGACTCCTCTGCCCCTGGGACCGCTCGCTGCAATCCCCCGGGGAACCCTGTTACTGCAAAAGTCCTTCTCTCTGGTCACACACTCCCAGGGGTTAACCGCCCCCTGAAACCGTCTCTCTCTGAATCTTCAGCACGCCTGGTCCCCGTCAATCCCCCTTCGTTTTACTGTTCCCCAGTCACTTACTGCAGGAAGCGCCGTTCACGGGGTGCAGTAGATCCCACCTCTGCCACCAGTTGTCATGGAGTGTGGGGGAGTCCGGGCCCTGCACCCCTCTTCCTGGGATTCACTGAGACTCTCAGCCAGCCAGTAAAACAGAAGGTTTATTGGACAACAGGAACACAGTCCCAAACAGAGCTTGTGGGTACACCCAGGACCCCTCAGTCAAGTCCTTCTGGGGGAGCAGGGAGCTCAGACCCCAGCCCTGGGGTTGCCTGCGCTCCTCCACCCAGCCCCAAACTGAAACTAAACCCACCCAGCAGGTTCCCTTCTGCAGCCTCTGTTCACATTCCTGGGCAGAGGTGTTACCTCCCCCTCCTGGCTCAGGTTACAGGCTCTCAGGTCTCCCATTGAAACTCCCCTGCCACATTCCCAGGTCAACACTCCCCCCTCCCTGCTGCGTCACAGGGGCCTCGAGTCACTTTGGTGCAGACGCAGATTTGCAAGCGACCCTGTTTTCTCCTGCCCCCCGTAGGCCTGGCAGCACCCTGACCCGGCCTGGCTCGCATGGCACCAACCGGGCTCTGGACTGGCCTCTGGCTCTAATGTCACTCTGCCAGGTCTCCCCCGCTGCCCTGATTAACACCCCCCCACCGCCCGCCTGATGGGCCCCTCCTCCTGGGAAAACTGCTGCTCCCTCCTGCCCTTCGCTGACCCCTCGGGGCCAGAGCTCTGCCCTTTGCTCCAGCCGTGCCATTGTCCCCGCACAATGGGGGAGATCCGGCTGGTTGGGATGGCAACGCCGGCGGGCGGGAGGGGCAGGGGGGCTGTGGCGGGGGCTGAGCTGTTGGAGGGGGCTGGCGGCACCAGCTGCACAGGGGCCGGGGAGTTTGAAGAGCAGGTGCCCTCCAAACCCTGAACTCCGCTCGGCTCCAGCCCTCTGCCGCCCGGGGCTTGCCCTCAGCTCTCGGCCCCCTCGGGATGGCCGCGCTCAGCTCCCAGCCATCTCCCTTTGGGCACCTGACGCGGGAGAGGCACATCCAAGCGCTGGCAAGATCCTTGAGGAAGAAGGATGGGTCTCCGGGCCTCCGGGCCGGGGGGACATCCCCCAGCTGGGAAGGCACAAGCCGGGCTAACCAGGCTGAGGAGCCGGCCTTTGGGAGCAGCCAGGGGAGCCCGGAGCCAGATCGGCGGGTTGGAGCCGATGCCCCTTCGAGTGCCGAGGACCCTGGCCACCAGCTCAAGGGCCGGAGACGGCCGGGAAGCGAGCGCGGTGGGACTGCCGGGGAGGAAACCAGCGAGTCACCTCTGCCACGGCTGGGCTGGCGGGGCAGGAGAACCCACCGACGGAGCCTGGAGCAGAGCTTGCAGCGGGTTCAGGAGGACGACGAATTTCCCCCGTTCAGGCTGCAGGTGCTGGCCGGCGTCTCCCAGCTGTGCATCACTGCCCGAGCTGATCCACGCGGTAAGGCCCGTGCGAGGCCCAATCCGCTGGCCTCGGCTCCCTGCTGGCCTGTGGCCCTCGCAGCACTCAGCCCCCACCTCCTCCTTACGAGACCCCTGCCGTGATCCCAGCACCCAGGACCCAGGGATTGGCAGTGGGGCACAGAGCCTTTCAGCCCAGCTCCTCTCTTCAGCTCTGCCCATCAGTAGGGAGCAAAAGCTGGTGCCCCCTGGCAGTGTCTGGGGGGTTCAGGCTGACCCAGGTCACCCAGATCACAAAAGCCAGCACCAGCCAGGCCTGGGAGCCAATAGCGAGCGGCTCCCACATGCGTGGGGGCTGTCTCCGAGGGGAGGAGCGCCCCCCAATCTCGGCTCCGACCCGCTTGTCTCTGGGGTTCAGATGGCCCCAAATCAGCCTGGCCCAGTGCAGTGACAACCCCGCCCGAACCTGCAGCGCAGAGGAGCAGAAGAAGGGGAGCAGAGCGGCCAAGGGGCGAGGGGGGGACGACGGGGGGCGTTGGTTTGGTGGAGGACGCGCCAGGAAGCTGTGTCCCGTCATGGTCCCGTCACCTGCTCCCCGCAGGCTGATTGTCAGACCTGCCCCCGGGCTGGGTGCTTTGTGGGATCTCTGGTACCTACACTGTTTAACCCGAGCTGGCCAATATGCGATGGGCCCACCAGCCCCAAGCCATGGGGCCATGAACACCCCCGGCCCGGTCCCAGACGGGCGCTCCACGCCGGCCCTGCTTGAGGAATCTAAAGGCACCATGCCGGGCAGTGACATTTCCTGCCCACCCAGGCCTGGCACTAGCAGGGCGGGGAGGTGCGGGGCGGGGGGGGGCACAGCTCAGACACCGTCGCTGCGACTGTTGCAGGGTTCGCCGGGGACCCAGGGAGAACGTACGTGGTGGGCACCACGCAGGCAAAGGAGCTGCTGGTAGCTAGCGAAGGTAACTGGTCGCCCCCACCCCCCTCATTGTCACCAGCCATGGGGGGAGGGGCACTAAACCCTCCCAAATGGGGGGAAAGGGTCTGGATAGGAAGCCATGGAAAGGGCCGAGCCCATCCCCCAGCAGGATGTGCCTCCCACCCCCACCCCCCCACCCCCGGGAGCCCCCTCCCGCAGCAGCCCCAGATCCTGCCACGGCCCCTCCGTTCCCATCCCCCGCGGCGCTGCCTTGGCTCAGGGCGGGGCGCAGCACAGCCCCCCCAGTGCAGGGGAGCAGGGCCCCTAGCGCAGCCCCCCGTCCCCCCGCAGGCCCCTAGCGCAGGCCCCTCGCCCCAGCATCAGGGCGCAGGCCCCTAGCGCAGCCCCTTCGACCCAGCATCGGGGCGCAGGCCCCTCGCGCAGCCCCCTCGCCCCAGCATCGGGGCGCAGGCCCCTCGCGCAGCCCCTTCGACCCAGCATCGGGGCGCAGGCCCCTCGCGCAGCCCCTTCGACCCAGCATCGGGGCGCAGTCTCCCCCATGCGTGACGGCCGCCTAGTCTGCACCATTCTCTGTGCCCACCTCAGAAACCAGCCGCTTGTGCCTGCATCTGTGTGGCCCTGCCCGCTCCTGCTGCATCCACCTCCAGGACCCGCAAGGCCAAGAAATCCTGTGGCTCCAGCGGCCCTTCGGGGGGGGCGCCAGCTGCCTGGGCTGCTGCCAGAGGGAGATGCGGGTGTTCACCGCCGGTGACCAGCTCGTGGGCAGCGTGCGGCAGCGGTGAGGGCACCGTGGGTTCGGGCACCAGGGCTCAGGGAGGGATTGCTCCTCAGCACGGAGAGGAGCCGGGCCCCACGCGGACGAGGGGCTGGTGGAGGCAGCGTGGGTGAACCGGGGGGCAGCGCCCCCCTCTGAGGCGCCAGGGTTTGGCCACTGGTGGGCGGCAAGCTGCACGGGGCGGATGGACCAGTGATCAGACCCTGCGCCATGCCCCGCAGTGCAGCCCAGGGGCTCCCGCCGCCCCTCTGGCTGGCGTGGGGCCCGCTGCCCTGCCCACGGCCTGGCTGTACCACACGGCATGCTCTGTGTCTAGGTGGGGCATCCTTGCCCATCTCTGGGACCTGCGTGACCCCCACGGTGTAGCCACCATGAGGATCCGAGGCTCCTGTGCGGCCAGCCGCTGCTCCTCCAACCAGGAGTTCCAGGTAAGGGGGGTGGGTGGAATAGGGCAGTGCGTCGCCCTGGGGCTCCCGCCAAACACAGACCTTGGACGTTTTGTGGTGGATGGTGGGGGGCTTTCACTGGTTTCCGTTGGATTATCTACACTCTCTAGACAGCAACACGGGCTTCTTATAGATCATCCACCCGGAAGCTGGCAGCTGTACTCATTTGCCATGCTTGCTATACAGCGTGGGTGAACATGGGCAGGAAGGAACGCAACAGAAGTAATTGGTGTAAAGTCTACCAGCGCCCACACTGTGAATACTGTGTCCAGCTCTGGTCACCCCATCTCAGCAAGGATGCAGCGGGACTGGGAAAGGTTCACAGAAGGGCAACAGAGGTGGTCAAGGGTATGAAACGGCCTCCATGCGGAGAGAGATTAAAAAGATAGGGCCCATTCAGCTTAGACAGGAGACGACTAATGGAAGGTATGACAGAGGTCTATAAAATCATGCCTGGCGTGGGAAAAGGAACAAGGAAGAGTTATTTAGTCCTACCCATATGTCACGGAGTGTGGGGGAGTCCAGGCCCTGCACCCCTCTTCCTGGGATTCATTGAGACTCTCAGCCAGCCAGTAAAACAGAAGGTTTATTGGACAACGGGAACACAGTCCCAAACAGAGCTTGTGGGTACACCCAGGACCCCTCAGTCAAGTCCTTCTGGGGGAGCAGGGAGCTCAGACCCCAGCCCTGGGGTTCCCTGCGCTCCTCCACCCAGCCCCAAACTGAAACTAAACCCACCCAGCAGGTTCCCTTCTGCAGCCTCTGTTCACATTCTTGGGCAGAGGTGTTACCTCCCCCTCCCCCTCCTGGCTCAGGTGACAGGCTCTCAGGTTTCCCATCCCCAGGGCACATTCCCAGGTCAGCACTTCCCCAGCAGGTTCCCTTCTGCAGCCTCTCAGAGGAACAGCCGTGTTAGTCTGTATTCGCAAAAAGAAAAGGAGTACTTGTGGCACCTTAGCGACTAACCAATTTATTTGAGCATGAGCTTTCGTGAGCTACAGCTCACTTCATCAGATGTTATACCGTGGAAACTGCAGCAGACTTTATATACACACAGAGAATATGAAACAATACCTCCTCCCACCCCACTGTCCTGCTGGTAATAGCTTATCTAAAGTGATCAACAGGTGGGCCATTTCCAGCACAAATCCAGGTTTTCTCACCCTCCACCCCCCCACACAAATTCACTCTCCTGCTGGTGCTAGCCCATCCAAAGTGACAACTCTTTACATAATCAAGTCGGGCTATTTCCTGCATAGATCCAGGTTTTCTCACATCCACCCCACCCCCATACACACACAAACTCACTCTCCTGCTGGTAATAGCTCATCTAAACTGACCACTCTCCAAGTTTAAATCCAAGTTAAACCAGAACATCTGGGGGGGGGGGGGTAGGAAAAAACAAGAGGAAACAGGCTACCTTGCATAATGACTTAGCCACTCCCAGTCTCTATTTAAGCCTAAATTAATAGTATCCAATTTGCAAATGAATTCCAATTCAGCATTTTCTCGCTGGAGTCTGGATTTGAAGTTTTTTTGTTTTAAGATAGCGACCTTCATGTCTGTGATTGCGTGACCAGAGAGATTGAAGTGTTCTCCGACTGGTTTATGAATGTTATAATTCTTGACATCTGATTTGTGTCCATTTATTCTTTTACGTAGAGACTGTCCAGTTTGACCAATGTACATGGCAGAGGGGCATTGCTGGCACATCTGATGAAGTGAGCTGTAGCTCACGAAAGCTCATGCTCAAATAAATTGGTTAGTCTCTAAGGTGCCACAAGTACTCCTTTTCTTTCTGCAGCCTCTGTTCACATTCCTGGGCAGAGGTGTTGCCTCCCCCTCCCTGGCTCAGGTGACAGGCTCTCAGGTCTCCCATCTCCAGGGCACATTCCCAGGTCAACACTCACCCATCCCTGCTGTGTCACATCGTCACACCATAGCACAAGAATTAGGGAACTAATAGGCAGCAGGTTTCAAACAAACTAAAGGAAGTATTTCACACAATGCACAATTAACCTGTGGAACTCCGTGCCAGGGGATGTTGTGAAGGTCAAAAGCATAACTAGGAGGAGTTCATGGAGGATAGGTCCGTCGATGGATAGTAGCCAAGATGGTCAGGACACAACCCCATGCTCAAGGTGACCCTAAACCTCTGACTGCCAGAAGCGAGGAGTGGAAGACAGGGGTGGATCACTCCATAAGTGCCCTGTTCAGAACACCCCCCACCCCCCACGAAGCTCTGGTACTGGCCATGGATGCAGACAGGACACTGGTACAGATAGGCCATGGTCTGACCCAGTGGGGCAGCGCTTATGTTCTTATGTAGTCTAGTGATGATGTTAAGCTGGGGCCTTGCTAGAACCCCCCTTTGGGATGTCCGCAGCCCCAGCCCATTGCTAGCACGGCCTTGCCATGGAGCTGCTCATCTTTGTCCACCCGCCCAGGTCACCTCCTGCGCTGGCAGCCCCCTGGCAGTGATCTGGAAGAGGTGGCCGGGTTTCAACGAGGACCGGAACATGGACCATGAGTTCTTCGGGGTGGACAGTAAGTGGGGAGTGCAGAGCGGCCAGGCTGCCAGGGAGAGCCCCCCAGCAGTGCGGCCTCTGGGATGGGCAGGCTGGCGGGCTCTGGGGGCACGCCGAGGTGACCACACGCCGGTGGGGTTCAGAGCTGGCCGCGCTCTCCACAGCGCCCCCCTAGCAGGACAAACTCCGCTGCTGTCGCTAGAGAAGGTTCCTGGTGCATTTCACCCTCCAAACAGGCTTTGCTCAGGCTCAGTCACCATGGAGATAGGCACTGGTTTAATTTCCTCCCATCCCTAATAGAGGCAGCTCCTTCTCCAGCATCTGCCCCCAAAGCACCTGAGCTCCAGCAAGGACGAGGGAACTGGCCTCACCCACAGAGCGAGCTGCAGGGAGAGCCCCGGGGTGGTGGCAAAGAGCCCTGCTGTGTCTCGGCCACCCAGAGAGCAGAGGCTCTCCTCTCGGATGCTCTTGCCAGGGAGGGGGGCTATCAGCACCTGGCAGGAGAGGATGCAGATGGGATGCTCGCCTCCTGAGGCCGCAGAATGTCCCATGAGGGAGAGAGGCCCCCAAACCCAAGCAGTGGGGCTGTTCTGGGGCCGGGAGGATGCTGGCATCGCCCCCTGTACCCATAGCTGAGCTGTGGGCAACATGCCTTTCCACCGTCTCTCTGTCAGTTTCAGCAAAGCTGGGGGCCGAGGACACCGCTCTCCTGCTGGCAGCAGCCTTCCTCCTGGTAAGTGCCAGCAGCCGAACCCTCCCCGCCCGCTCACGCGCCGGCCCTCCACTGCGTGCCCTCTGCCCCCTGCTCGCACTCATGGGCTGGCCACCCTGCCAGTGGCTCGTGTGGGCCAGAGCCCTGGGGCAAGGACACTGAACCTTCCAGCCCTAACCCGGCGAACAACCGGAGGGGACAGGAGCGAAGGGGCCTCGCCAGCGACCCCTGGCAGCAGGGCACCCGGGTTCAGCTTGCCCCTGAGCAAACAGGCCTTAGCGAGTTCTCTTGGCTGCTGCCTGACATGGCGTTGTTTTACCTAAACGCACTGCCCCGCACCTGCCAGCTCGCTGCCTCGGTTCCCCTCCGGCGCCTGGTTACACTAGACCCAAGACAAACACAGCTACACCTCCCCCCCCCGCCAGGCCTCCTCCGCACCATCCTCCCCGCAGCACAACACCCCTGTGCGGGCACTGAGCTGGGGACAACTGGGCACAGGCGCTGGGCAGGATTCGCTTTGCCTTTTCCTCGCCAAGCTCCCCTCCCCCATCAGCTGTCATGTCTTGGGATGTCCTTAGCCACCTCGCTTTCGACTGGCCCCCCGCTCCACGGAGCGTACCGTCTCCGGCCTGGCCCGTGCACCCACGGTGCTCCAGGCAGCAGCACCCGTGTGTTTTGTCGTTAGCTGTCACCCAAGGGGATGCCCATCTCCCGCTCAGAGGAGTGGTAAAGTCAGGGGCATAGGACGCCCCCTCCACCTTTGTGTGGAGCACAAGGACGCGCCCGCCTGTTTGTAACCTCTTCTCATGTCTCCCAGAACTTCATGTTCTTCGAGATGAGCTGAGGAGGCCTAGAAGAGACCTGCTGGGAGCCCTGCCATGCCAGAGACTCTGGGACTCGTCCAGCAACCCCCTCCCCCCCCCGAGCCATGGAAATCCCAACAGCGAGGCACAGGCCGCTGCTGCCTCGCGAACGCCGGATCGCCTGGGCAGGTGGGATGGCACTCAACGCCTGGCTTTGCGTGTGCTGCTTTCATGAGGCAACTGGAGAACCTGGAGTCTGACGTACTTTCTGTCTGTCTTAGGTGTGCACATGGCCCCACCACCAGTGTGTCTGAGCCCCTCCCAATCCTCAATGCAACATCCCTGAGAGGCAGGGCAGGTATCCCCATTGTACACAGGGGAAGCTAAGGGAGATGCCCACGGTCACACAGGAAGTCGGTGGCAGAGCAGGGAATTGACGCCAGGTCTCCCAAGTGCTAAGCTAGAGCCCCAACCACTAGGCCACCCTTCCGCTCCCAGGTCACCGTAAAATCCAGCACTGGCTGGGCCGCTTGCTGAACCCACATCGCAGAAGGCACACCCATGCTTTTCACACCCTGAACTCTACAGTACCTGGCGCTGGGAATCCTCGACAGCCCCAGCATCACAAGGGCAGGAAGAGGAAGGAGCCAATGAACGGTTCAAACCCACCACAAGCCAGGGGAGCAGAACGAGGCAAAGCATTCAGACATGGCGAAAGCATATGCCAGGCTCAGGTCCTCAACCTACTGGGCACCATAACCCAGTCTGTCCATGGCCCTCCCAGATTGCTCTGAGTAACTGACACAGGAAGTCAATTAAACCATCAAATCAGCTCTTGGTGGACCTGGTGTATGTGGGGTTTCCCCGTTAAATCGAGGAATGGGAGTTTCCCTTTGGGCTGCTGGCAGCTGGGCAGGTGCGTCTGGAAGCAGGAGGGTTTGGTGCAAAACCACCCCAGGGGCTCTTTGGGGAATTGTTTTCAGAAACACAGAGGTTCCAGGGGTCAGCGGCCCCATTCGGAATCAGGGCTGCGTGGTGCGGGGCGCTGTACAGACACATACGAAACCACGGTCCCCACCTTGAAGGGCAGATGACTGAACGCAGGACCAGATGCAACAAATGGGAGCAGCGGCATGAGCGAGCGACTGGAGTAACGAGGCTGCAGGAACAGGGCTAGGACCGCGCGGTAACACAGAGGAGTCCTGCACGCACTTTGATGGTGCAGGTCCGTTAATGACCTAGCTCTCGAGTGCAAACGAATACATGAACCAGCTCACTGACCATTGCTGAGCCCTGCTTGGCTGCCTGTCTACCCACTAGCTGATGGCAGGTTCTCAGAGGCATGGGGCAAGCAACAGGGCGGGGGGGGGGGGGTGTTGTCAAGTGCCACAGACCTCTAAGGAGTTACCCCTCGAGGCAGATTTCCCAACTAACCACACCTTTGCCCAGCCAGCCCCGCCCCACACATCGTTTCCTTTCCTTATCAGGTGCGTAGCTTCTAACACGGACCCTGCTGCAGCCTTTGGGTGCAAAAGTCTGCGGGGGGAGGGGGGTGCAGCTCACACCGAACCCCACACGTGCAGGGGAGAAATTAGCCCAGGGCTTTTAAAACCAGGACACGTGTTGCTCAGAGGGACCTCAGACACCTAACCAAGCCGGAACCAGCATCAGCCCTATTTTACAGAGGAGTAAACACTTGCTCACAGTCCCAGAGCTAGTCAGTGGTAAGCCAGGAGTCCTGGCTCCTAATTCCCTGTGAGAGGGGCAACCGACTCCACAGGAAAATGCAGGACTGGCCCCTTAGCTCCCAAAGCAGAGTGCAAACCCAGCAGCAGGTTTAAAGGCTACGTGCTTTCAAAGGAGCCAACCCTGGCCGCTTTACCACGATTCCCCTAACCCCGGTGATGTTGTGGCCCGAGGCCCTTACCGCTTGCTGTGTGGAAGCCACCTGCCTGCTCCGTCCCCTGCCCCATATGTCACAGATGCAGCAAAGGCAGGCTTTTTCCCCCTGGTCAGCTGAGAGGAAATGATGAATTTCCCCTTTAAGAAAGGGAATTATGGGTAAGTTACCAGGCTTATAAGAAAGGCAGCTCATGTAGCTCTGTGACAGAGCTTGCTGGGTTTCTGGTGGCCAGGGGGTGGCCTTTCAGTAGAGGCGAATCAAGTTCCCTTTTAATAAATGAAGGAACCTGGGTTTTTCTAGGAGAACCAGTCTCTGTAAAACATCAGATGCCCTTGTGGACCTGGGAAACAACAAGTTCTGGGTGGGCTCTCATTCTCCCGCTCCCATGAGCTTTGGAGAATCACTGCACCCCGAGTCTGTACCATGGAGATCCCCCTTATTCAGCTATCGCACATGAGCGGGGGGGCGAGGCCTAGTGGCCAGCGTTCAGTATCGTTACCTGAAATCCAGAGACCCTTCCTCTGCATGGGTGACTTTTTTTTTTTTTTTGATGGCTTATTTTTGGCCTATTCCCATCCTGGCAGGAACAGACAACCCCCTTGGGGCAGTTCGGATTGATGCCCCCTCTCTACTGGTAGGAGACCCAGCATTTCTCCTGCAATGCTTGAGCAGCTTTTTCTCCCCCAGGCTCTGGTCAGCGATCAGGAATTGATCAAATGCAGCATGGAACAGGTTTCATCATGGCAAGGCTCCCTGCGTTAGCTGGCTGGAAAGCCTGGTTCGTCTGTGGGCCATCATGCTGGCTACTCTCCGAGAGGTGAAACATCGTTCTAAAAACCCAACCCGATGTAATGCTCTGCCAGCAACTCTGGCCACTTGCTGGTTGGTCCTTGTTGTAGAGACGCCCTGTCGCCCTCATGGGATCAATACGAATGCCTCCTAAGTGTTGAGAAATAACTCTCCCTCTTGAGTCTATGGGAGAATTGACTTGATGGGTCGATAGGTGCTGTGGGACGTCATGGGGACAGAAGGAACGGTGGTCTTTCATGGAGCCAGGGCTATGCCAATGGAGGGCTCGCATCCAGAGCTAGGGACCTTGGACTGGCCCGTGTGTTCATTGGGGAGCCAGGGCCAAGAACGGTGCATTGGCACAATGCATTCCCAGCCAAATGGAGCTGGGTCTGTTCTGAGAGTGCAGGGAGCAAATCCTGCTGGGCCTGTCCTGCCCCAGCAGGGCTGACGGCAGAACCAGGTGGAATTGACAAATGTCTGAATGAAGCACTTGGGGGCGGGCGGGGGTGTCACGGAGTCCCCGGGGCGCTGCTCTGGAACTCCTCCCTACGCAGCCAGGCAGGACTCTGGGGAAGTCTCCTCTCTGGGAGCAGCCTGTCTGCAGGGCAAGAAGCTCACCCGGCTTCCACCTTCCTGGGTCTGACCTCAGAGCATTCAGTCTCCTCTGCCCCTCCATGCGCTTCCCACAGCGAGTCCGCCCAGGCGGGGTCTTGGGGAAGCCAGAGGGTCCTGCCCCCCAACTCCGCAGTCAGACGGGACTCTCAGCCAGCCAGTAAAACAGAAGGTTTATTAGATAACAGGAACATGGTCTAACACAGAGCTTGTAGGTGTAGAGAACAGGACCCCTCAGCTGGGTCCATTTTGGGGGGCAGTGAGCCAGACAACCACGTCTGCCCTTCACTCCATGTCCCAGCCAGCCCCAAACTGAAACTCCCTCCAGCCCCTCCTCCCCTGGGCTTTGTCCCTTTCCCGGGCCAGGAGGTCACCTGATTCCTTTGTTCTCCAACCCTTTAGCTCTCACCTTGCAGGGGGGGAGGGCACAGGCCATCAGTTGCCAGGAGACAGAGTGTCGGCCATCTATGTACCGTGGCCCTTTGCTCTGCAACAATTACACCCCCTTATCCCACCACCTAGAGACTTAAGAAATGCACAGGGGAAACTGAGGCACCCCTACAGTATTCAGAGGAAACATGAAGAACAGTCCCACTTCGTCACAGGGAGCACAGGCTCACTTGCAAGAGGCCTAAGGTGCTTCTCCTCCCCGTGAGGATGCTATTGTCAGTGCTCACTAGTGGCTGGTAAAACAGCGGAGACACAAGGGGCCAGGCAGCTCCCTACACAGCCACATGGTTCCCTGCTCTCAGTGAGAAGTGGGGCTAAACAGACCATCCAAGGTGGAGGAGCCTTTGACTGTCTTTTGCTGGGAACGGCTTTGAAAGCTGGAAGTAGAGACAAGCCCTTCCCTCGCTCTCCATTAAAACAGTCCACACTCTTGTTCTTGCAGGATTTCATTAGTGCAGCAAAACAGGCTACAAAAGAACAGCCCTGTCGAAACCCGCTTCTCACCCTGTCCCTTTGTACCAGCCACCATGACTCAGACAGCTGTGACCCCTGCCCCCCGCACTCTCCCTTTAGCCCCAGGGACTGCGTTTGTTCTGAGCTCCATAGACCAAACCACAGGGCAAAGTAATCTCCATCGAACAATCAGAGCCAGAGGGACTGATGTTTTGAACAGAAACAGGGGCAGAGGGGCTGTGGAAGGAGAGAAGCAGACATCCAACAGAATGGCAGTTCCATAGGGTGGCTCACTTTAAAACAGCATGACTGCTGCCCTGGCAGAGGTAATAGCAAGCCCACTCCTGGGTACGGCCTTCCACGGCATGCGTCCGAGGGGAGAAGTCTGAAAACACATAAAATAGCAACACTGGGCTCTGCGCATCGCGGGGAGTGGAAACGAGACTAAAACCTTAAGTGCTGTCATCTGCAGAAAGCTTAACACAATGTGGCTCAGAGGAGTATCTTATTACGACTGAGAATAAATCCCCCCTTACAAACCTTGAAGGCACCAGGACAGAGTATTATTTCAAAAGGAGCATTTTAAGTGCTGCAGCTATGGTATGCTACCCGGTAGTATCAGGCAAAACAAGCTGCATCTGGACTGGATCCATTGTTTAAGAGATGCCCTAGCAACTGGTGGTGGGTAAACAAGCAGCAAGAGGTGAGAGGGGACAAGGTGCCCTGAAAAGCCCAGCTACAGAGAGAAGGGCTATCCGTCCCACTGTCTCGCCTACGGAAAGCCAGCAGCTGGGGATTTTCACGTCTTCCCCCCTGATCCAGCCACCCTGTGCAGGGCCACGCAGCCTGGTCAGAGCAACAGTAGCTGTTTTTTATCCATCCCCCCCCCCCGAGCGCTTTGAGGAATTCCAGGCGTGACTCTCCCAGAGCATGGGATGATGGAAAGTGACTCTGGAAGGAAGAGCAAGATTTTCTAAGATCCCTCACCCTAGACTGTGCTGTTCTGAGGCTAACTGAAGGTTAAGAGGCTGAAGACCTCTGCAGTCAGCAAGGAAAATCCAGCATCTATCTGCCTTGACTCCTGAATTCCAGGTCTTTGGGTCACTGCGCACTGTGCAAAAGAGACTGGCTAACAAAGTCCTTTCCTCCAGTTTGACTGAGGCTCAAAATCCGGCTGACTGGGGAACAGCAGTTTTTGCCAAAATTCAAGTCTATGGGCTCCAGGAGGAAGAGGAGGGGAAAAGGCAGGAGCTGTTCCTGAGCAGAACTGAGTTTGGATACAGCACTAACCAGAGGAAATAATCCACTCCCTTAGTTGCTGTGGAATCTGAGGGTGCGTTCCCAGGTGAGCAAGATCACCACTGGCCTAAAGCTAGGGTGGCAGCAGTGTCATTCCCATCCCCAGGTCCCCTAACAGCCTTTTCCACCCATCCTGCTGGCCTGCTCTCAGACACGGGCTAATGCTGGAAGGCAGCTCCAGGCTGGGTTGCCCCCAGCGACAGAGCAGGAACTCAGCTGCTGCTCCTCCAGCCCCCCCACCCTGGCTGCGAGGAGAGGGGGCTCTTCCCTAATCCCACACCACATTTGATCTTTCCACCTATGACGTTGTGCAGGGTCACCAGACAGCCGGAGTCAAGGCAGTTAAGGCCTCGGAAGCCCCTCCTTCTCATTTAAGGGACAGCTAATTGACATGTATGATGGTGGCACGGGCAGGAGCACCTGTAAGAGCCTGACTAGGTGGCAGGAACCTAGACCCATCCCAGTCATTGTTATAATTCACCAATCTTTGGTACGGAGCCTGTGCTTTTATAGGTAAACACCTCAGGCTGAAGTCATCCCTGCTGTGACTGCAATGAATACTGTGGGGTTATGGCAGGGCTGCCCTCCACTCCTCCTCTAGAGGAGCAGATTGCACAGCCAGCCCTTTGTTGGGACAGTTCCTGTGTGGTTGATGGGGAAGGGGAAGGAGGCAGGCTGGCCCCCTCTCTGGGGTGAAAGGGCAGAGGAGGAGATGCCAAGCTAGAAAATCGCCACCCCAGCTATTCTTAAACAAACCAAGCCAGAGAGATTGAAAGAAACAGAGACCCAATAATTTATTGGCAGAGCTGAAAGGGGGCATTTGCAAACCAATGGGTCATCTCTCCTGACCGCAGAGATTCATTAATACTGGTACCCCTCAGCACGAGCGCATGGGATCACAATATCCTCTGCACAGGGTATGGAAAGAGGAGAGAAAGTGCTGAAGGAGGCACGGGGAGGGCACTCTGATAACTGAAAAGTCGGCCTCCCGCCCTGCCATTGCAAAGAGTTTCGTGTGACTAGGTCAGCCGCTTATTAGTCACCGATGCAGAAGGGCTTTGAATGAAATCCTTCCTCTGGGGTTGAGTGCAAAAGGGTGGCGTGGTCAATCCAGCCTGCGCGGCCCTCCAGAAATGGCAGGGCACGGATGGAGACCTCTCAGCGGGTTCACACCAAGAGAGGAATTTACCACCAGCCTTGTTCTCACAATGTGATTTTGGTGTTTCGAAAGCTCGAATTATCCCTGGAAGAGAGAGGGAGAGAATGAGAAGTTTAATACGTAGGTAAGTACATAGCCCCAGATACAGACACAGAGCCTGACCGGTCCCACCACACTGAGGGCAACAAGCAACAACCCACCTGATTCACATTCACCTCCCAAATCACCTCTAGTTAACCGCTAAACATCCACACTACACCCAAACAGCGTCTCTGTTTATTCCAAGCTGCTACCAATCGCTAGTATACTTAGAGGGAAAATGAGAAGATCCTGGTTTCATCCTCATCCATTCGGAAACAGATAGGATATTATTGCTAGTAACGGGTGTGTTAGACCTGCACAACCAGCTTGGTAGATTTCAGGACTGGACTAAGTTGGCTCATTGCAGGGTCTCTTTCCCATACATCTATTCTGCTCTCAAACGAGTGACAAGTCATTTTGTTTAGCATCTGTGCTCTTAGCTCTCCTGCCTTTAGCCCCTAACCCAGGGGTCTCTTTGTAAAGGGACTGGCAAGAAGGTTAGGCACCAAATGCGCCCTACCTTAAAAATCCCGTACCCTGGAAGGGAAGTTCTCAGAGTTCAAACACAGAGGGGCCAATCCTGCAGCCCTTCCTTGTGTGACTAGTACCCCTGCTGCTGCAGGATCAGCCCCTTGTCCGTCTTAGCTCGGGGCACATGGCCTGGTCACGGATAACCTAAACCGATGGTTAGCCTCTGCGGTGGTGCTTTCTGACCCCCCTCAGCAGCAGCAACCCAGGCGACTGCTAGAGCGGGGCTGACAGCGATGGACACGTCATAATGTCAGGTTTCTAGAGGGACCTTTCGGACAGGAGGGAAGTTGGAGGGGAGGGAGGGATACCTGTTGAGAAGGCAGGTTCTGTAACTGCATGGCAATGGGCAGAGTTCCCACAACAGTAGCAGGGCACAGGGTCATTCAGAACAGACTTTTGGGGCACCTGAAACGAGTGACACCCAAGCATGCATCATAGCAGGCCAGCAGAGCTCCCCCTGCTGGGGAATGCAAGCAGCCCAAAGGCGTGGCAGTATACTGTAGGACTGTGAAATGTTTCTTCAACCTCTGTGCTGCTAAGGAGCCATGTGGTGGCTGTGACATCACAGCATGGTGCATGCTGAGATATCCCAGTGGGGCAGGCTGGTGTGTCTATGGGCAACCTGAAAGTAGTGAATTTAAAGGTGATTGCATGCCGAATGCCCTTCTGCGATTTGGGGCAGTAAGTACTTTCCCTGCTATTACTTAGACACATGCTTGGAGGTCACCGTCAGAAAAAGAGTGGTAACCATTCTACTCCTGAGCGCTCTAATGGCAGAATTGGGAACATGGGTCTAAACTCTTCTCGAATCCAGAGTTCAATTACTGCTGCGCCCTAGCCCATGCCAAACACACAGACAGCAAAGCATCGACCTCGAAAGCAGGTTTCGGTGGGACTCCTATCGCTGGGTTAGTTCTTGCTTTGGTGGAGTACTGCCGTTCCACTTTCTTTCACCATCCCCCAGTATTATATGGTCCCTAACGTGTTTCTTTGTGGACTACGCTATATTTGTTCTTGCCTCTACTCTCCTCTCCTCTGGCCAGGGTAGGCAACTCCATGCAATTAAGAAAGTTAAATCAACATTCCCCACATAGTCAAATGCACTTGGCACATTTACTGTCTTCTAAGGCTGGCATTTCACAACCTGTGCTGGGAGCTTTTTACTTTGGAAGGTCGTTTGAATGTCTTCTAATAATAAAACGTTACTAAGTGCTTATGTAGCACTTCACAAGCATCATCTCATTAACCCTCCCCAACAGTCAATCCTGTGAGGTAGGTAAAAAAAGAACGCTCTTCCGTTTTGCCCAAGGCCACAGGGTTTATCCAAACAATGTTTGTCTAAGGCCACAGAGCGAGACGGTGGCAGAATCGGGATTACCAACGAACTCCGGAAGCCGGTCTGAGTTGCAGCTGTCACATATGCGGCTTTGTGGGATTTAGGAGCTTGCAACACATCCCCTTTGGGAACATTACTGTGTACCACACTGGGATACACTGCAAGAGGAGGGATTGCTTGACAGCGATCCAGCTTGTCTACAGCATCTTGACAACGGAAGACACCTCTAGTCACTAAGTAGCACTCTGGTAGCACTCTGCCCCCTTAACAGTAAGGCACCCACAATCCCGTACGTGGACCAGAGTGTGAAAATGATGTTGGCCATCAGATGGACAACTGTACCTAGCTATTTTCCCTGCACAGGGTTGCCATTAACAGAGGGGCTGTAGGCACTCTCATCCTGTTAGCCACAGCAAGTACTATTTTTAAATATAGTACCTACTGCGCATCCCTCATGGACAAGCCTTTATTGACACAGTCTAGCTCTTCCACCTCAGCCCTCGGTCAAGAGCAAGGCCTGCCAAGCTGGAGACGCCGTTACCAAGGTGTGTTACAGGTACGCTCTTCGTTTCAGATTACGACTCCACTTCCGAGCGCCAACTCTAGACAATACAAACAAGCTGAAGCCATACCTCTCAGCCGACGAGGCACCGGGACACAGCTGCCTTGCCAACAGGGGATGCATTGGCTAACTGGCTGACAGCATCCTGGCTACAAACGCCAAGTGAGCAGTTTTTCCCAGGGTGAGATTATGAGTGCCTTTTGATTCAAAGGTGAGTTTGGACTTTAGCAAATCAGCTAATAGTGATGGGACTGACGCCAGGCCAGAAGGTATTCAGGTCTGCTGTGGAGTGTTGTCCCCATATGAACGCGGGCAAGCTGAGAGGTATGCCATAAAGTCATGTAAGAAGAAAGATGAGGCCCTACCCTGGGTGTGACAGAGAGAGGGGGAGCGTTCGATCAGCGACCACTGCTGTTCACCAGGCCATGAAACTCCTCCCAGGCCCTGGTAAGCCAGAGGGGGAAAAAAAAAACAGCACTTCAGATCAAAGGGTTCTTAACTTTTAACGAGCGCAGAGACATTCAGTGGCGTTTGAAAGGCCATTCTGAGAGCAAGGCAATGTTCTCACCGGGGCCTAGTGGACAGAAGCATCCTTAAAACACAGCCAGACATCTGACAGCATGAGGCAGCTTTAAAGTTCTGCACAGACATGAAGCTTTCTGATTGGCTGCCGGTGACATCATAGCAGGTTAATACCCACCAGATACAAGGTGGGACCCTTGAGCTGTTTTTAGACTAGAATTGCCATTTCCTATTCCTAATAAAATAACCCAGGGTTGTGTATTTCTGGAGGATCATCATGTTCCTTGACTGGTTAAATTCACCCAGTCTGTGGCCTCATTCTCCAGCACATACCAGGGCTCGCTGTAATCCCCCAGAAATACACTGCTTTTCATGCCGTACGGCTTAGTTATTAGACCATTCTTTGACCAGGCTGCAGATTCCAATTGTTATTAGAGAGGGAGCCTCATTTCCTATCATAAGCCTGCTCAGTTAATGACACCTACGCTAAAAAACGACAGCTATTTGCAATGAAAATGTTTTCAAATAAGTTACAGGGATAGGCCTATTGTTCCATTCCCTGGCGAAGAATCTGTTATGGACAAAGTTAGCAGACTGAAAAATGACTGTCTGTTTTACAGAGACAGCATATTGAAGGGTCTCCCAGGGAAAAGATGCTGAGGTGAACATGAGCATAACTATTATCTGAGATCAGACACATCAAGGAGCTCTGTATCTCAGTGCCCCCGAATACTGAGCTTATTGCTATAGTACATGCCATTTCACTCAATCCATGGGGGCATGGTCGATTAGAAGCAACCCATTTCAGTTGTAAAATCTGATTCCGTTCCATGATTCTGCCTCCAGTACTAATTTTCAGACCAAATGCCAAACATTTACCAGCAAACTAAGAGTTCACTTATTCTGTAGTGAGTTTGTGACAGTTCAATGCCTCCTCCCCCACAAGAGTCCAGATAACACAGAACACTCCGTGTTATCACCGGACTCTGGGAGTCTCCCAATGCATTTACATGACCTGTGCCTAAAAGCCAGGCTGTAAGCTCCTGAGGGCATTAACTCTTCAGCAATAAAATCTTTAGGCTACATTTTCAACTGCTCTTGCCTGGTAAAAGCACTGCCCAAAGCCCTGGCCAGGGCTTACCAGCAAGGGTTCATCCCAGATATTTTTCTGGCTGTGTTTGATGGCTGCATACCCTGCCATGAGATTCCCCCCCAGCCCCCACTTCTAGTTAGTTTCTCTTGGGGAACTAGCCCAATACAAGCAGGGTTTCCCAACACACCTTACCTCTTGGAGGTTGTGACATTGATCGCTCCTAAAAAAGCATTCCCCCTCTCTGAACATTACATGGATAGATCCCTCTGACAACCACCGCAGCAGTGGTGAAAGGTGAACAGTCCTTGAGGCTAAGGTCCTGGCTTGGACCTCATGGCAGGAGTAGCAAGATCACCCCATCAATGAACCTCAGGCCTGACACGCAGTGACCACGCTTCTGGGGAAAAAGGGGAACTCAGCCTCCATGGCCCATTCAGCCAGTGGCCTCTTTGAAGACTGCTGAGGGTGCCCTTTCGGGTATGTTTACACTGCGGTACCAAACCCTCAGCACCAGGTCTCAGAACCAGGTCAGCTAGCGCGTTTGGGCTCGGACTGGAGCCTGGGTACTGGGACCCTCCCCCTCAAGGGGTCTCAAAGCCCGGGCTCCAGCCCAAGCATCTACTCTGCAATTGTATAGCCCCTCAGCCTGAGCCCTGCAAGCCCGGATCAACTGACCTGGGCCAGCCACGGATCTTGCATTGCAGTGTAGACATGCCCTTAGTTCTAGTTGTGACAGGAGTTAATTAAGGAGGCTGTTGTGTAGAGCTGACTTGTTTTCTATCCGTTCTCTTCTCCCCTGCCTGGGAGCTCACAATCTCATCATTGTCTCCCAGAACTCCCTTTGTTAGGATGGGTGAGTGACGGACGTGGTTCCCTGGGATGACAGCATCAGAGAGACAGACACCACTGCCTGATGTTAAATGAGCACAACTGGAGTCCGACCTCTGATCCGAAGCCTCCCAAACAAAGGGAATGCGAGGGTCAGCACTGCTGAACGTATCACAGCAGCCAGCGCCGTCCTGAGGGGGCAGCACACTAACCGTTTCTGCGGACACCTGGCCGCGGGGGGGGAGGGGTGTGTGTGCAGGTGCTACTTGCAGTCCAAAACCAAACACGAGCGACTGTGGAACAGGGCCTGCCTGTGGCCTCTCGTGGATGTTTACGCACAGACTCACGGTTCCATTTGGACAGGCATAGCAGCTGCTGCTCAGGAGGCCCCTGTGCTAAGGGCTCATCACAGGGAAGGCAACAGCATGGAAAGAGATGTGTAAGTTACACCAGAGGAAAAAAGCCTACTCCCTCCCCTGAGGGGGCTGCATGCTGTGGATGGGCCCCACCCAAGAATCTCCTCAGCCCCTGAGATCTTCCCTCCTTACGTACACCCAGGGAGCACCTTCCTTCAGGACTATGCAACCTGGGGATCTTTCAGAGACAGGACTACTGAGAGCACTGCCTGGCCTGAGTGTGACACCAGGATCTGCGGAACCCACAAATGTTCATCTGAATTCAGAGTGTAGTTATCAAAAAGGTAACAAAAATGGGCCCTTCTTACACAGCACCCCGGCTTCGTGGGTGCTCCCTGGCTCCCCCCGTCTGCTCCTCCATCTGGAAGCTGCCCACAGCCCCCTGTCTGCCCGTCAGCCTTCCTTCACACCTCCCAGCCCGGATATGTCCACCCCACAAGCCTCTTTCCCAACTGCCCCCTTCTCGTGCCACCACTCCAACGTGCTTGGGAACAAGTTCCTTACCCCGACGAACCTAGCACCCACCATCCCCTTCAAATCAGCAAATTCTAAGACACCTTGACAACAGCATCCATGCTGTATTGCTACCTCCCGAGTCCTGCTCACAGCTTTAGAGTGAAACTCTTCAGGCAAAGGATCTGAAGTGATAAAACACCGCACCTTTTATAGTGCTATTAGCATTAAAGAGATCTTTACTGATAAAACCACCTCTCTAGTTTTGTTCGCCCCTGACACATCTCTGCAGCCAGGGTAGAGTGAGCGGCCATCTAGTTTGTGTCCTGCATCGGCAAGGCTGCCCGTTGAATTCTGCTTGCAGAATCTTTAGGGCCTACGGCAGGGCCAGAGGCAGACAGTGCCACAGTGTAAGGATATTTTTATTTATAGGCATTTTTATGCCCCTCACCATGGTATCTGAGCAGCACAGAAACATTAAATGAATTTATCCTTAACAGTTGGGATTACCACCATTTTACAGGTGGCGAAATGGAAGCACTTGAAATTAAGTGACATGCTCAAGGTCACCCCAGAAGTTTGTAGCAGAGCTGGAGACAGATCCCACATCTTCTAAGAAGAATTCTTGCTCTTGTAAACTAGTTAGACCAGAATTTGATTTTTCAGATCTCAGGTGACATTTGCCACCCTGGCAACTAGGGACAAAGCAATGTTTTGAAATGAACGTGTTTGAGCTGGGCTCACTGAGAAGAAATGCGGAATAGCTCCATTTTAGTCACTTTTCTGATGACAAAGACAACCCACCAAAAGAAAGGAACCTTTCAGAATTGCCCGCACCCCTGACATGCGCTGTGATGCTACAGAACGGACCCTAGCAGCAGAACCGCCATTTCAAAACCTAGTGTTAAGAAAGGGTTCTTTAAACTTGCAGAATCTACTGGCTGGGATTGGAGGATAGAGGGATAACTGAAGTGAGCCATTGCTGCAGACGCTCAAGACAAAAGGAAGCAATCTTTAGCCCTGGACTGTCGCTGCTCTCCACAGTTCTATTCCTAGGCCCGATGGGAAGTAGTACAGAGCAATGCATACATCTGGACACGTGACCAGACTAAGGCATGTGTCAGTCCAGTGCGGATTTCTACGGGTTCCCTTCCACAGACCCTCCACAAAAGCAGCTGCATAATGGTAAGAACAGGGCTAAAAATTAGAGGCCCTGGGGGCAGGTCCCATTCAGTGCAGTGTAAAGAGACAATCGTAGAAGTGGCTGCAGCGTTCAGCTATTTCATTTCCCAGCATGCTCTCGAGAAATTGTGAGCAGATGGAAATGGGCCTCCCAGTGGGTCAAATGAGCTGTAGAATTAGCTATGCTCTGATGTGGCGGCAAAGGAGATGCCCCCCACAAACACGAAGCCCACTGACTTGCCGTTGCACTTTCCCATAGAATCAGTTTCTGCTAGGATTTTCTGGCCAAACAGCGCTAAACTCTGTGGGGATTTCACTTTCCAGCAGTCTCCAGTGGATCCAAGACCTAGTTCCCCGTGCGTGTCCTGTGGGGCTCTACATAACCGTGTAATTCATTTCCCTACACCGCAGAACCCTCCCTCTGTTCCCTTCTGTATCTGCTCATCGTCTGGCTAACCTCAGACCTTTTATTTTCTCCAAGTGTCTGCAGTGACAAAGACCTGACGCCAGCACTAAGAAGATCAGCCATTCTTCCAATTGACTCGAGTAGTTCCAGTATTTCTCAGTGCTGACTCCGAAGGGAAGGCAGAGTTTTATACCCTGCTCAGCTCCCACTGCAGCAGCAGCCACCTACAAACAGGGGCTTTGTTTTCAGAAAAGCCGCCCTGCTCAAAGCTCTGACAGGATACTCCAGAGTCACTTAAAACTATTTCCAGCCCCGCTGGCTCTGCAGAAGTCTGCTGTGCGGCCACACAAGGAATATGTTCCCCTCTCTCGGGGGGTATCACTCCTACATTACCCTGGGTTGCTGACTGCGTGGTGCTGGTGGGAGCAGCCATCCGAACACACAGCGTGAGTTGGAAAGAAGGATTGGGGGTAGACATGGGGGAAAACATATGGGTCAGTGAAGGAACCCTGCTAAACCAGCAAACAAATGTCCCACAACTGCAGCAGCCAGTTCTCCCTAAATGCACCACTGACCCCAACAAGCTCCAGGTTCACCCACTACCAGGGTCAATATTTGCAGTAGTTTACGCCAGACGCTACTGTGCTGGTGGCCAATCCCTCGCTCCCTTGGAAAATGGCACAGCCTCCGTTGTAACAAGGTAATGGGAAGGGGACAACGTTCAAAAGCCAGGAAGTGCCAAGTGAAGGGTGCAACTGTCAAGAATCCACTTTTATTCCCAGGCTGTGCCAGGTGCAGGGTTAATGGGCTGGGGACCACGTCTCACTCGGTCGTTTAAAACACCTAGGGGTGACAGGAGCAGTTATGGCTGCAGAGGTACAACAGAATTTCCCTCAACTCTCCAAGCATTACAGGTTTTGAAGAACAACAGCTAAAGGAAGAGCTCTTGGGGAACAGTAAGAGACGTTCTCCCCATCCATTAAAACAAGACCGCTACTGCAATGCCACATGCATTTCAAAGGAGACCAGCACTGATGTCTATGGTACTGCAGGTCCGAGGACTTACGCAATGCTGCAAGGGACTGGTCTAGCTCTTCTAATGATATGGAAACAAATGGACCCTACTACTTGCTGGGATTTAGGACATTTCTTAAAATCATAAGCATGAGAATGAAGGGACACAGGAAAAAGGCTCTGAAAGATCCACTTATCTAGCTAAAAACACGGCCAGAGCCCAGGAAGAATGGCGTGTAGAACAACCCCTCTGAACGACAGGGGTACAACCGATACTTTTCTAACCAACGTGGCAGCATCAGTACCTTCAGCAGCAGAGGGGCTTGTCACCTCTGAGTGGCTGGAAGAATTGGGGTGTATAAAATAAGTTTAATATGTACATTTAATTTATAAATCCTGCACAACAGGGCCCAGAAACTGCAGTGAGGGACATGCTGGAGATTTCTAGAGATGTTCATTTGCAATGTGTCAAAAGCTAATAAAGGGCAATGCCCTACACAAACAAACACACACACACACACACACTTTTGTGAGAAAAGCCCATGTTCTCCCGAAACCCACTCCCTCCCCAGAGCGGAGATGCCAATCAAACTCTGCACGTGAGCTGAGCTCCGGTGGAGAGATGCAGTCCATACAAACAAAACCACCAGAAACCACTTGGAAAGGAGGCCCTGACACAATCTCCAGCAGGGCAGGTCCATTAGGGCCTCTCATAAAACACAGCCACAGCGTGAGAGAATAGAGTAATGGCTAGAAAGCCCCCCTAGAGTCATAAATCAGATGGTACATGTGCAACATAAGTGGAGTGTAGTCTTGTATTTCAACAGGACTTGTCAGACAGGGAAGGTAACGAGGGTGAGATTTTCTGGGAGATAACAGCAGGTTTGCAAGAGATTCTTTATTAGCAAAAGGACTCTGCTAACGCAAACCAGCTCAGCCAGATACAGTCAGACTGCAGCCAGTGCTGTAATACACTAACAGAGTTGTTAATCTGCCAAAGACTGCGCCCAACCCAGAGAGTTTACAACTGCAGCAATTAAACTGGTTGTTAGCAGCAACTACACACTAATGCAAACAGTATGAAAGCAAGACACAACAGGCCAGATTCTGGATTTACACGGTGGAAGTGAGATCAGAATCTGTGCAGTGAAAACAACACTATTAAAGGGAGATCTGGGACTGTGTTGGAAACACACAGCAGCAGACTTGAACTAGCTAACAGCAATCAGTTCTTGTTCTCCCTTGGATAAATCAATGAATAGCCTAGCCCTGCTTCAAAGAAGCTGCAAGCTCACTTCCTGCATTCTTAACTGCACCAGAATGAGCAGGAGACAAGCCAATTTAGCCCCTTTTAAGAATCATTCCCAGCTGTAATGTGAGCTAGTCAACACCATGTCCTGTTTAAGTGAATCTGTTCCTCAAACACCTGTTATTCCCAGACACTGGCATCCTGGATTGTATGTCAGCAGAACAAATGCAAGGGACAATATCCAGAGACAAGGGGCCATGAGCAAAGGGGCAGAATACAGCAGCCTGGGGCAATGCAATGCATTCCCATTTCCTAGGGCAGCAAAGGCTAGGAATGCTGTGGAAAGAGCACATTCAGTCTCCGGGGAAAGGCCGGGATGGCTACACTGGAAGCACCGCTTGGTAAACCCTCTCTCCCTCACCAAGACAGCCAAGCTGCCTCCAGCCACGATAGCCGGAATGCTGGCTCAGAGCAGGGCCTTTCTATACAGAGCCATGGAGGAAGGTAGGGAGGAGAGAAGGGAAAGTGAAAGTGACTGAGGAGTTTCTACAGTCCCCTCACCCACAGAGAGTCCCGCAACCTTAGGTTGAAGACTATGCCGTCTCTAAACAAAGGTCAGACACAACACAGCCAAATGCAGGTCTGCAGGAGCCCTCTGAGATCTCGGAATAAAACAGGCATGACAGAAATGTTGCTCTCCACAAGCATTTAACATAAGCATGTGCAGGAGGAGGAGTGCTTGCTACACAGCGAGATGGCTCACAGAGCCCAATGAGAGATTCAGTCAATAAAACAAGTCAGATCTTTTAGAAACAGAATAGTCAGGAACAGCTTTAGGTTAATAAGAAAAATCTCTTTCCCCCTCCATCCCCATACACCAGTAGTCATCCAAGGAGAGGTTCTCTGGCAAAGAAAGGTTCTTTGACATTAATACAAAAAATATGTAATTTGACTAGCTGACCAACAATCTAAACATGCAGCAACTGTGGCTTCCATGATGTAAATCAGAGGGGGGCAAACTATGGCCCGTGGGCCACATCTGGCCTGCGGGACCCTTTCCTCTGGCCCCTGAGCTCCTGCCAGGGAGCGGGGTCAGGACAGGCTTGCAGAGGAGCCAGCCCAACTCCCTGGTGGTGAGCAGGCCGGAGGCTAGCCCCTGGCCCCGCCCCTTCTGCTCCCCTCCCTCCCTGTCACAGTTCCCCCAGCGCCTGGGCAGCGTGGCTGCAGCTAGCTCAGGCCGGGCAGCCCGGCTATAGCACGGCCAGACCTGGGGCTCCAGGGCGGCACGATCAGGGGGAGTTCGGCAAGGGGGAGGCGAGGAGCAGGGAGGGTTGCAGGAGGGCGGTCAAGGGGCCTGGGCCCTGCTGCCGGGGACAGGGGCAGAGCAAGTCAGGGCCCCCCTCCAACTCCAGCATGCTTGGCCCCTGTCCCCAGCAGCCAAGCCCAGACAGGGAGCAAGCCCTGCCCGACTGCCAGGGAGAGCAGCCAAACGAGCAGGGGAAACACACAGGGAAAGGACTGAGACCCCCTTTCCCCCACCCCACGGGTAACGTGGGGCGGGGAGAGCAGGGAGGGTTGGATACGGGGTGGGGGTCCCGGGGGTGGGGAGCAGGTGGGATTGGATAGGGGAAGGCGTCCCAGGGGGATTGTCAGGGGGCAGAGAACAGGGGTGTTTGGATAGGATGCAGGAGTCCCAGGGGGCAGTCAGGGGTGGGAGTTCCGGGGGTCTGGAATGGGGGCAGGGGCCAGGCCACACCTCGCTGTTTTGGGAGGCATAGCCTCCCCCAGCCTCCCCTACCTGCCCCTCCATACAATTTCTGTACCTGATGTGGCCCTAGGGTCAAAAAGTTTGCCCACCCCGATGTAGACGCTTGTCCCACTAAAAACTAGGCTGATCTCACCAGTCATTGTGACCACTGCTCTGTGGTGTTTAAATTGGATGGATGGCTTGCCAAGATCTGGGAAGTTTTAGACATGGAAACAGGGTTAGCCTAAGGAAAATAAAACAACAAGTACTTGTGCCCTTGGTTACAAGCTGGACTAGAAAGCCCTCTACTCCACTGAATTTCTCTCTTTATTAATTTCTTTGTGCGTATGTAAACTTTGAAACGTTCTTAGTCTAACCCTGGTTTATAATAAACCTCAGTGAAAATGGTTTATTGTTATTTACTTATGACTAGTACCCATATATGCAGCAACTCTTTGACACTTTGAGAAATAAAAGTCCGCTGAATGGCCTAGCATGGCAAATTATAATGAGCTTTGTTAAAATACAACTGTCCTCTCTACGTACCATGATCCTCTAGTCTTGTTAGAAAGCCTCTGTTATCAAGGGTTGGGACGATTTACTATAAAGATTTATTATGATTAGAAATCAGTTGTACAGCACTGTAAATTTACACAGTGCTTTCCCAAGAACATTTATTAACTTAATGATTCTATAAATCCCAGTTAGCTTTGGTATTTTATTCTCCATAATTCCTCCTCATTCAAAGGAACTGTTCCCCACTGCAATCTTGTTTCTTAATCGAAAAAGCCCCTTCCCATGATGGGTAGCTCATTCCCAGATGAAGACCAGGGCGGGTCACTAAGAAAGAGATTAGGAGTGCAGGCTACAGGCAAACCGAGGGATTTACTAGTAAATTCATATATTCCCAACAACAGTAGGGCAGCGAGAGGCTTTTTGAAGCCATGCTGTTTACAGTATCGTTAGCAGATAACAGCCCCAAAGCATCAGTGTGTGTGACCACTTTTCTCTGCCCCTGGATCCTACAGAAAACTGCTCCAACCAACACACATTCAACTGACAGCGCTCCCTCCCCCTGCCCCCGCACGTACTTGATGCTGTCGGTGTGCGTTTTGTATTCCATGATGGTGTTCGGAGGTAGGTTAAGCACTCGGCGTAACGTGTCGCGTATCCGTGCTGTTGTAGCCTGGTCGCTAGCAGTCTTGTTCCATATGGAGATAATATCCTCCTACAAAACAATGATGATGGGGGGTAAACCGATGGGTGTTTGTGCGCTCCAGCCACAACATATGCTTGATAGTGCGCAGGGCCGTTTACATCGAACTGGACAGAGATGACTGCCCCACAGATGCCATCCCCCAAGTCAGCACACATGCCCAACGTAGTCCCAATGGAGGCTTACCTGGAATCGGACAGAGACAACTGCCCCACAGATTTCTTCCCCCACCATAAACTGTTCTCCTAACATCGCCAGAATGAGATTCTCCCAGCAGCGGGATGCTAAGCCCTTGCGCAGACGGATAATCCACTTGCCACCATTTTTGTTGGCATCATCCTGGGAAGAGGGGTGAGAAAGTGATTCGTTTTCTCCCAGCTATTTTGCTGCTAAAACAACAAGCTCACAAATGAGCAAATATCAATCACATGGGACCAAGAGGGACAGAATGAAGGAATGTTCATGCTAAAGCATTGTCATGTTTAGTGATGAAGGAGGCATGACAAAGGTATTCTGAATGCCAGGCAACATTTGAGACAATGACTCTCCCCAGAGATTCCACAGATCTTCCCTCTATTCACAGTGTACTGACTCTAAACGAGGTTAAATTGATACAACATATCACCATGATCTGGGGGTCTGCACATGCAACTAGGGGATAGGAACTCCTGACTTCTGCTTCCATCTCGAACACTGATTCCCCCTCTAGACTTAGGCTAGTCACCTCGCAATCTGTGATTCAGCTTTCCCAGCTGTAAAAGGAGGAGAATACCTAATTACATCACATGGATGTTAAGGGAACAAATGTTTGTAAAGTGCTCCTTAAAGGCAGAGGAAGAACTGCAGAGAACAGGTTATTTCTGCAAGTTACCAGAGAGAACTGTTACAAATACAGGCTCCCCCACTCAGACTATCCAGTACTGGAGTGAGTCACAGTAAGACTGGAGACGTTACAGTCCTAATCCTGATGGCTGTTGGTGCTATCACAGATGCAGGCTGAAGATTTCAGTGCAGAAGGTGGCAAAAACAGCTACACGCAAGGAGGACAAACAAAGTCAGCACAAACTCCAGTAATGTGGGAGATTACCGACGGGAGGCAAATTGCCTTTGGAGCAAATGTTCAGGATTGGGAGAACAGACCATTCCCCTTAAGAAATGAGCTATCCAGGAGTCAGTCCTTAGCAGGAAGTTTAGTTTAACCCCATGAAGACTTTTCCACATTGACTAAGGTGGACAAGGAAGCAAAAAGGAGCCAATGTGACTGCTGAAAATAATCAGAAGAACTTAGGAGGTTTTCAGGGCCAGAACGAACAGTGGTTGGAGTGAGGGATTGGGTCTTGTAGTTGTGGGTTAGAGTCAGTTTTCTTTCAGGTTGAGTGCACCTCAGTTCAGTGAGCTGCTTAATTTCCCTTTGTCAGATGAGCAGCTCGATCTCCCAGCACAGTAAATAACCACAAACATTACGATTGAGGCTTCTGATATCCTGCTAGATGGTAGGGTAGGGTCAGGTAATGGATTAGCATCACACGGAGGCGGGGAGTGGTATTTTATATATGACCATACAAGGACAGTGGACTAGGATTAATTTAGAAAGGAGAAAAAGCACAAGGAAACTAGTGGAAAAACGAAGGGTAGTAGTGAGCTCCAAGTTACTCCTCTCTCAATACACGAACAAAGTGGGTACCCGAAATTAAAAGAACCATTTTAAGATGCTTTTTAAAAAAGTTTAAATACTGACAGGTGGAATCTTCTGCTGCAGCATCTTATGAAAGCATCTAGGTTACGGAGAGTCCAAAAAGGATAGACATTTATATTAGAATAGTATTTGTGGCAACACGGGCTATAAATCCCCATGCTTCAGGGCATATACTAATTGCCAACTGGGGTCAGAAATAATTTCTTCAAGGCAGAGTAGCACAGTTAGGTGCCTCATGGCAAGGCATAAAATTCTCAGACTGCAACTGGTACTGGTCATTGTTAGGGACAGGTGAGCAAGCTAGAGGGAAAATTGGTCGGGTGTGGCAATTTCCATGCAGACCTACTGTCTGACTACTACAAAGAAACAAGCTGAACTCCAAGAAAAAGAAGACAGGAAATCAGATCCAAGCCTCCCAACCCACCCCCAGATTCTTTATCATGATTCTGTTTATTCTCAGTGCCTGAGCTTTCACCCACTGGCTTCTTCCTTCCACAAGGAGAGAAGTTGGTCTCCTACATTCAGGCTGCAGTTGACTGAATCAGCCAGAACAAGGTGCATGTGTCACAAAAACAGCACACAGTAACGTAGCCAAGTTCTCTTGGGCCGCAGCTTCGGGAGTCTCTCTGGAATCTGTCATCTTACACTGGAGACAGCTGATCACCAGAGGCAATTTTTCTTAGTCTCAGGGAGAGCGCCAGCTTGCATTGCTCCTGAACGCCCCTCCTCTGCATGCAGGGCAAGTGCCTCATTAGTTGTGTCAGTAGCCGCTATGTGAGAGGAGACAGGGCTCTGCAGGAGGACAAATGTAACTGCAGCCGGAATGACAGCCTGGCTTGACATTTAATGCTAGGAGACCAGTCACTGCTCTGCCAGAAAATTCCCGATAACAACACAAGGCAGACACTTGAGCGCCAACTCACCTCCCACATGGGTTTGATTCCCTCTTTGAAGAGATGGAAGTCGCTATGGCCTGTCAGGTCCCCGGGACGTACCATGTGACTGTAAAACCTCCAGAACTGCTCCACCTGTAACGCCACATGCACCAGGCAGTCAAAGACAAGTCATCCAATATGGCTTCCAACACTTTAGAAGGGGGCGTCACAATGTCAGTCTCTCTCCCTCCAGCGAGGCAGCTCTGTGCTGCTTCCCTGTCAGACTGCACGTAAGGACAGTAGCCTTCAGGACATTCAGAAACAGAGCAGTAGCATTGATAGGCCTTGTGCAGGTGTTTCTGGGAGTGGTTACAGCTGTGTGACCGGCACACAGCCCAATTATTAGCGTCTGGCCTGTTGCGAGCGCAACAGACACACCAAATAATTCAGGAAAGTCTATCTGTGTAAAGAAAACCCGAGGGGGATGAAGGCTGCTTTGGAGGAGAGCGAGAAGAGATACACAAGTCCTCACCCAAGCACCCTCAATTTGCAGCCAGTGGTGAAAAGCTTCTCAACACAGGGGTAAGCTACTGATAGTTCTCTCCACACTACACAAAGTCTCATTAGCATTTCATACCCTTCCTCTCTACAACAGTGGGAACTCCTGGAATTATTCCTCACAGGAGCCCTCAACCAAGGAACAGTTTGGGTTTTACCATAGGTGACTGAAGGACAATACACATATTCTGGTGCTAGTTTAGGATCTTAAACCACCTTTTAAAGTGCGTATTCATACGGCTGCCTAGTCACCGCTAAGATTAACCACCACTGTACATTTTAACCCCTTTGAGCACTGGTTTCTGCTGCAGCACTCTTTGAATTGACTTTCAGTGTCCCAGGCAGCAGTGAATTAGGGGATTTTTTGTGCGTTTTTTTTTAAATCTGTAAAGTTTTTCTTGACACTTAAAACTTTCCTGAATGCCTTATTCTGGCCCTTTGAGCTGTTTTGGATGACAGAGAGTTTTCTCCTTAAATAAAGCACTTAGGACCAGATCCTGCAAGCACTGAATTCAATAGTAAAGCTCCCCAACTTGGTTCAATGGCACAGGATAAGGCCCAGCTAGAAGATAAGGATGGATTTGTTTTCATACAAAAAGCCATCATTTGCATTTTAAAGGATTCTGTCCAATAATGAGCTAATTAAAAGTTCTGGTAGGGCTGTCAAAAGAGTTGAACAAGAGCAATGCCACAAAGACTAGGAGAAAACCCAATAGTATGGCCACCAATTTAAGTCCAGGAATTATACTTAAAATGTCTGTACTTATCTTTCAGGGGGGAAAAATCCCTTTCAAGAGCTGAACTCATTATGGATCCAAGAAATGAGGGGAAAAAAATCTTGTTGAATACAGTCTGTCATTAAAATACGGTGTAGACATTAGATTCCCCAAACTGTATGATATGCCCTCTAGTGGCTAATTTTGTATTTGCAAATGCCTAGTGATTTTTAGCCAAAACTACACACAGTAGGCTTGCGCTCAAAATGATGCTTTTCCCTAAACCTATTCTCCCTCCTCCTTGAAACCTAGCACCAGAAAACTGTTACCTGCCTGTCAACAAGTTTCTTTCTTAAGCTAATATCTCCTATCCCACATGAAAGTGCGTCATTTCCAGTCTACAATGGAGAATCAATAAGTTTCTCCTTGTTCTTTATTGTAGTGAAAGCAAAAGATTCACAGGTTCTTAGTTCCTTTAAAAAAAAAAAAAGCAGTGCAGGGGGGAGTCCTCTCCCCCAACTCCCAAATGGTGTTGGCCAAAACTACACTGAATTTGTATCAAATTCACAAATCATTCCAACAAGTGTTTTGTTTTTTTAAACTAAAGTGGTTTGACAGCTACTGCCTATCTCACCACATGCAGAACAGTTATGCTGGTTCCTCACTATTTAGACCTGTTTCCTTTCTCCACAGCTGGGAGAGCAGATAAGCAAATTTTACTTGTTGAAGTAAGAGAAACTGATGAGTCCTAGGGGTCAGCCCATGACCAGCCTTCTCCCCATTCCTGCCCCCCTGTGTGTGGAATGATATGATCCAGATGTCTGGACAGGCCCATGTGACACCTCAGTACACTGAACATGTATAGACTAATAGACTTATTTCAACAACCTGCCTCCAAAGCTGTGTGACTGGAATAGGATATTTTCACATTTCAAATGGTCCAGTAGAGAGTTCAGAAGTGGACAGGATAAATAAACACACTGAAAGGGACCCTTGGAAAATTCATGGAGCAACAAGTTTACTTATCTTGTACCCTCTGCGGTCCTGATCATCCTGGAGAGTGTTTCTGAAACTATTCACAAGTGAAGACAGTGGCTAGGTCTGAATTTAGGGTTACTTGCCTGGATGGTGACATTGTATTTCTGTTTCTGCAAGATTTGGCAGTGATTTCTATATGTGTTTCCCATGTCTCCTGGCTTTATAACAGTATTTCAGAGGGCCAGTGCCACCCAGCTTTGCTTTTCAGTCCTCAACTCCATGGAGAGACAAGGAACCACGTCGTCAACAGATACAAGCCCATCAGCTATTTACATGTGTAAAACAGACAAATGTCTGCTCCAAGTATATTATTCATGAAGGGGATGCATGTAGATGGGAATCTACAACATTATTGCCAGAAGCAGTGGACAGAAAAGCTTTTGGTTTATGATTCGCACATCAGTTACAGCCATTCGATATTTCTAAATATAGGAAAAATCACTTCCTCTCTTACCCACCTGCCAAGTCCTGAGCCTGACTTGCTGCGTATCTACTGTGAGACATAAAGGAGAACGGAAATGCTTCTTACTTGCCATTACTTACAAGCTCAGGGAGTTCTGTTTCCACTGCTACTATTAGCAAAGACACCAATCTCTAGAACAGGAAAGGCAGTGCTGCTTCCTGGTCTCTTTTAGAGCTGTCCTCTGTTGTAGGCGAGTCAGAATGTGAGACTCAGATGAAGGCAGATGAACCGCTCTCTTTTACGTCTGGTGGTAGGTATATAAACGTGGTACACGCATGCAGACACATAGCCATAGAGAAAAGCTACACTGAGAAGCTGCATCGTGTTTAGTCAAAAAGGTAGAACAATTGGAATGTACTCACTGAGGCGAAGGTGCCGATCTGTTTGATGTTCTGTTCATAGCTCTGAGAGCTGGTGGGTCTCCCGGGTGTTCGTCTGGAGTACCAGAAAGTATAATTATACTGCAGGGGGTGCTCGGCAGGCCCTGGGACGACAGCCTGGGGAACAGATAAGCTCATTTATTCTCCCATATTTCTCTCAAGAGGAGATTGAACAAGCTACATTCAGAGCATTAGCTGCCCACACGTTGCTGCCATCACAATCTAAGATGAACAATTTAGACTCATTTTCGCAGAAAAATCTCATCTCACTTTAATAGCTTGACACAGACCATTAGTTTGGCAGCAATTGACTATAATTCAAATAGGAGATTAGAAATCCATAGCACATTTGTTCCCCAAACTGGTAGGACTGGGTGTGCTAAAGAGGCTGCAGCTCAGTCCCAGGAGGAACGTCTCTCAATAGGAACCCCTCTTGCCAATTTAGGAGCAGCATTAATCTCTGTGTAAATTCCCTTTTGTCCTTGGCAGCAAAGAAATGCAGACTGTTTAAAAAGCACAAAGCTGATCTGGTAAAGCGATGGGAAGCTCCCCCCAACCAAGGCTTTCTGAAAATCTGATTGAGGAAAGAGTCCACCTTTGCTTTCCGTCTCCATATGGAGCCCAATTTCCTAGGCAAAGAGCTCTGGCTGCACTAGTAAAGTGTACTCATGTACCCATAACCCAAAGTCTATTTACCCAACAGCTTATATGGCTCCCCATCACGGTGCTAACACAGCACTAAGCCAGGACAGCATTCCTAGACATACTCCTTACACTGGGACAGATTGACCTCATGCAGATGCCAGTATTATCCCTTGATGATGGCAGTGGGGCATCAAGAACTCACCTTCCTCTTGGTGCTACTCTGGGGTTTGTCACGATCATTTTTTTCCTTCTCACCATCTTTCTGTGTGCTGTTCTCTTCGTTCTGGTCATGGTCCCCACTGTCATCATCTTTCAAACTGGCAAGGGCAAAAGAATGAGCTTTACATGTTTCATGGCTGAGGTGCCATCCTACAAAAGTGAGACTTATATTACTTGACTTCTCCCCGAGGCACAAACCGCTGGCACAACGGAGCCTATGCTGCAAGTCTACTGACAACAGATTCTTACAGGGAGAACCACATGAGAAAGCTTATGTGCCCTACCCCTGTCACAGACCACTTGGCCAACAAGAACCCCAAGCTCAAGCACATCGACTCTTAAAAACCAGATTAACTTTTAGGACAACTATAGGTTTTCTTCCTACATTGAGATCTGTTTGAAAGATCATTAAATAGGGAAGTACCACTGAAGACAATTATAGCACACCCATCACTTCGGGACCTATGCACCAACTAATACTGACAACCGTCAACTGGGGAATGGAAAAGAGACTGAGTCTCTATAAGTACGTCTACACCACAAGTGATACATGGCACAGCCGCAGCTATGCTGCCATAGCACAGATACTTACTTCAGCAAGGGAAGATGCTTTTCCAATTGCTGTAGTAAATCCACTCCTCAAGGGGCAGTAGCAAGGTCAACAGAAGAATTCTTCTGTCAACCGAGCAGCGTCTACACTGGAGGTCAGGCTGGCTCAACTACATCTCTCAAGGAGATGAATTTTTCACCCTCTCAGCATCATAGCCAGGTTGTCCTATGCTTTAGATATAGACCAGGCCTAAGGGGAGTTAGTCAGTTGAAGCCCAGGGAGCATCTTGCACCAAACAGGTCTCCCAGTGCCGCTGGAGCACCCACAGGGAAAAAATCGTGGGTGCTCAGCACCCCCCAGCGGCCCCGTCGATCAGCTCCCCCCCCCCCCCCCAGCGCCTCCCGCCCCCTGTTCAGCGTCATGCAGGAGGCGCTGGGGCGGAGCAGGCCGGGCCGCGGCGGGGTGCGCTCAGGGGAGGGGGCAGCGCGGGCTGGGTGCGGGGCCTTGGCGGAAAGGGTGGCGCCGGGGCAGGGCCGCGGGTCGAGCTTCCCACCGGGGAAGTGGCAGTCGGTGCCGGAGCCCGCTGCTCTCCGTTCACCGGGACAGGCCAGCGGGCAGGCTGGGGGAACAGGAGCCAGGCTCTGACCGGGGCCCCGTCTGGCGTTGGCGGCTGGCCCTGGCCGAGAGGCGTCTGGTCCCCGAGGCCGCTGCCCCCGGCGGCGGCTACACAACCAGCCACTGACGGCTTGAGGCGGACGGAAAGAGGCTCACGTGGGCCGACTCCGTGTGCGGGCCCGGGCCGGCTGGGGGCTCGCCCCGCGGAGGGGGGAGGGGCGGCGAGCCGGGGCCGGGGCCGAGGCCGAGCGGGGGGGGGTGGAAGGTGTCACTCAGAGCCGCCTGCCCGCCACCCGCTCCCGCAGAGCAAAGGGGAGGGAGCCAAGCCCGGGGGGGGAGGGGGGGGGGCACCTCAGACTCACGCGTCAAATTTGTTGTTCATCCTCGCTCGCCGCCTCCGCCCGTCTCTCCAGTGACTTCCGCTCCGCGCCAGTCACCCTTCCGCCACTTCCGGGAGCGGCGGAACTCCACAGCACCGACGCAAGTTTCCGCACGGCGCAATGAATGCGCGCGCCGTCCTCGCGAGACCGGGACGGGCGCCGCGGCTAGGGGGCGGGGGCAGCCAGTCCACCATCTTGAGTGTGGCGGAAGTCAGGAGGCGCGGCCGCCGCCGGGCCCGACCCTGGGTTTTTCGCGTCTCATCCCTCCACTGCCAGCACGTGCCCCCCCCCCGCGGCCCTCTCACCCCCCACGGCCAGCACCTGTCCCCCTCCGCCCCGCCCCCACCTTGGGCCTCTCACCCCCCACGGCCAGCACCTGCCCCCCGCGGCCCTCTCATCCCCCCACGGCCAGCACCTGCCCGCCCCGCCCCACCCCCACCTTGGCCCTCCCATCCCCCCACGGCCAGCACCTGCCCCCCCACGGCCCTCTCATCCCCCCACGGCCAGCACCTGCCCGCCCCGCCCCACCCCCACCTTGGCCCTCCCATCCCCCCACGGCCAGCACCTGCCCGCCCCGCCCCCACATCCAGCACCTGCCCCCCCCCGCCCCCACCGTGGCCCTCTCAACCCCACGGCCAGCACCTGCCCCCCCCCCCACCGTGGCCCTCTCATCCCCCCACGGCCAGCACCTGCCCCCCCCGCCCAGCCCCCACCTTGGCCCTCTCACCCCCCACGGCCAGCACCTGCCCCCCCGCCCCACCCCCCACCTTGGCCCTCTCACCCCCCCACGGCCAGCACCTGCCCCCCCTGTCCCGCCCCCCACCTTGGCCCTCTCACCCCCCCCGGCCAGTACCTGTCCCCCTCCGCCCCGCCCCCCACCTTGGCCCTCCCATCCCCCCACGGCCAGCACCTGCCCGCCCCGCCCCCACATCCAGCACCTGCCCCCGCCCCCCACCGTGGCCCTCTCAACCCTATGGCCAGCACCTGCCCCCCCCCCACCATGGCCCTCTCATCCCCCCACGGCCAGCACCTGCCCCCCCTGTCCCGCCCCCACCTTGGCCCTCTCACCCCCCCCAGCCAGCACCTGCCCCCCCCGCCCAGCCCCCACCTTGGCCCTCTCACCCCCCACGGCCAGCACCTGCCCCCCTGTCCCGCCCCCACCTTGGCCCTCTCACCCCCCCAGCCAGCACCTGCCCCCCCCACCCTGCCCCCCACCTTGGGCCTCTCACCCCCCATGGCCAGCACCTGCCCTCCCGCCCCGCCTCCAACTTGGGCCTCTCACCCCCCACGGCCAGCACCTGCCCTCCCGCCCCGCCTCCACCTTGGGCCTCTCACCCCCCACGGCCAGCACCTGCCCCCCTCTACCCCGCCCCCACCTTGGGCCTCTCATCCCCCATGGCCAGCACCTGTCCCCCAGGCCTTCCACACACACACCCATGGCCAGCACTGGAAAAAAACCCCCACTGCCCTGTGGCAGGATCCGTCCCACTTTAGCCAGTGGAAATGCTGGAGCCTCCACCCACTTCCTCACCCCTGTGTCTGGCCCCGATACAAAGCACCAGGACTTTTCCGCACCTGCAGAGGCCGAGGGGCCCTGGCAGGGCCAGTCCGTGTCACATTAGCTCCGGGGGTGCTTGGGACATCATTTGGCGCCTCCTTCATGGAGCCAGGAGCACAGGCCTGGTTCTCCATCGCCCCAACCCCTGCCCATTCTGCAGCGCCAGGGCGCCCCTGGTGCACATACGCCTGGCGTGCGCCGAGTTGTAGCCACTCTTCAGGCTCCTCCTGCTGAGGCTGTGGCTGCACTTTCCCCCACATCTCTTCATCCACGCACACCCTGTAGAGCCATGAGATCTCCTTGTCAGCCTCCTCTTGGGGCTGGCTACGGTGGCCGTTCACCAATGCAGGAGCAGGAAGCACAGTAGGGAGGTTCTTTGCTACTGAGGAGCATTCTGCAGCAGTGGGTGCTGACCGGGTCTCTGCCCAGGCTCCCCTTTGGCTGTCCTTCTGAACCTTTCATCCTCACTCCTGTGCCCTCCCCACCCCGGGGATAACAGTATATATATGATTACAAAATATGCTAGCATAACTCATGCTATCACCTCAGGCCAGAAACGCATTTAAAAATGATTTTCTTCCCTCTTCTCTTAGATTATCCAAGGGACAAACAGACGCTGCTAGATAATAGAGATTATCTTTTTTTCCTCTCTCAACTCCATGTTACTTCTTGTGTGTAATCTTGCAAGTCAATATAAGTAAAAAGAAACCTTATTTTTAACTAACAACTTTGGTCATTAGATGGTGATATTGGCTTGCGGTTGTGACTGCTTGCTGTATGTGGACTAATGTGCAGCTCGACCGCTTGCCTCGTTCGCCAGCAGAAGTCAGTCCAATAAAATATATTATCTCACCCACCTTGTCTCTCTGAGAGGCAGTCAGGCCAAACCTTTCAAGAGCAGCCATGGGCTTGGGGTGCCTTCTTTGTGGTTCGAACTGTGTGAAAAACTATTTTTTTTGGTTTGGTGGCAGAACTGGGGGGTGGGGGGGCAAAATAATCAGGAATGAAATTTTGTTTCAGGGCAACCTGAAATGAAAACGTTGCGAACTTTTAGACAAGCTGAAATGTCCAAAGAAAAAAAGGTTATGTTTCATGGTGACCAAAGAAACGGTTTGTTTCAATTTTGGGAGAGATTTTACATTTTATCAGAAGTAGAATTGGAGGAATTGCCAAAGCAAAACACCTTTCCAGAATGAAAAGTCAAAAGATTTCCTTTTTGAAATGCCAAACAAGCTATTTTGACATTCCTGATTTTTTTTCTTCTTACCAAAACAATTAGCTGACCGAAACCCAAATCTGCATTTTGCAATGGAAAAAGATTTTGCATGAAAAAATTTGGCCCAGCTCTCCTTGAGCTGTCTTGGGTCGCATATCTTGGAGCAGCCCTGAGCGTCTACAGCTCCCATGACTTCTGCTGATTTTGGGTTCTCAGTGCCTCTGAAAAAACTCAGTCCTAGGTGTGTCAAGCTGGGCTCCCAAAATCTGAGACGGCCCAAATCCATGGCCGCTTTTGAACTCTTTGGCCTCGGAGTCCTGAGAGGCACAATAAACAATATTGCTGGTGGGGAAAGAAGACAGAGTAGAGTCAGCTAGTTTCAGGGGATAAGAGTTCAGGGAGTGACCACATCTACTAGGACATGTGTGAGAAGAATTTCTGGGAAGGCTGGGTCGTAGAATCATAGGGTTACAAGGGACCGCCAGGGTCAGTGATTTTCAGGGCTGAAAAGTGGAAAAAACCTCCACATATGCATTAAAAAAATTGCAAAGAAAAATATTTGTAACAGCTCCAGCACATGGACGCTGTATGATGGAAGCCTGACATCTGCCAGGGAGAGAGGCACATCTGTGACCGAGGGACTTCCAGCGAGCTGGGGAAAGCAGGTCACACCTGTCAAAGTGATAAGGGCTTCAAATGTGTGGTCTTAGCACATGTCCTGGCTTTTGCAACATGCTCTCTTAATGCTGGACGTGCCTCTGCAGCTTGGCACTGGCAGAGGCAGGACTGCTTCTCTGAGCATGTGTGGGGAAAGAGGCAGGACTTCCCTAGAGCCCTGCTGTCTTCCAATCCCAGGAAAATGCCCTGGCAGCTGGGCTATGAGGTATTCGGGGGCAGGTTTCTCTCAGTGGTTCATGTTGAAGCCATTCCACTGAGTATGAATTTAAATAGTCAGTGGGACAAAGAATGAGATGACTGTGGCCCAGTGGTTAAAGCACTTACCTGGCTTGTGTGAGACCCCCAGCTTCAAATCCCTGCTCTGGAGCAAGGGTCTTGGACCCAGGTCTTCCAGCCTTCACAGGTGAGCAATCAAACTGCTAGACACAGATGGTCTCACAATCTCTCCTTTGGAAGCTGTTCCACTTCAGATAAAAGATTCGTCATTGGACCCGCAAGTGAAAAGGACTCAGCTGATGGTTAGGCCACACCCCTAAGACATGGGGGGGGTCCCAAGTCCCTGCTCCAACAACTATTTATTTACACCAAGTAGAACAGCATTGACGGGAGAGATTGAAAGACCCCCCTCCCCCCACATCCCAGGATGCTCCATAGCCCAGGGCATGCTCCTGAGATGGGCAGGGATGTGGCAAGTTCAAATCCTTGTGCCACATTGGGTGGAAGGGGGAATTGAACCCAGGTTTCACACATCCCAGCTGACAGCTCTGACCCCGGGGCTAAAGATTATAAAGGGGTCACTGGCACATCACTTCTTCCCCCATTTTCTGTACAGCTCCTAAGTCCTCTCCCCCAACTCCCAAATGGTGTTGGCCAAAACTACACTGAATTTGTATCAAATTCACAAATCATTCCAAGTTGACTGAAATGGCATATGTCCCCAGATAAGCGATTCGTCCCCCACATTTTGCCCAGCTCTAGCAGGCAGCTGAAAACCAATAGAATTGACAGCTCTTGAGCCTCTGGGCTTTGGCAGCACCAGGACAATGGATTAGAGTGTGGCAGATTGAAACCGTATTCCAACCACACACGCTAGGCTCCAGATCTCCAGTACACCGACGCTGCGCAGTGCTGTAGGACAGCAGCAGCCAGAGGGAGCTGGTCCCGGCTCCCTGATCCTCTGCCTCCCTGCTCTGATGGAAGTTAGAGTAGCTGTGACCTATGCTAACTTTTACTGCTCGATAACTGAGATTGCGCCAGTCGAGGCTTGGGCACATGCCCCCTCCCCGTTCTCCTCACCCCATTACACTGGTAGGGGAAGGGCAGCTGACTAAGACTGTCCCTGCCAGTATCATGCCTATGGAGAGTCCCTCTCAGCAGGGGAAATTCTCCAGGGACAGGCTCCAGCCAACCCCTTGTGTGGCAATTAGGGCCTAGATAACAATTAACCAGCTAAAACACAGCCTGGATAACAGCGGCCATATGTTCCTCTTTTCCCTTCTGGTTCTTGCCTCCTGTCCTTTTGACTGCTGCCCTTCTCTCCAACTTCTGGTCAGCTCTCATCTCGCAGCTGCGAGGGATCGAACTCCCTGTCGTAACGCCCCCTGTCCTTAGAGCTTCTCCTTGCCAGGGTTCTCGTCCACGTGCCCCCACATCACCCTCCAAGCTCTGTTTCCGTGCCCCTCTCTGGGCTGGCTCCCCAGCTCCAGTACTGAGCCTTCCCCAGACATCTATTCTCCTGCAGACTGGGGCTCGGGGCCCCTTCACAGACATCTCTCTGTTATTCCTCCCATCAGACCAAGCTCTTGCCCCTTTTATGGGGGCCAGGTATCCACTAAGTTATCACCTGTTGCCTCTCCCTCCCGGCACCTCTCGCTGAGAAGCAGCTAATTAATCAGGGTGCAGGTGTAATCAACGTGACTAGCTACCTTTTAACCTTCTTTAGCCCATGATGGGGTTTCACCCACCACACACACCCACTACGCTAATCTCATAATTAGGAGATTTTTAAAAACCCTACCAGCCTTGCATTACAATAGACTAACCCTCTCTCAATTCTCCCTCCCAGCAGTCAGATTCCTGGTCAGCCATAAATAACGCCAGGTGCCACAATTCTTTGTTTTATAGTTTGTTTACTTATGGAAATTCACTATGAGAAACACCTGCCTATTGGGTTTCCTGGTCGTCTGTGACTTGCTGCAGCCTAGCGAGGAATAGCACAGATCTTATAGTGGTGCGGTTGTAATAGGCCCCCCAAAATACGCTCAGTGTTAATTTCAGTCACTCCCTCCGGCAGCCTGAACGTGAATGCCCTCAGCAGGCTGGTGAAGAAGATGAAGAGCTCAGTCCTTGCCAGGCGCTCCCCCAAACACACACGGTGCCCTAACGGGGGAGAGTTAGTGAGTTAAGAAAAAAAAACATTTCCCTTCTATTGCTTGTGTAACTCAAAAATGACAGCATGAGAAATTTCAGACTTGGCAGGATTCTAGTCCTCAGTGAGGAAGGAAAAATAAGATCTGCTTAAAAGCAAAATCATGTTTTACCTCTGAAGTCAAAGGTCTGAGGCTAGGCCTGCATATGTGCATCTGAGAATTTGCATTTCTGAGGTAATTAGCATTAGGAATCATTCTTCACATGACTATTCCCAAAAGGATGGAGGGGGTTATTTGCACAGTCCACAGATTTCTTAGTACAGTAGAACTTGGCTAATTTGCACTAATGACCGAGAAATCCATTGCTTATTAAGGAATTTTGCAAATTAATAAGCAAGCAACACTTAAATCTATCACAAAATTGATTTAGACAACTTCCATTCCATTTTCATGTCTATACAAAATGCAAAAAACCTATCTGACTTCAAGACTGAGCTTGATAAGTTTATGGAGAGGATGGTGTGACAGGACTGCCTACAATAGCCTGTGACCCATCAGCGACTGCCTGTAGCAAAAATCCCCAATGGCTGGAGACAAGACACTAGATGGGGAGGGCTCTGAGTTACTACAGAGAATTCTTTCCCAGGTGTCTGGCTGATGGGTCTTGCCCACATGCTTAAGGTCTAATTGATCGCCATATTTGGGGTCTGGAAGGAATTTCTCACTAGGTCAGATTGGCAGAGACACTGGTGGTTTTTCACCCTCCTCTGCAGAATGGAGCACGGTTCACTTCCAGGTTTAAACTAGTGCAAATGTGAATTTTCTATAATTTGAAGTCTTTAAACCATGATTTGAGGACTTCAGTAACTCAGCCAGAGGTTAGGGGTCTATTGCAGCAGTGGGTGGGTGAGGTTCTGTGGCCTGCAATGTACAGGAGGTCAGACTAGATGATCAAGATGGTCCCTTCTGGCCTTCAAGTCTATGAGTCTATACAGCGCTTCCCATTAAAAGTCAACATTTAAATTTTGAAGTATAGGGGAAAACCCTGTGGTATCTCAGATGTCATACTGTGGCAACTAGCTGTAAATGTTGTCATTTTAATGATGGCCAGCATGCTGTGATTTTTGTACAAATAATGAAATTGTGTAGTAGAAGAACCCACCCATGGCATTCTGCAAATAAATCTTTGCTGAGAAGCGAGGGGAGTTTGCCATTCTAAGTGCAAATGATAAAGCGTGCACATTAGCAAGGTTTAACTGTAAATCTCTCTGAATTATGCATTCACAATTTTCCCCCGTGAAAAATGGTTTAGCTGTCAGTGCATTTACCTGCTGAGAATGGTAAGAACGCTTCTCTGCTCATGAAGTTTCCATCCTTATCCAGAAAATGAGTCGGGTTGAACTGGTGAGGTGTCTCCCACTGCTCAGGATCAGACAAGACGGAACATATATTTGGCAAGATGACAGTGCCCTGCAAGGAAGAAGGATCTGACTTAGCTCTCACCGTCACTCCCTCAGAGCAGTGCTTAAAGAGAGAGTTTTCAATTCTCATGTACTGTAGTGCATGGCATGTCCCCCGGGGAGAGATCTGTCTCATTGGAGTAAACTGGGAGACTACTGGATGGTATATTTTTATTTCTGTTCATCATTTCTGAGCCATCTGCTAGCAGGATGGAGCCCAAAAGAAGAGGCAGTTCCCCAGGATTCTCCCTGCTTTAATACAGATTCCTTAATGGAAGAAAAACGTTAATGCTTCATATTTTAAATGTGTCAGATTCACAAAGTTATATTTTTATGTCGAAGCAGCAAAGCCAGTGAGAGGTTTAAAGGGGCTGATGGAGCATTTGCAAATTCAGGGCAGTGTGACATATCGATAAAGAGACACAGCACCTGATTATCCACTTCCTTGCACTTTGTACCATGTTACCAGGACGTGTACAAAGCGGCTGTACTCTGCTGTCTCACTTTGCCCTAGTGCTGACGGCTTCAGAGGGTGCAAGGAGAAGCAGACATGTTATATATCTGGAAACACGAATGAGTTGCATTCCTAGTACATTTGACCCCCTTGGTGGGAGAGGAGGGTATAAGCATAAGAGAATGTCTCTGTACCTTTGGGACAGGTAACCCCAAGAGTGTTGTATCCTTCACACATTGTCTGGGGACTCCGACCGGGGCAATGCAACTGTAGCGCTGGATCTCATGAATCACGGCATTGGTATAGGGTAGGTTCTTCCGATCCTCATAGCAGATTAATTGGGAAGGACCCAACACAGCATCCAGCTCCTTCTGGACCTCCTCTGAGGAGACACATTTAGCTTGATGCAAATGGAAGGACACGTATTCAGGCAGTGAGTGCATGCCCAGAGATGTGTGCGTATTCTGGGGCTCTGTCACTTCCCTGCAGGATTCCCTTTAGCTTGAAGGAGGAATTACTCCTTTAATGCTGGTTAACTGCAGTGGGTGATGGGAAGCCATGCCAAGGGAATAGCTACGCTGGTGATTCCTACATCTTTATCTCTAAGGGAGATCTGCACTTTCCCAGCAGACTCACAGATGCCAGTTGAAACTCAGCATCAGGGCCAAATTCAGCCCTGGAGCACAGCGTTCCCTTTCTTTGCAGTGAGAGGGTGCTGGAGGCAAGGTGCAGCAGGAGCATCCCAAAGTGCAGGGAAAGTTTCTTCTCACTTCATTCCCCAGACCAAACTCCTGTTTGTCTGATGCACCTAGGGGCGCACTAGCAGCCTGATGAAAATCCTGCCCCCAGCACTGGAAGCCCCACGGGCTCAGGGAAATGGAAATGGTACCCACTGGGGGGGAATTGGGCTCCAATAGACTGTTCAGGAGTTAGCCAGGCCCAGAACAATGTCAGATTTGTAGTTTTACAGCAGGCCTAGTATATTCTTCACAGTTCCTTAACCTGAAAGTGGCCAAATAGCTTGAGCACAAACCTTCCAAGGCAAAAGGGAACCACTTGCAGGGATTGGAATAAGCCTAGACAATGTTAACGCAAGGAAAAAACACTATCAGCGAGCAGCAAACTGGTTCTCCCTAGGGCAGCAGGCTTGTATCTTTATATATGAGCTGGGAGCAGCTGCCCTGTTTTCCAGGCTTAAATAGCCATCCCTGTTTTGTGAGGGCAACTGGGTGCGACCCTAAGAACTCCTCAGTTCCAACGGGTAAAGGGGGTTGCAAGACTATCCTGATCCTGGACTGTACATTCTGGTTCCCCAAAGAACAGAGCCCCCACCCGAGCTGGAGCCCTCACCCCCTGCGCCCCAACCCTCTGTCCCAGCTCTGAGCCCCCTCCCGCACCCTGAACCCCTCACCCCAATCCCACCCCAGAGCCCGCATCCACACCGCACTCCAACCCTTTGCTGCAGCCCTGAGCCCCCTCCCACACTCCGAACCCCCCAGCCCCGCCATGCATCACCTCCATATTGGTGCACAGAACAAAATTCATTCCGCACATGCGTGGGGAAAAATTAGAGGGAACATTGGTCATGGAAGGTCTGAAACAAAAGCCAGGGTCCTGCTGGTCACGCTATCGCTGTGAAATGTCTGTGCACATACTGAGGGCATGTTTACACTGGAAACATAAGTCAACCTATGTTAGGTCAATTTATAACCACCGCAGTCATTGAAATTGACAGCCAACAGCCAATGCAAGGAACGCTGTGTCTACACGGACACTGCGTCACCCTAACTCCACGGACATAAGCCCTGCGCCTCTCCTGGAGGTGGAGTTATGATGTCGGTGTAGGTGGGCACTTACACTGATGGGAGCCAGACTGCAGTGTAGGCACTGACATAATTAGGTGGATGAAAACTGCCTCATGCCGAGACCAAGCCTGAGTAAGCGTGTGTGTGTGAGCTGAAAATATGGTCCTGAAGTCTGTATCAAGGCAGAGCTGACAAATAGGTTTGGTGCCCTACAAAAGGTGTGTATTCACCTGTATCTCTAAGCCAGTGGTCCCCAAACTTTTGAGGGTCACATCCCCCTACCCCTGTCTGTCGCGCCCCCCCCCAGCCCCTGGTGCCAGGGCTGGGACCATGGCACTCGGGGCTGGAGTAAGGGGACAGAGGCTGGGGCCGCAGCTCCCGGGGCAGGAGAGGATGTGGAAAGGAGTAAGGGGGCAGAGGCTGGGGGCAGGTCTGGGGTAGGGAGAAGGGCCGGGGCTGGGAATGGCACTGCGGCCGGGCGCGGGGCTGGGAGCTGGGGCCAGAGGCGAAGCAGAGCTGGGAGTGGAGCGGTGCTGGGTGGTGCTCCCTCCCCAACCCCTGTGTGGGGTGACCTGGGGCCTCCACTCCTCCCCAAACATTCCTCACCCCCTAGGAGTGCGCACCCCACAGTGTGGAAACCTCTGCTCTAAGCATTGTAAGCCGACACAATGGAAGCCGCATTTACATACAAAGTCAACAGGGGGATGTGAAATCAACAGGAAGGCAGCACACTGGAGAATAAGCTAGGGTGGGTTATTGTGACCCTAAGAACAGACAATGAGTGGGGGATATAAAGAGAAGACAAGGAAGACACACCTTTACCCTCCACCTAGGAAGTCATTGGTCAGTGTGGTTACATTTCTGAAAACAGGATCACAACCAACCTTGGCTGAAATGCTGCAAAAGACCTTTGGGGTGAGATAAACTTCTTCAGCCAAAAGCTTGTCCTGGTAAACTAAGTTTAGTCTCTAGAAAGTGTGTTCTTGATGTTGTTTTGTATGCAACCTTTGTGTCCATTACCTGTACTCACGATCTCTTGAACTGCGAGTCTTTGATAATACACTGATCGTTGTTTTCACTAGAAATGCAGCTCAGTGCTGTGGTGTGATACAAGGAGCAGATCCTGAGTTGAATCAAACAAGCTGGTGTGTACGTTGTGTCTTTGGGGACAGCAGCCCTGGTATTTCCGAGTGTTCAGTGGATAAGGGGCTGGATGCTACAGGGGAACCCTTCAGAGGGGCTCCGGGAGCGGGGTGCACCTCTTATTAGCCTGCAAGGCAAAGGAAGGGCTGGCCTGCTCCCGAGGAGGTTGTTGGGATGGCTAACAGGCTGGTGGGGTCAGGTAGCTGACACTCAGCTAAGTGCAAGCAAGCCCATCCCTTTCTGGAGGCAGGAGGGTAACCAGGAAACTCACAGTCCTGGGTGCCCTGAGAACTGTCACACTGTGATGTAGGGAACCATGGCCACAAGGGCGGGCTCCAGAGCATCTGTACCTGCCATTGCAGACCCAAGGCTGCAGACCCGTTCAGTCGGAAGGCACATTCCTCCAGTACTGGGGGATGGGTGTCGAGAAGGTAAGTTCTTCATAGCACTTCCCACCAGCATCACCTCAGTCTGGCCTGGGTTCAGCTCCAGCCAGCTGTTCTCCAGCCAGATGCTGATTTCAGCGAGGGCCCTGAGAAATCTGGGACATGGTGCTGTTTATATTTGATACGACACGGGGGTGGGTTGGGGGGGGTGGGCGCTGAAGAGAGCTCCGCTCAATGCCTCATGGAGGAGAAACACAAAAAGCCCTTTGTTCATTAACTGGGCAAGAGCAACTGAGTTTTAGGTGTGGATGGTAACACTGCAACCCACATGGGTAAGTATTCTGTAATAACATGCATGACGTCCCGGTAATGAGACCTGCCTACCGTACCATCTCTGCTACCAGAGCGTTGCTGAGACGTGAGGAGGGGCTGCTGGGCTCACACAGCACAAAGTGGTCTTACAAGTGGTCTTACTGAGCCAAGGTATGCGGGGCCTGGACTTGTGGACTTGGTGTTTCTAAACGCTTGATCATCGGCACTGCACTGTAAACCTGGGTTTACAATTGCTAGACCTAGGCTCATGACCATGCTAACGTGTCCAGACTGCACTGCGCAGACCTTCTGACTCGGGTCTGTGGCTTGAGCTGCCTTCACCCCACCAAATGACAGGGCTTGGACCTGAGTTACAACATGACTCAGGCTCTGACATCCCCCCGGCCAGGTCCTAGGACCCGGGCTCTGAGTGCTTGCTGACCTGAGTCAGACTGATCTGTATATGGGCAGAAGTGGGGTTTGGGGCAAACCTGCATCAGAACCCAGGCTTAGTGTGCAGTGTAGACAGACCCACAGTGACTGGAGGTGGCCAGTGGAAAAGTCCACCAGTGTAGGGCAACTAATCACTGGGCAGATAGCTGACCGAGGCAGCAGAGCCACCGCCCATGCCACCCCCGTCTCGGCATCTGGAGAGGGAAGGGGGCAGATCAGGGCCGGGGTGAAGGCAGGGCAGGGAGAGGAAGAAGCATGGACGAGCAGAGCTCCACTAGGCCTGGTTTTCTGCTGATGTAAGGTCCTGGAGCTGCTCCTGTGAAGCTCTAACTTGCACCCAGGTGGGCTGGGTGGCTGATGACCCAGAAGCACCTAACAGGTCCCTGCAGGCTGCAGTCCCTCCTCCCCACTGAACCTGAGCTCTGCTTGAGAGGGGTGGAAATCCCGTCCCAGTGCATTTAGAGTGTGAATCATGAGGTTTGTGGCTTAGCAAAGGGTGAATCAGGAAGGTTCTGCTGTGGAAAGAAAACTTCCCACTGGTGAGATCTGTTAGCCTGTGGCCAGTCTCCCAAAGGAAGTGGTGGAAGTCCCATTGCCCAAGACATTTAAAGCAGGTGGACTAACAATCCCGCAGTAGGGCTGGACTAGGGAAGTGGGGGGCCTAGGCATCTCTATGAGGCTTTGTCACTTCTAATGTCTGTCATTCGATGATTGTAGGACCAGAAATCTCACTGCTTTGCTGGCTGCAGCAGCCGCCGCCAATGGTCAGTTTTAGAACGAACATTTGTCGAATAAAAACGGGCAGAACCGGGTAATTTTCCACATACATGCAGACTCGCATCCATGGTGTGTGTTCCCGTCTCCCTCTCCCTCACCTTGGATGTGGGGATGAAGCACCAGGCTGATCAGTGCCCAGCGCAGGGTCGTGGCTGTGCTCTCTGTACCAGCTATGAAGAGGTCCAGGATAGTCTGAATCAGGTTACCTTCATCAAATGTAGAGGTGGGGTCATCTTTGCACTGCAGGGGACAGAGGGATAAATTAGGACACGGGAGGCAGGACAGTCAACGTGATAAAGAGCAGAACTTGCTCATTCCTTTGACTCCCTGCCATTTGCAAGGTCTTTTTAGTATTTCTGATTTCAGAAAATCACAAAACAGAAATGTTTTTTCTGATGCCCTCCAGGTTCTTGATTTTGTTACTTCCCGTCACCGCCTTCAATCCCAATTCTGTGCTGTGCTGCTTTGCAACACCCTTCTGAGACACCGCTTGGCCTGGGCCCGTTGGACAAGGGATCCCTCTTCCTTATCACCGGGTTTCTAGGAAGCTGCCGAGCTGCAACTGACACTGAGCTGTCATTTACCGTCTGCCTGCCCAGGCTGGAGCCCTATAGATTTCTGACTCTGCCACTCTCCCACCCAGCCACGCACCTGATCCCATCTCAAGAAGCTTTTCTGCTTTAGTCTGCAGAGGTTTGTGCTAGAAGGGTGGAATGGAGTTGTAAAGACGTTATAGTCACATACGGTGCAGAAACGTACTTTGACCATCTGTGCCAGGTAGAAGTCAATGAAATCCTGTGGCTCATCTGGTACCCCACTCTCCTCGTGGCGTCTGATCTCTTCCTTTGCAAAACAATACAGAAACCCATGGGAGGACAGCACCTTCTTGTGAGGTCCTGGGAGGTGGTCCATGAGCCAGGGGAAAGTATTGTGCAGCTGTAGGAGAGACACAAAGAAGCTGCTTTCATTCTTTGCAATTAACACATTCCTGGAGGAGCTCTCCAAAGACGAAAATGCCCAGTGTGGGGAATTTTGCTATTGGATCAATTGCTTTGAAGGACACATTTTCAGCATCACGTATGGGGCTTCAGCCTAGACACTGATGGTTAAAACTCTTTAGAACCTAGCGCTAGTGTCCAGAAAGATATTTGGATATAGACAAACACGGAGAGGGAGAGAGAGAGAGAGAGAGATGCTCCAAGTTCCCCTTGTGATGTCTGCTTCTTCTGGGCTTAGAATCATGGAACAGACGGAAAGTAAAGGTCTACTGAGCTAAAGAGTTCAAAGACACTGGTGTTTTGACACTGTGTCACAGATATCAGAGGGTAGCTGTGTTAGTCTGTATCCACAAAAACAACGAGGAGTCCAGTGGCACCTTAAAGACTAACAAATTTATTTGGGCATAACCCTTCGTGGATAAAAAACCCACATCTTCAGATGCATCTGAAGAAGTGGGTTTTTTACTCACGAACACTTATGCCCAAATAAATTTGTTAGTCTTTAAGGTGCCACTGGACTCCTCGTTGATTTTGGTTTCAGAGATTTTCAACCTGTAGTCTACCTCTGCCACTGAGTTCCTAGGTGACGCCGGGCAAGTCACGTAGCCCAAAATGTTAACAGGTGGCCACTGGATTCTCATTTTCTAGGTATCCAAATTAAAATACCAGGGGTCTGATTTGCAGAAGACCTGAGCACTCACAGCTGCAACTGAAGTCAATGGAGCTCTGCTCTGAACATCTGAAGTGCTCTACAATACTAAATACTCTGAAAAATCAGTCCCTGGGCGTCTCAGATTGGGCCCCCAAATTTAGTTGATCGTGGTGGCAATTTTGGCTTTTTTTCTCCACTGTGAAGATAAACTCATTAATGTTCATAAAGCGCTAAGATTCTACCACGAAAGCACCACAGAAAAGCCCAGGAGGAAATGAATAATTCTGTATTAGAGCAGGGTTTGAGTGGTGTGCACGGACCCACACACTGCATGAGGATGATAAAAAGAAACCTTGAATAGTGGCTCGTTCCATGAGCATTGTTCATCCTGTGTGCTAAAGGAGACAGGGGTCTCATGAAAAAACTGGAAGTGATCGTGTAATTAAAGGCAGTATCATAATGTATATGCACAAGGGGGACCAAATTAAGATTGCATGGACAACCTTAATTCTGGCATATCATAACTTTGGAGTGCTTGACAGTGCAAACTTAACATGCTTTTAACATAGGAGTGGTTTGAAAGAGGGTACAGTGGTGGATACAGATGCTGAATGGTAACCTTTCCTACTCATAGGGGCCAGTCGAGGAGAAAGCTTGTGGGGGGGAATAGGCTGGCTAGGTAGGAAAGAGCTAACTTGTGAAAGTCTCTGAAGGGAAGAACAAGTAGCTTGTGTTTGTTGTGGTGGAAGAGGGGTGGCCAATGGAAGGACTTCAAGGTGGGGGTGGCAGAGCAACAAACCCAAGGAGAGGAAGGAAGGGGTGGAGTGGGCGGGCCAAGGGTGGAGCCCCCCGCCCCTGGTGCTTGCAGAGTAGGGGAAGCTGCCGCTGCTGCTTGGCAACCTGCTTCTCCTAGCCTACAGCTCCTTCAGCCTCCTTGGCTGCCTCCTTGCCTCCAGTGCCGGTAGGCTGTGCCTGTGTGAGGTGAGGCGGGGGCACCTCCCAACTATAGGACTGGACTGGACTGTATGGCAAAAAAAAATGCCCCTGGAACCTAACCCCCCCATTTACATTCATTCTTATGGGGAAATTGGATTTGCTTAACATCGTTTCACTTAAAGTCGCATTTTTCCGGAACAGAACTACAACGTTAAGGGAGGAGTTCCTGTCCGACATCTTCTATTTAGGGAGGGGCCCAGCCCGCATTTGGGGAGGGGGGCAAAAGAAATAACAGCAACAAATTGGGAACGTACTCTCTCGCTGAGGGTGCTCGCAGATATGAGCAAACAGGCATTGGCTTTAATCAGCTGCTGGAAGGTCTCATCGTCAGCAGAGAAGCGATGTCCCAAAACCACAGCACAAATGACATTTGACAGAGCTTGGCTGAAGAAGATGCTCGGGTCCAAGGGCTGTCCTGCAAACACAGTTATTAACATGAATGTTGCCTGCTACTGTGTCTCCCCCTCCTGGCACGAGAAGGAGCCTGGGATCTAGCAGGTCTTTTCAGTCGTGAACGTTTCTGAGCCTGTGATTCTGGTATCCAGCATCATTCACTAATAAACATTTAAAAGAAGCAATCAAAGAAAACTCAAGCTGGTTACAAACCAACTCTCTGCGGAAGGTTCAGTGTGTTAAAGGGACCCTGCCCATCTCTGCAGCAGTCCAGGCGGTAGCAGATCATCACTGGAAACTTGGTGACGTGAGCAGAGCTCCTGCCCAGTAACACCCCTCACATGCCAGCAGGTTCTCCTGTCCCAGGCTGAGAGAGAGATTGCTGGGCACGTCACTGACGGCTGCTTTTTCCTCCCAGCCCCAGAATTCCCACTAAACTCACTGGGCTGGATTCTCTCCGGCGGCTGAGGTCTGCTTGGTGCAGCAGATAGGAGTGGGGAGGGGCTTCAGGAAGCTGGTTACAGCTCCTGGATTCTCTGCTTGGCTCTTTCTCTAAACTATTCCAGCAGGGCAAAGGAAGCAGAGCAAGGCTGTGAATATACCCCATTGTTTTGCAATGAGCTATGGGATAGCTTGGCTATACATCGATCCATTGTATGTGTCACCAAGTTGCTATGCTCTCTCCCCAGTCATTACAGTCACTGGTATCTTTTTTACATTCACTTCTAGGACTCCTTTCACTCTAGTTACAGAGCAGGTAATGGTACCAACACAGCACTGGGTCTTATTTGTTGATGATCTCACTTAGCAGTGGGCTAAGACTTTGGGGCTACTTCTGTCCTAACGTATAGTCCACAGAACCTGAGTGACTTCACTCATGTTGCACAGGGTGTGATGGCAGGGTGGAATTTGGGCCTATGGGCTTGATCCTGGAGAGAGCAGGGGCTTTGCAAAACTGAGGCCTGGATGAAGGCAGCTAGCTGGCTGACTCTTACCCCAGACAAGATCCTAGGAATGATGATTAGCTACAATGGTGATAGGGTGCATTAGAAATGCAATGAATTAGCTATGTAGACAAGCTGGTTGATTGGGGAAAACAGGTCGAGGGGATAGTGGAGTTGATATCCGCCCCTGTGATAGAAGAGTGCTAGGAGGGGGCTCAGGCTTGGGTTCTGCTGGATTCCCTGCTGTGTTTGGATGCTATAAAAGCAATAGCCAAGAGTGTATTTTTACCTATGTCTGGAAAGGAGCTTGTGATTTTCCTCCCATATTTGGACCTTGACACAGTTATTAATTTTTATTCACACTAAAATCAGCCACCTGTTTTTGGTTAATCTATTACTCCAGGTGCCTTTGACATAGTGTCAGAAGAAACTATGCAACTAAAACCAGCAGTAATGCCCACGAAACACTCAGGCCCCAGCCTGACAAAGTAAAAAGGGACGTACTGTGCCAAACTCCCATCCCCTACAGCCAATAACCACCATCAGGCTCCTCCCTCCCCAAACACTCAGGCAAAAAGGATGAAGGTTGGTCAACAATACCAAGCTATTTCCAGGGTGGAAACCAATTCCAGAGCTGAGGGCCTCTCCTGGAAAATGATGTAACTGCACCCCTTCCCATAAATCGAGGGCACTCCAACTCACATGGACACTGCTGACCGTAACAGTGGCAACATGGAACAGGGAGGGAGGTAGTCTATGAAGTTCGCAGATCCCAGGCTTTGTAGGTCAAAGCCAACACCTTAAATTCTACCCAGAGGCCAGCAGACCCCCCGCCCCCCAGTGCAGATCACCAAACACTAGTGTCAAGAACTATGAGCAAGAGACACCAGGTATCCAAGTCTGGAGATGTCTCTCCCATTGTTCTCTCGCCCTGTGGACCCCTCTCGCTCCAGGAACCACAGCCTCCTCCTCGTGACTCACCCTTCCAGCCAGGTCACTACGTGTGTTAAAGGGACCCTGCCCATCTCTGCAGCTGTCTCCATCTGGACGGGTGTCAAAGTCCCACCATACAAAATGGCAGCCTTCCCTTTACTGCTCTGACTGTGCCACTCCTCCAGTGACTGGCCAGGGAACCTGGGGCCGCCCTCTACTCCAGGTTCCCACTCAGGGGCCCTCTACTCAGCAGCCAAGCTCTGCACTCCTGTTCCTTGCTGCTTTTCCCTCAAGCCTTCTCCTACCTTCCTGGCTTTCCCCCACTCTGGGTTTGCCAGAACTCCCAGGGAGTATCTGTGAACTACCCTCTGTAATCCCAACACACTTCCTTGAAGCCCTTTTTCCGCTCTCAGCTCCTGGGCTCTATTCAGGCCCCTCCTGTTTCTGCCCAGCTGAGCCTTGTCTAATCAGTTCCCTGCTCCTTGGCTCCTCCTGCAGGTGCAGCCTGGGCAGTTAATTGACCTACCTGGCCACCTTAACCCATTCTAGGGCTTGTGTGGGGCAGATGCACCATCACACCAAGCCTTTGCTGCCTCAGGAATGACTCACTGAAATGCACTCCATGGGGGTGGGGGGCTGCATCTGAAGACAGTGCAGAAATGTCAGCTCGCGCAGAACACAGCTGAGTGCTTACTTGGTGATGGTGCCTACAGGAAACACACCCCTGCTCCACAGCCAAAACCAGTTCCAGTTCATTTCTGGATGCAATTCAAGGTGTCGGTTTTGACATGTAAAGCCCTTGTGGTTTGGCTGCTGGCTACCTTAGCGACCTGCTTCTGACAATTGAGATGGGGAATATTAACCCAAGTGCCTTGTCTAATATTAAACCCTCTGGGGCTTGGAGCCAAATGACCTCCAGGAAGAGGCCTCCCCTCTGGAATTCACTCTTCCCGCCGGTCTGACAGATCACATGCCAGAAAATATTAATATCTTCATCAATGATTTATATATTGGCATAGAGAGTATACTTATGAAGTTTGCTGATGATACGAAGCTGGGAGAGGAAGTGCTTTGAAAGATAGGATTAAAATTCAAAACGATCTGGACAAACTGAGGAAATGATCTGAAGTAAATAGGGTGAAATTCAATAAGGACAAATGCAAAGTACTCCACTTAGGAAGGAAAAATCAGCTGCACACATACAAAATGGGAAATGACTGCCTAGGAAGGAGTACTGGGGAAAGGGATCTGGGGCTCAGAGTGGATCACAAGGTAAATATGAGTCAACACTGTAACACTTGCAAAAAAAAAGCGAACATCATTCTGGGATGTATTAGCAGGAGTATTGTAAGCAAGACATGAGAAGTAATTCTTCTGCTCTACTCCATGCTGATTAGACCTCAACTGGAGTGTTGTGTCCAGTTCTGGGTGCCACATTTCAATGGACAAATTGGAAAAAGGCAAGAAAAAGGATTAAAGGTCTAGAAAACATGCCCTATGAGGGAAGATTGAAAAAATTGGGTTTGTTTAGTCTGGAGAAGAGAAGACTGAGAGGGGACACGATAATAGTTTTCAAGTACATAAAGGTTGTTACAAGGAGGAGGGAGAAAAATTATTGTTCTTAACCTCTGAGAATAGGACAAGAAGCAATGGGCTTAAATTACAGCAAGGGCGGTTTAGGTTGGACATTAGGAAACACTTCCTAACTATCAGGGTGTTTAAGCCCTGGAATAAATTGCCTAGGGAGGTTGTGGAATCTCCATCACCGGAGATGTTTAAGAGCAGGTTAGACAAACCCCTGTCAGGGATGGTCTTGATCAGGGGTCGGCAACCTTTCAGAAGTGATGTGCTGAGTCTTCATTTATTCACTTTAATTTAAAGGTTTAGCGTGCCAGTAATACATGTTAACGTTTTTAGAAGGTCTCTCTCTATAAGTCTATATATTATATAACTAAACTACTGTTGTATGTAAAGTAAACAAGGTTTTCAAAATGTTTAAGAAGCTTCATTTAAAATTAAATTAAAATGCTGATCTTATGCCGCCGGCCCACTCACCCCGCTGCCGGCCTGGGGTTCCGTTCACCTAGGCCGGCAGCAGGCTGAATGAGGCCTGCGGCTGGGACCCCGGCTGACAAGGGGCCGGCAGCCAGAACCCCAGACCGGCAGCGGGCTGAGCGGGGCCTGTGGCTGGAACCCCGTCTGGCAAGAGGCTGGCAGCCAGAACCCCAGACTGGCAGCGGGCTGAGCGAGGCCTGCGGCTGGGACCCTGGCTGGCAAGGGGCTGGCAGCCAGAACCCCAGACCGGCAGTGGGCTGAGCGGGGCTGGCGGCCGGGACCCCAGACCGGCAGCGGGCTGAGTGGGGCCTGTGGCCGGAACCCCGTCTGGCAAGGGGCCGGCAGCCAGAACCCCAGACCAGCAGTGGGCTGAGCGGGGCCTGTGGCTGGGACCCTGGCTGGCAAGGAGCCGGCAGCCAGAACCCCAGACCAGCAGTGGGCTGAGCGGGGCCTGTGGCTGGGACCCTGGCTGGCAAGGAGCCGGCAGCCAGAACCCCAGACCAGCAGTGGGCTGAGCGGGGCCTGTGGCCGGGACCCTGTCTGGCAAGGAGCCGGCAGCCAGAACCCCAGATCAGCAGCAGGCTGAGTGGGGCCTGTGGCCGGAACCTCGGCTGGCAAGGGGCCGGCAGCCAGAACCCCAGACCAGCAGTGAGCTGAGCGGGGCCTGTAGCCAGAACCCCGTCTGGCAAGGGGCCGGCAGCCAGAACCCCAGACCGGCAGCGGGCTGAGCGGGGCCTGTGGCCGGGACCCTGTCTGGCAAGGAACCAGCAGCCAGAACCCCAGACCAGCAGTGGGCTGAGCGGGGCCTGTGGCCGGGACCCTGTCTGGCAAGGAACCGGCAGCCAGAACCCCAGACCGGCAGCGGGCTGAGCGGGGCCTGTGGCCGGGACCCTGTCTGGCAAGGAACCGGCAGCCAGAACCCCAGACCAGCAGTGGGCTGAGCGGGGCCTGTGGCTGGGACCCTGGCTGGCAAGGAGCCGGCAGCCAGAACCCCAGACCGGCAGCGGGCTGAGCGGGGCCTGTGGCCGGAACCCCGGCTGGCAAGGGGCTGGCAGCCAGAACCCAAGACCGGCAATGGGCTGAGTGGGGCTGGCGGCTGGGACCCCAGACTGGCAGTGGGCTGAGTGGCTCAGCCCACTGCCAGTCTCGGGTTCCGTCTGCCGGCTCCTGCCAGCCCGGGTCCCGGCTGCCAGCCCCGCTCAGCCCGCTGCCGGTCTGGGATCCCGGCCCTGCCTACATAGAGTGAGTACCTACCTTCTCCCTGGTTCTAGCCCATTCTCTTCCTCTCTCTGCACTGAGCTGAGGGTGGGAGTGCACTGAGCACAGGGCTGGGGGTGAAGGAGCAGGCTGGGGGTTCGGGTGTAGGGTCTGGCCAGGAGCTAGAATGAGGGAGGGGGCTCAGGGTTGGGGCAGGAGGTTTGGGTGTGGAGTGCCTACATGGGCAGCTCCCATTTGGTGCGAGGGGTGCAGGTAGGAATGTGGAGGGGGGTGCAGGAGCTCCTGTTTGGTGCTCAGGGTAGGGGTGAGAATGTGGGGGGTGCAAGAGTCAGGGAATGGGGTGTTGGGGGGCTGGGTATGTGTGGGGGTGCCAGGATCAGGGAAGAGGGCTGGGGGCATCTGAGGGGGGTGCAGGAGTCAGGGCATGGGGTGTCGGGGGTGCTGGAGTCAAGGCTGGGGTGGTGGTGGGGTGCAGGGGCCAGGGCATGGGGTGTGGAGGGGCTGGGTATGTGTGGGGGGTGCTGGAGTCAAGGCTGGGGTTATGGGGGGGTACAGGTGTCAGAGTAGAGGGTTGGGTGTGTGTGAGGGGTGCCAGGATCAGGGCAGAGGGCTGAGAGTGTATGAGGGGGGGGGTGCAGGGGTCAGGGCAGGCGGCTGAGATGTGTGTGGGGGGTGTAGGGGTTAGGGCAGAGGACTGGGAGTGTGGGCTAGGGTCATGGGGGTGGTCCCAGCCCCCTGCCCAGAGCAGCTCACGGCAGGGGGCTGGAGGGGATATGCCCTGATTCCACCCCCTATCCCCACGGCCCCGTCCCCACCTCTTCTCCGCCTCCTCCCCGGAGCAGCGAGCGCACTGCGGCTCGGCTCCGCTTCTTTCCCTCCCTTGCAAGGGCCGTCAGCTGATGGGTGGCAGGAAGGGAGCAGAGGAGGGGCAGGAACCCAGCACACTGTGGGAAGAGGCCGGGGAGGGGGAACTTGCCTTCCCTGCAGCAGCAGCCGGCAGGACCAAGCTTCTTCACACTACCCCTGTGGGGGAGGAAGGGGGGGGGGCGGAGGCAGAGAAGAGCAGGCCAGGGGGGAGATTTTTAATGGCTCGCTGCTGCCTGCTGGGGTCCCGGGCCTAGGTTCGGCAGCAGGCAGCAGTGTGCCATTAAAAATCGGCTCACGTGCTGTCTTTGGCACGCGTGCCATAGGTTGCCGACCCCTGGTCTAGATAATACTTAGTCCTGTCTCAATGCAGGGGACTAGACTAAACGACCTCTCGAGGTCCCTTCCAGTCCTATGATTTTATGATTCTATGAAAATAAGGTTATGGTAAGTGAAAAGCCCCAGCTATGCTGGCAATGATGTACCTCTCTCATTCATAAAGTACTCCACCAGGTGATGGGCCTCCTCCTGGATTCGGTGCTCCAGACCTTTCTTGCCCAGCCCCAGGTTCCGCAGGGTCATCAGCCCAAAGCGTCTCTGCTGCTTCCAGGTGTGACCACTTGTCATAACGATACCTGAGGCCATTGAGAATCCGTTATTTATATAAAGCAAAATCATTCACCAAGTAAGAGTTCAACTTAAAATATATTTTCTAACATGAGAGAGAAATCCAGAAGAGTGAGCGCATTATTCGTTGCTTTATCTGGGGCCTCAGGCCTGAATGGATTGTGACAACTCTGGAAAACTCCCCGTTATGGAGGGTTTTGTTGCATTTTTTAGGTGAAATAGAAAGCAGGGCTTCAAACACGCAGGATACAGGTTTCATAATTCACACATCACCTGAAAATATGAGGATAATTTCACAGCTGGGGACGCACACAGATGTGGGGTGAGGTCAATTGCAACGCAGGGCATGGATAAAAGAGCATTTTTTTGAATGACAGTGCAGGACTATGAGTTGAAACCCAGCAGGAAGGAAGATCTTGGCCAGGTTTCAAAAGCCTTCACGCTGTGTGAATGATCAAAAACTAGCGTTGTGTCAACGTCATGTCCAGTGGGACACTGAGTGATGCTCATGCTCCGTGCTGAAAGCCTGTTGATGATAGTGATGTTCACAGGACAGCAAAGAACTAATGATCCTCAAAGTTATTTGGATGCCTAACTCCCACTGATTTTGAGGATCTGGGCCCAAGAGACAATGAATGGTTCAAACAAGCTCCTTAACACTCAGGACTTTACCCTTCAGTCCCATTCAGTGGCTGCTTGCCCCATTACTCATCACCAGACCAGCTATCCATGTAGCTATTTTTGCAGTCTGGAGATGCGGCTCCATGGGGAAGATGGCTATGGAATAACGGAACAGCCACACTTACAATGGGCACCCCAGGTTTTTGTACGGTGTCCATGGAAAGAGAACGTTACCCTTTTCAGTGGCCTTTTCATTGAAGAAAGGCATTGCTGGCCGGCCAGAAACATCTTCAGGGTTGGTGGTTAGACCGTCTTTCACTGCTTGGAATCCATGCAATACAATCACAGGGCTCTGTCCCAACCACAAGGTGAAGATCTTCCCATGAATCTGTGCCAACTAGAGACATGATCAGTGTCAGCAAAGCACGGCTGAAAAATTGTGTACAACAAATTGTGACCCAAGAACCTCTTAATGCCAGCTGGTAAGGGTGTTACAGGAATGTCTTGATTCTGGTATGCACAGGCACTGACTTTCATTTTTCTGGGTGAGTGCTCCACCCCGAGGCCCTGCCCCAACCCGCCCCTTCGCCCAAGACCCTACCCTCATGCCACCTTTTCCTGCCCCCGCTCCGCCTCTTTCCACCCCTGCTCCGCCCCCTCTCCCCAGTGCCTCCTGGCCGCCACCAAACAGCTGATTGGCGGAAGGCCACCGGTGGCATAGCTGATCTATGGGTGGCTGGGGAGCACCCGCTATTTTTTCCCGCAGGAGCTCCAGTCCCAGAGCACCCATGGAGTTGGCACCTATGCTGGTCTATACATTGTGGTTCACCCAAGAATGTCTTGTGAGGTCTTCCATGAAATCTGGCATCACACTGGTTTTATTACTATCAGTGTGAAATGTGTGTACAGATATTATGTAACAAACTATGGATATACAAACTGGAAATATGTTCTTAAGTATGTATGAAAGTATTAGTCACCAGAGGAGGTGAAAAACAGGCTTTTCTGTCAGAGTTGTTTATTCACCTAACTTGATGTCAGGATCTAAATTACACACAGCGGCTATCCATTTCCATACAAAGCCAAAGGTTAGCAAAGAGATGTGAAATCAACACAAGAAAAAACTAGCCATGGGGGAATTGTCCTGTCTATGAGTAAAGAGAGTGAACTTTGGGGGTACTTCTACAAGGCAAAGACGACACCTCAGCCTTCACTGAGGAAGACAGTGCTTTTTACTTAATGAAATAGAGGTCTCAGCCAGTCTTGTTTGAAAATGCTGAAGAGAACATTAGGCAACTGCTTTAGACAGGACCTATTAGTTAAGTTTAGTCTCTAGAAATGATTTTGTCTGGTTTCCAGTATTCTTACTTACTATTACTTGAATCTCTGATGATAAACTTATTGTTTTCACTATAAATATATCTCAGTGCTGTGGTGTTAAGCAAAGTGCTGGTCCAGAGTTGAATCTCACAAGATGGCGTGTTCTGGTCATTTGGGCATAGTAGACATGGTAATTCTGTGAGTGTTCAGCAGATAAGGGGCTAGATAGTACCTGGAACGCTCCCAGTATTGGGATTTGTGCCTGTCGCTACCTGTACAGAGCGAGTGAGGTCTGCAGAGACTTGGAAGGCAGTGCTTGTGTTGCTAGAAGCTGTTGGTTTCAGGGAACTGAGCCACTTTGGGAACACCATACAAACCAGTATCCCAGCTCTCTTCAGGGATGCCACCTCAGGGACTCTGTGATAGAGATGTGCCTGGCTCTGTAGAATCTTTCACAATGCCATGGTGCAAGAAATGATGAAGACAGAACATAGGAATTGGGTCAGACCCAGGGTTCATCTAGTCAAGCATCTTGTCTCTGACAAAGACCAGCGCCAGGAGCTTCAGAGAAAGATGCAAGAAGTCGCAAAGTGGAGAATTGTGCCTGCCAATAGGGGAAGGTTTTTCCCTAACCCTCCTCAGCGAGAAGTTGGCTTATTCCCTGAAGCACATTGGCTTTAACACCATTCCAAAGATAGGGCGGATAGCGCCTGAGGTCAGGGGAAGGATCAGAAAAGACTTACACGATGCAGCCATTCTGGCCATGTCTACGCTAGAAAAAGCTATGTTTTTTGCAAGAGAGCTAAGGCATAAAATACTGGTGTGGACTAGGCAAGGGTAGTTTTCCCTCAATGTAGCTGGTCGAGGGGAGCCTAGGATTCTGGGAGCCTAAAGTGAGACTCTAAATACACATTCAGACACCTAACTAAAAGGAGCCTAACGTTCCCAGGGTCCTCACACCTGCATGTCCCACTGACGACGGTGAGGTTTTTAGCACCCCCCCCAGAAGGCAGAATTCTGTACTCTCACAAGGCATTATGCAGCATCAGACCCAGGGCCACTGCATTCAAACCTGAATCCAGGTCTCATTAATACCAACCAGTCGCCGTGAAGAGGGAAATAGCACCCCCCCCAGAAGGCCTTTCATTTAGGCGTTTAAATGCAGATTTAGCAGCTCCACGTTAGGCTCCCAGGACTGAAACGTTTGGCCTTAGGTTTTACATCTTGTGTGATCATTTCCCGCTCTCTGAAAGTCGCTCTCGTCACGTGAGATGACTTTTTTTTGTCAAGTCCGATATACTCAGTTGCCATTAAATCTTGTGCTCAGCAGGATTCATGTCACTGTCACACCTTCCCTGCAAACCAGAAATGAAATGTATGACCCTGACTTATTTGCACGAGCCTAGACACTGGATAAAATTTCCTGAGCATGAAAAATATCTTATTCCACTGATAGCAGCATTTGGGCTGCTGTGGGCTCATGCTAGGCAGGTGGGCGTGCCTATGCAAACAAGATCAGCCCCTGAAGTTCTTTGCCACAACTCGCCACCATTCACCACCAGATGTTAGGGCAGAGCTCATCCTGACTCTGCTTACATTAATAACCGAGAAAATGACTGAAATGTATTTATCCAATTGAGGTTCAAAACTCCACACCAAACATCTCCCATCAGGGGGCTCCAGGTGCCTGTCACAGAAATGAAAAACACATTATATAAAAGGAGTGTTACAAAACCAAAAATCAATGGACGTTTCCTCTCCCGCACCTTCACCAGCAGCAATCCTCAGTTAGCGGAGCTCACACAGTCTGAAAGCCCAGACCAGTCGAACAGATGGGCTTTGCTGTGTCCCCAGAAGATCAACAAACTTGGGCAGATTTCAGACCAAGAAAGGAGCACATCCCAAAGGTTGGGGCCCATCAGACAGCGGTCTGCTAGCCTCCCCTGCCTCTGCTGATCTCAGCTGCTGCCTGGGGAGAGTCTGAGAAGTAAGTTAATCAAGTATACAAAAATAAATAATTACCTTCTCGAGAGTCTCAGGATGAAGTTTAAATCCCAACAGCCACAAGTTCCCGATGAAGGGGAGGGGAGTTGGTCCAGGGGGAAGCCGCCTGCCTACCCATTGCAGCTTCAGAAACTGCACAATCAAGAGAAACGCAACCAGAGCCACAAAAAATTCACTGATCCCCAACATCCTCTTGCCGCTGCCTTTATCGTCGGGCGCTGGGCAAACCTCCTGGAGCTCGCAGGCTGAGCTCTCACTTTGCTGGAGTCTTAACAGTTCCCAGGGAGCTTTTAACCCTCTTATGAGCCTCACTTCTGGTTTTGTTTCTCTTCCTTCAGACCCACCATCACACTGGAGTCTGGAGATATGCCAGGCTCAAGTTTATCTGAGCAGACTTTTATACCACATACCTTGTCCTCACCAGCCAAACCACTCCCACCAGACCTTAACCTTTGAGCTCCAAACCACAGCAGCCTCCTCCTCATTGAAAAGCAGAGTGGATTGGAGAGATCTCTCTGCGTAAAGCTATTTTAAACCTTGATTACATAATAGTTAAATCCAGGCATGAGATTTTATTGGCCAAATGCGGAATTCCCCCCAAAATCATTGGGTTCTGATTTTAAACCCCCCTCAAAGCGTCTGAGTCGGGCGTTCTCTCGGGCTATGGCAAAACAAGCGTTCTGGGCTGCTGCATGCTTTGTTTAGAATTGTGTTCCCCGGCTGCACTAGAAGCAGCCATGAATTACATTCAAACCAGAGGTTTTAGGGTTTGAATAGTACAGGCTTCAATTTAGTGAGAAAAAGACAGTTTGAAACGAGGGGAAACTATTTTCCAAAATGCTTCCTGGAGCACTGTTAGAAAAGTTTCACCATATCCAACACCCCACAATCTGGGTCTCCCCTCCCTAATTAAACATCCGCTAACTATAGGTCCCGAACCTGCCAGATAATCCCTACCCCTAAGCAGAGCCCCCAGGATCTCACTGCGGCTCCTTGCAGGGCAAACTAAGCAAAGGGCAAAACAGTTTTCCCTGGCCAGGGCTTCTCTTTCTCAGGTTCTTTTTTACCAGTGCCAGTCTCAGGCCTTCCACTGCCTGAAAACACAGCTGTGATTGGCACACATACCGGGGATACCAGGGCACGTTAGATGCAATTCTCTTACACTCACCTTCCTCCAGCTCAGCTGAACTCTGTGATGGAGCACAGGGCAGAATTCTGTACTCTCACAAGGCATTATGCAGCATCAAACCCAGGGCCACTGCATTCAAACCTGAATCCAGGTCTCATTAATACCAACCAGTCGCCGTGAAGAGGGAAATAGCACCCAGCTGCCTAGTGTGCGACCCTCACACGGAATACAACAAACTAAGCTTTTCAAGCTGTGCTTGGAATCCTTACAAGAAGCGTTTGAAACAAAGCTGTCAGAGAGTAAAACCAGTGTCCTTTCAACTGGCTGGTTATGCTGGTGCTCTCGCCCTTTTGCTCCCATCTTTCCACAGGACTGAAGGCTGCTGCAAGTTCAGAGCTGGCCAGGATGAAAGTGTCACAACCCTTCCTGACAGGGCCTATGAGCCTTGCCATACTGTTTCTGACTCACTGAGCCTCACAGTGCCATAGGCTAACCCCTGAGGCCACCAGGCACTTGTGTGATGAGCTGAGGAGGGACCTGAAGAAAGAGCCATGCCCATCAGTCCCTGTCGGCATCTTCCTGGTGTTGGTAAATTGTCTAGTCAATTGCTTGACCACACTTTGGTTTGCGATGAAATACAGTAGAACCTCAGCGTTACGAACCCCAGAATTACTAACTGCCAGTCGACCACACACCTCATTTGGAACTGGAAGTACACAATCAGGCAGCAGTTGGTTGCCATACACCAATGACCACAAAAGATCCAGGTTACTTCCAGCCCTAAGAGACCAGCCACTTACCCCTGGTCAATGTGTACCTCAGCTCTCACCCCAAAGACAAGGCTGGTAGCCAATCCTGTAGTGAACTAACTAAGGATGTATTCACCTGGAGAAAGAAATGAGAGTTATTTCCAGGTTAAAGCAGAAAGCGTATATACGCAGCCGAGTTACAGTCTGTGGTTTCCAAAGGTGACAGAGTGCAGCAATCTTTCCGCACTGAATATCTTCTGGGGCTCCCCCAGGCCAAGCAGCATGGGGAGTTCTTGCTTATGTTTAGGAATCTTTGCCCCTCAGAGTCCAGACAGCAGGAAAAAAATCCAGTTTCTCCTTGTCGGGGATTGTTATCTCCCCAACACCAGAGTCCAAACTGATGGGATGAGTTCAGGTCTCGCCTCCCTGGCGGGAATTAGGAATGCAGTCAACACAGCCTCTGTCCTTTGGTGCCACACAATGCCCCGTATCAATGCCTCATTTGCCTTCAATGGGCCAGCGAATATGCAGGACGAGCGCTCTACCTGAGTGAATGCTTCTTTTCCCGTTTGGTGAGTTACACGGTTACAGAGGTTTATGATGCAAACACTCACTGTAACTTGATACCATGGGCTACAGCGCTTATAAGTGAGATCAGTACATGCCGCATCCTGCAAGCATTTCATAAAGCTAAATACATTCTTAGCCACTTAACATCAAATATCTATTTTGATAGCGCTCACACACAGACGAGCCAGACTGGTTTCCAGCTATGAGGCCTGGGCATGAGCTGGTACCTGGTCTGCCAGCATCACAGTGGGGCTGGGGGGACAAAGCTTTGGCGGTTGGAGGAGCAAGTGGCTGTGGGGGCTGGGGAGCCGGCAGTGGGGTGATGCTCAGGGCAGCAGGTACCCGCTGGGGAACCCAGAGTGGGGAAGGAAGGAGCCAGGCAGAAGATAGGTATCACCAGGGCTGAGGAGCAGAGATGGCTGAGATGGGGGAGAGCAAAAACTCTGGAATAGGAAGGGCTTGAGGTGGAGGGTGGGGAGGGGAACGGGTATCTGCCAGGGCTGGGGGCAGTGAGCAAAGGGTGCTCAGAGAAAAGGAAGGGAGGGGATGGAACTAAGGGGCCACTGGGGCAGTGAGACCGAAGGGAGAAGAGGGAAAGGATCAGGGGAGCAGGAGCTCCAGCGACCCATGAGCAGAGCAGGGTGAGCTGGAGGGAAGGGCCCAGAGCAGCAGGTACCTGCGGAGGCCAGGGAGGGGTGAGCGAGCAAGTGGCTGCTGGGAGTAGGGGGGAGGCGCATGCAGCCACCGGCTCCAGAATTGCGTGAGTGACGTGCAGGAGCTGTTGGCATCATCGCTGATCCAGGCTCTCCAGTCACACCCTAGGCTTGACACTCAGGTTCATTCCACTAGGCACTCGGGCTCACCACACCTCCCACAACAAGCTCTATGGGTTTGGGGGAACAAGCAATAAGAGGGAGGAGCCAGCCCTGGGGTCCAGAGAGGCTCCAGCCAGCAGGAACAGGAACAGAAGCTGGTTCTAGGCTAATGTAGTGCCAATCTTTAAAAAAGGGAAGAAGGAGGATCCTGGGAACTACAGGCCAGTCAGCCTCACCTCAGTCCCTGGAAAAATCATGGAGCAGGTCCTCAAAGAATCAATCCTGAAGCACTTGCATGAGAGGAAAGTGATCAGGAACAGCCAGCATGGATTCACCAAGGGAAGGTCATGCCTGACTAATCTAATCGCCTTTTATGATGAGATTACTGGTTCTGTGGATGAAGGGAAAGCAGTGGATGTATTGTTTCTTGACTTTAGCAAAGCTTTTGACACGGTCTCCCACAGTATTCTTGTCAGCAAGTCAAGGAAGTATGGGCTGGAAGAATGCACTATAAGGTGGGTAGAAAGCTGGCTAGATTGTCGGGCTCAACGGGTAGTTATCAATGGCTCCATGTCTAGTTGGCAGCCGGTATCAAGTGGAGTGCCCCAAGGGTCGGTCCTGGGGCCGGTTTTGTTCAATATCTTCATAAATGATCTGGAGGATGGTGTGGATTGCACTCTCAGCAAATTTGCGGATGATACTAAACTGGGAGGAGTGGTAGATACGCTGGAGGGGAGGCATAGGATACAGAAGGACCTAGACAAATTGGAGGATTGGGCCAAAAGAAATCTGATGAGGTTCAATAAGGATAAGTGCAGGGTCCTGCACTTAGGACGGAAGAACCCAATGCACAGCTACAGACTAGGGACCGAATGGCTAGGCAGCAGTTCTGCGGAAAAGGACCTAGGGGTGACAGTGGACAAGAAGCTGGATATGAGTCAGCAGTGTGCCCTTGTTGCCAAGAAGGCCAATGGCATTTTGGGATGTATAAGTAGGGGCATAGCGAGCAGATCGAGGGACGTGATCGTTCCCCTCTATTCGACATTGGTGAGGCCTCATCTGGAGTACTGTGTCCAGTTTTGGGCCCCACACTTCAAGAAGGATGTGGATAAATTGGAGAGAGTCCAGCGAAGGGCAACAAAAATGATTAGGGGTCTGGAACACATGAGTTATGAGGAGAGGCTGAGGGAGCTGGGATTGTTTAGCCTGCAGAAGAGAAGAATGAGGGGGGATTTGATAGCTGCTTTCAACTACCTGAAAGGGGGTTCCAAAGAGGATGGCTCTAGACTGTTCTCAATGGTATCAGATGACAGAACGAGGAGTAATGGTCTCAAGCTGCAATGGGGGAGGTTTAGATTGGATATTAGGAAAAACTTTTTCACTAAGAGGGTGGTGAAACACTGGAATGCGTTACCTAGGGAGGTGGTAGAATCTCCTTCCTTAGAGGTTTTTAAGGTCAGGCTTGACAAAGCCCTGGCTGGGATGATTTAACTGGGAATTGGTCCTGCTTCGAGCAGGGGGTTGGACTAGATGACCTTCTGGGGTCCCTTCCAACTCTTATATTCTATGATTCTATGATTCTGCAGCAGGGCCTCTCGGGTCCGGATTATGCCATCACATTTCTTTGCCCACTGAATGCCAAACGCCTCTCTTTTTGCCCACATGGAGTATTCAAAACTCACACGCCAGGGTCCCAATATCATGAGTGGTTTCAGAGGAACAGCCGTGTTAGTCTGTATTCGCAAAAAGAAAAGGAGTACTTGTGGCACCTTAGAGACTAACCAATTTATTTGAGCATGAGCTTTCGTGAGCTACAGCTCACTTCCACGAAAGCTCATGCTCAAATAAATTGGTTAGTCTCTAAGGTGCCACAAGTACTCCTTTTCTTTTTGCGAATATCATGAGTGGCTCAAAAATCACATTTATAAAGAACATTAAAGGTGGGTCTCTGTTGGTTTGCCCTCTGATTCTGGGGTGCACTTGGACCCGAGTTTCAAGCTTTTTCCACAGCCACGAAGGCAAGAACTCCACGAAGGCGAGAACTTCCTTCTTATTTGAAATGAAAACTGAGGTTCTCCTTTCAGAGAAAGGTTCTCCTGTCACCCTGTGACTGGCAGCCGAGGCTTTAGGAAAACCACCACATAACATGAGACTTGGGATCAAATCTTGAGAGTTGGTGACAGGGCTGGGTCCCCTGAGCTCATGAACTGTTTGCTCCAATCTCCTCCCCTCCTCTCCTTCACAGCCGCTTGGCCTCAGCCTTGCTCCAACTGTCCTCCATGCTCCCTGAGCTCCCTCTTCTCCCCAGCTCCAGCTCCCTTCTATGGCTCATGGAGAAGTTGGTGCAAAGTGGCTAGATTGTGAATTTAAAGCACAGTAGCTTTTCCGAACCATATGGTCACTCTTATTCTGCGGTGAATGCCTTTGTGCAGGTTAAGTTAATCTGCTTTGGAAATGGATTAACCTAATCTGCACAAAGGCACTTTTAGTGTGGAATCAGAGTGTCCACATGGGTAGCTAGCGAGGAATCTATTCAGCAATAGCTATTCCACATTAGCTATTCCGGGCTTCTTCCCCATGTTGACAAGCCCTAAATTACACACACACACGCACTGGGGGTGGGCTGAGGGAGTTCAAACAGACTGAAGAAACACACTAGAGTCTTTAAAAAAACCTCAGGACTTTTGATCTCATGGTGGGCAGTACTTAGAACCCCCCCTACAGACATTGTCTGGACTCATCGACCAGTCCAGGGAAGAGGCCACTCGTGCAGGTACTGTACGCAAATCAGCAGGTCCAGAGGGTGTTTGCTTGGCTTGTAAACCAAGCCAAGCCAGACTTGCATGGGCCCCAGGTGAAGACTGGCATGCTGGATGTGCATGAGGCCATGTAGTTCAGAAGATGTAGACCAGAGGGGGGCAAACTATGGCCCGCAAGCCACATCCGGCCCGCAGGACCCTTCCCTCTGGCCCCCGAGCGCCTGCCAGGGAACGGGGTCAGGACAGGGCTTGCAGAGGAGCCAGCCCAACTCCCCAGCAGTGTGGTGAGCGGGGTGGAGACTAGCCCCTGTCCCCTCCCCGCCTCCCTCCCTTGCAGTCACAGTTCCCCCAGCACCTGGGCAACGTGGCTGCAGCTCTGGCCGGGTGGCACGGCTATAGCGCCGCCAGACCTGGTGCTCCAGGGCAGCGTGGACAGGGGGAGTTGGGGAGCGGGGTGGGGGAGTTGCAGGGGGCAGTCAAGAGGCCTGGGCCCTGCTGCTGAAGACAGGAGCAGAGCAAGCCAGGGCCTCCCTCCAGCATGCTTGGCCCCTGTCCCCAGCAGCCAAACCCAGACAGGGAGCGAGCCCTGCCCGACTGCCAGGGAGAGCAGCCAAACGAGCAGGGGAAACACACAGGGAAAGGACTGAGCCCCCCTTTTCCCCACCCCACAGGTAGCGTGGGGCGGGGAGAGCAGGGAGGGTTGGATGGGGGGGATCCAGGGGGGCGGTCAGGGGGTGGGGAGCAGGGGAGATTGGATGGGGCAGGGGTCAGGGGGTGGGGAGCAGCAGGGATTGGATAGGGGGCTGGCGTCCGGGGGGGACAATGGTCAGGGGGCAGAGAGCAGGGGTGTTTGGATAGGATGCAGGAGTCCCAGGGGGCAGTCAGGGGTGGGGAACAGGGTGGGTTGGATGGGGTTGGGAGTTCTCAGGGGCTGGAATGGGGCCAGGGGCCAGGCCACGCCTCGCTGTTTTGGGAGGCATAGCCTCCCTCAGCCTCCCCTACCCGGCCCTCCATACAGTTTCTGTACCTGATGTGGCCCTAGGGCCAAAAAGTTTGCCCATCCCTGGTATAGAATCTTTTCCCTGTCCCATAATAAGATGGCTGACATTGGTTATTTGGTCTCGAGTATATTTCATAACAAAATAATGAACCAAAGTGTGGTCAAGCAATTGACTATACAATTTATCAGCACTCTTCTGTTTGTGAGATGTCTAAGAACTGACCTTGTGAATAAGTTCTTGGTCAGTGTATCCTTCACAAGCCGTTTGTTGTGTATAATTGATATAAAAAAAGCTCACTCTGTGTGGCCATATAGGTGTGACAACGTGGGAATGTTCTTAATGTTTTGTCTGAATATTGTGTGTGTGCCTCACTTTCTTCTATGTGTTACTCGGGTATCTAGTTGGTGGGACAAGGGTGTGTGATCCTTGCAGAAAGGGCCGATGTGGTGACTGCTGACTGGCTGTCTGGGCAAAGAGACACTTTGTATCCTGACAACTGATGACCGGGGCGGGGGGCCCTCCTCTACAAGAATCAGACCCGGGTGTTGGAGAACAAAGTGAGAGGCCAGGCAACCTGTTTACCCGGGGAAGAGACAAAGGAAGGAGGCAGGGCAGCTGGTCCTGACTGAGGCTGGCTCCTGGTTTGGGACTCAGTGGGGAGAGCCCAGAGCTCTGGATTCCCCTTCCTCCCCGCAGATAGACTTTGCTGTAACTTCCTGCTTTCCGGGCTAACAAGATCTGTTCTACGCTGTGTTCCCGTCGAATAATAAACACTTGTTTTACAAAGCTGGCTGGGAGTCACTGCTGACCGCCAAGCTGGGTTGCGTGATCCCTTTGGGGGGCATGTAAGGCCTCCTCAGATGTGTCTTCCAGGTGGGCTCACTGCAGGAAGTTACGTTGTGAACAAGGGGGCTGAATGCTCTGAGGCCAGACCCAGGAAGCGCTGAATCCCAGGAGTGTTCTTGCCCTGTTGAGTGGGTGAGGGGGACACACACAGCACTAGAGACCTGCCTGACTTCAGGAGACTGTGACAACATGACAATAGGTTACATGGGATGTCTCTGATCACTGACTCAGCAAGAGTTCACTTTCAGGATCAGGTTTCCGATGCTAATACCTGTGATTATGAACGTGAAATTCACGCTCAGTGGATACTCTGCAACACTTACCTAAAATTAACGGCTTTGTCATTCTTGCCAGTCAACTTATTCACTACATCATCTGTGAAAAGCAACCACCAAAAGGTGCAAAACCAGCTAAAGCAGATTCATGAAAAATTCAAAGGAGTATTCATGGGAAATTGCTTGCAGTACTGGTAAGCAACAATCTGCCTTTCATTAGAATCCATGTACAAAACGAACAGTGGAGAGAGGGAAAGGTTTTCGGTGGCAGCACTACCAGTTTGGAGATGTTTCAGAGTCGCAGCCAGGTCAGTCTGTATCCGCAAAAAGAACAGGAGGACTTGTGGCACCTTAGAGACTAACCAATTTATTTGAGCATAAGCTTCCGTGGGCTACAGCTCACTTCAGTTTGGAGATGACTCTCAGGGTTGCGTGTTCACTGCATAAGACACAATCAGGGCAGCAGATCAGATGTCTCAGCCTCTGGCAGAGATTACAGCTGTGGCTAAGAACTTGCTGAATAAAGCTAAACCTGGTAACAGACCGTAATATGTCCCTCCTTTCCCCTCCTCTCTCTCCTGCCGCCACAACTCCAACTTCAGTGCGACGCATCTAACACATTTCTGGTCCACCCAACTAAAGCCTGACTCTGGAATTCCTTGTTTTACATTTTCTCTCTCTGCAATCTATTAAACGGAAAGCCTGGGCACAGACCAATAAGGAAGTGGCAGCGGTTTGCAGATTAATTTCCCAAGGTCTAACACAGCGGGGCCCAATAGAAGGTCGGTGCTAGCCACACGGCTAGCCACTCTTGTGGTTCTGAATTTTTCTTATGAGCCACATTATAAAAAAGCCACATGCATTCGCCACAATTCCATAGCCTATTAGTCACATGTGGCTAGCGGCGAATGGATTGGACACCGTTGGTCTAACAGATTGAGAAATTGGCTCCACTGGCCTGAACCGATACTGTCGTCAAAGCTGGAAGTAGAAAGAGGGGAAGAGGTACAAGGTGGAAATTCACAACGGCATGCGTGCCTGCCTAATAGCTCCTCCCGTGCTTTGGGGGGTGCTGCAGCCTAGCGAGGAACAGCACAGATCTTATAGGGATGAGGCTGCAATGTACCCCCCAGAATGAACTCGGTGTTGGTTTCCTTCACTCCCTCTGGTAGCCTGAATGAGAACACCCGCAGCAAGTTGGTGAAGAAGATGAAGAGCTCAGTCTTTGCCAGCTGCTCCCCCAAACACACACGGTGCCCTGTAAGAACAAAGGGACAGTGATGGGGGGGGAGGGGAGGGATTGGGTTTTTTTTCATTTGAAAATATGAATTACAATTGGATTGAATGTATTCTAATCCTTGTGTATCCGATATGGTCAAAGCTCAAAGCTGGCAAAATCCTACTTCTCCCTGGTGGAAGAAAAACACCATCTGTGTAAAGTGAAGGCATTTAGTACATCAGAAGTTCTCAAGATCTGAGGGTAGGTCTGTGCACATGCAGCTCCATATATTCTGGCTCTGAAACAAACAGCTGTTGAGTAACCATGTAGGAACAGGAGATAAGGTCATTTTCCACATAACTGTTACTGTACAGTTGAGGATCCTATTTATTGCCTTCTGATTTCTAAATGCAATAGAATTATACTACTTTGTGTTCATGATTGGGAAATCCAATGCAGAATAATGATTTTTGCAGATTACCAACTGAACAATTCAAATCCATCACCTTCCTTTGTTTTGACAATTCTCATTTTAGTATTAGTAAGAAGATAAAAACGGCCATACGAGGCCAGACCAATGGTCCAGCTAGCATTCTGTAATTAAATCTTTGCTGAGAAATGGGGTGAGACGGCTGGTTTTTGTGTAAATTACGAGGTCTGAAGGTTAGCAGGGTCCCATTGCTAATCCATTAATTCACCCCTCACAATCAAACCCACTAAGACAGAGGGGGGTAAACTACGGCCGGCAGGCCACATCCGGCCCGCAGGACCCTTCCCTCTGGCCCCTGAGCTCCTGCCAGGGTGTGGGGTCAGGACAGGCTTGCAGAGGAGCCAGCCCAACTCCCCTGCAGCATGGTGAGCGGAGCGGAGGCTAGCCCCTGGGGCTCCAGGGCGGAGCGGCCAGGGGGAGTTCTGGCTGGGGGAAGAGGCAAGGACCAGGGGAGCTTGCGGGGGGGCGGTCAAGGGGCCTGGGCCCTACTACCAGGGACAGGGGCAGAGCAAGCCAGGGCCCCCCTCCACCTCCAGCATGCTTGGCTCCCATCCCCAAGCCCAGACAGGGAGCGAGTCCTGCCCGACTGCCAGGAAGAGCAGCCAAACGAGCAGGGGAAAAGCACAGGGAAAGGCCTGAGCCCCCCTTTCCCCCACCCCACAGGTAACTTGGGGCAGGGAGAGCAGGGAGGGTTGGATAGGGGGTGGGGAGCAGGGGAGATTGGATAGGGACAGGGGCAGTGGTGAGCTGGAGCCGGCTCCCTAGAACCGGTTGTTAAATTTAGAAGCCCTTTTAGAACCAGCTGTTCCGCGAGGGAGAACCGGTTCTAAAAGGGGTTCTAAATTTAACCGGCCAAAAGTGGCGCCTTAGGCGCCGACTCCATGGGTGCTCCAGCCCTGGGGCACCCAAGGGGAAAATGTGGTGGGTGCAGAGCACCCACCGGCAGCTCCCCGCCCCGAGCTCACCTCCGCTCCGCCTCCTCCCCTGAACGCGCTGCCCTGCCCTGCTTCTCTGCCCCCCCAGGCTTCCCGCAAATCAGCTGTTCGCGCGGGAAGCCGGGGCAGGCGGAGAAGCAGGCCGCAGCTTCCCGCTCAGGCCCAGGGAGGCGGAGGGGAGCTGGGGGGGGGGGGGCGTGAGGAGGGCCGCCCACGTTGCAGCAGGTAACCCGTGGGGGGGGGGATGCAAGGGGCTCCCCGCCCCAGCTCACCTCCGCCACCCTCGGCTTGAGTGTGAAGCCACGGCCTGCTTCTCAGCCCTCCCCAGCTTTCCGCCGAACAGCTGATTCGCGGGAAGCGGGGGGGCGGTGCGGAGAAGCAGAGCGGGGCGGCGCGTTCAGGGGCGGAGGTGAGCTGGGGCCGGGTGCAGGGCAGGGAGCTGCCGGTGGGTGCTCTGCACCCACCAAATTTTCCCCGTGGGTGCTCCAGCCCCGGAGCATCCAGGGAGTCGGCACCTAAGGCGCCACTTTTGATGTGATCAGTGGGGGGAGCAGCCGCTCCCCCTGCTCCCCCCCAGCTACGCTCGCCCACCCCTAGGAGCCAGAGGGACCTGCCGGATGCTTCCTGGGAGCTGCCCCAGGTAAGCACCGCCGGGACTCCCCCTCTTGCCCCCCGGCAGGTGCCTCTGGCTCTTAGGGATGGGGTGGGTATCCATACGGTGGCCCACAAGACCCTCCTGCCCGGTTCTGGGGGCAGTCAGGGGACAGGGGAAGGGGGTGGATGAGGCCGGGGTCCTGGGGGGGGGCGTCAAGGAACGCGGGGGGGTTGGATGGGGCAGGAGTCCCAGGGGGCGGGGGTGGGCAATGACCCCCTCGTGGGGTGAGGAAGGAACACATTGTTAAGATTTTGGCAGCTCATCACTAGACAGGGGTCTCGGGGTGTGGAGCAGGGGGGGTTGTATGGGGGTGGGAGTTCTCGGGGGCTGGAATGGGTGCAGGGGCCAGGCCACGCCTCGCTGTTTGGGGAGGCATAGCCTCCCCCAGCCTTCCCTACCCGGCCCTCCATACAATTTCAGGACCCAATGTGGCCCTAGGGCCAAAAAGTTTGTCCACCCCTGCAATAAGAAGCTTATACCCAGGACTGTCCTTAGGATTTATGGGGCCCTAAGCAGTATTATTAAACTGGGGCCCGCAGACCCCCAGAAAAAATCCCCTCCCCCTTGCTGACACACACTGAGCTTCATACGGAGCAGCTGCGGTAGCCTGGGGAGGGGGAGAGACGAGGCAGCTAAGGATACCGAGCCACCCGGCCCACCTCACAGCGATGGAGAGTCACAGTTCCCTGCAGAGACCCCCGTATCCTATCCCTCATGCAGAATGCGCCGGGCTGGTGCATTTGGCTCTGTGAATATGGCCCCTGCCTATGGAGGCTGCAGCACACCCTGTCCCGGTGGTGCCCCAAATTTCTGGCCCTATGCAGCTGCATATGCGGCGTATGCCTAAGGACGGCCCTGCTTTTACCTGTCAATGCTCTTACCTGCTGAGAATGCTAAGAAAGCTTCTTTGTTCACAAAATTTCCATCCTGATCCAGGAAGTGATTTGGGTTGAACTGTCGAGGCGTCTCCCATTGCTCAGGGTCAAACAAGGCGGAGGTTAAATTTGGGAGAATAATGGTGCCCTGCAAGGGAAAATTTGACTCAGTTCGGTGTCTGTCCATCAGACAGATAGGTAAGGACAGACAGTTTTTAATTTTCATTTATTACCTTGCGTGGAAGGTCACCTAGAGAAAACCCTGTGTCCTCAGGAACAAATTGGGAGTCTGCTGGACAATACATTTCTATTTGCCCTTTTGAATCTGATGACAGCAGTCATGTTGCTGGAAACACCAGCAACAGAGAGCCCAGTGCAAAAGTCTTGTACCCAGAATCCTCCCTGCTTTAATATTGACTCCTCAATGGAAACAAAAAGAGTAATGTTTAACATTTTTAAGCCATTGCTTTAAATTGACAAAGTTATATTTTTCTGATGTTAAAACAGCAAGACACTGACAAGAGTTCAATGGGCTGATACAGAATTTGAAAAGCAAGGACATTCAGTGTGAGATTTATAAATGGAGAAGAGATACACAGTCCAAGCCTTCTTTCTGGCCAAGAAACACATCAGGTAGGATGTAGGAGGGGGAATTAAAGGTGGCTTAAAGTCATCTTTGAGCTTTCCCTATTCTTGGCTCTGCCCAAAGCATAATGTTGCCAAGGCCCCTAAGGGACATTACTGGCACCTGAGAATAGCCAAATCACAGCAGACTTCAAGAGGGGTCACCCCGAGCTCTTTGCTGATTCTGTAATGTTTGAGGAACTCCCTAAAGTCAGAGATATTTCCCAGTGACCTCATCCATAAGCTTTATTATTTAGGTGTTGGAAGAAAGCGAAGGAGCTGTAAAGCAAAAGAGAATCAGGTTCACTGTATATGTGGACACACCAATTAGTTGGATTCCTGGTACATTGGCCCTCTGATGGAAGGAAGGGCTATAAAGATAGAGAATGGCTCTGTACCTTTTCAATGGGAAAGCCCTGCAGCACGGTGTCTTTTACACATTCTCTAGGAACTCCCACGGCAACGATGCTGCTGTAGCGCTGGATCTCATGGACCACGGCGTAGGTGAACGGCAGTTCCTTCCGATCCTCGTAACTGATTAATTTGGAGGGACCCAGCACAGCATCCAGCTCCTTCTGGACTTTCTCTAAAGAGAAACATTAAGGATACATATTTTGGGGAGAGAGAGAGAGTGTGTGTGTGTGTGTCTCTATATCCCGGATAGGGTGACCAGACAGCAAGCATGAAAAATTGGGACACTTTTCTTTTCGGGGTCGGGGATAGGTATAGTTGCCTATATAAGACAAAGCCCCTAATATTGGGACGGTCCCGATAATATCAGGACATCTGGTCACCCTAATCATGGAGCCTTTTCTTTTCCCTGGCTGGAATCTTATTTGAATCTCTCCTTTATTGCTGGGTTAACATTAGTGCGAGGGGAAAGCCCTGCCAGCAGGACAGATGTAGCAACTAACTGGGAGAGATTATCAGCACATTCCACAGAGACCCAGACAACACATGGCTGAAACCCAGTGTCAGGGCCAAATTTGGCCCTAGTAAAGAGCTTTTCCCTTTCTTTTCTCTGAGAGAAAGACTGATGGTGGGGGCAGCACCCTCAGTAACTACTCATGGCCATGAGTGCACTGTGTAGGAGACTGGACTAGATGACCTCTTGAGGTCCCTTCCAGTCCCACGATTCTATGATGTTTGCTTCTGAGGCAGCCAGGAACAAGGCTGCTGCACAGGGAAAGCTTTCTCTAGCTTTGTTTCACAGATTAGACTCCTGTTTCTATGCCGTGCCCAGCACCTGTCCCATACAGTTTATTTCAGGTACTGAGAGAACAACACAGTTTTATGTGAAGTGGGATCAGCTGGGAGTATAGCTTAGCAGAGCAGGAATTCAAAATGTAGAGCAATCAAGACATTATCTTAGCTGGAAACAGGAGACCTCTAGTGCTAGCAAAGTGCAATGACATTCACAGATGTAAAGTAAAGAAGCATCCTTGCAAGATGAAAGCAATAGCTGGGATATAGAATGGCAGCCAAAGGATTCAAGGCCCCCCCTTTTGGCCATGCATCTGTATGATGTTCCTGTTTATAAATGAAGGATGAGAGGGCTTCATAGCATTGCCCTTTGGCTTGAGCAGATAGCCAGTGTGCAGGGCCTCGCTGGTCGTTTCCATTAGGAGTAGCTGATTATACAAATACGGTATTTCTTTGGTGCAATCCTGTAGATTTGCAAGTAATGTACACCAAGTCCTGTTTCCCTGAACACGTAGGATCAAACCAGAGGCAGTTTCCCTTGCTCATAATTTCCACGCTTGCCTTCCCTGCCAGCACTCTGACCACTCCAGCACTCTGACCAAAAGAAGCTCTTTCTTTGCATCCACTCCAGGCCATGCTTTTACCATTGCTCTCCGATTTCTCCTGGCTTTTCTCACTGCTTTCTGCTTCTGACAAAAGCCCACAGACACAAGCCAATCAATGCACCAACCTCCACATGTTCAATCAGTTCCCAGGAATCCCCTCTTATTCACCCAGAATTAATTCTTGCTCTGCTGTTCCATGTGGCCAGTGCTTTGGGCAGTGACTTCTCTTGTTTCAGCTATCTGACTCCATAAAGGAGTTTAATGTGCTTCTTTCAGTTGGCCAAAAGGAAAGGCAGCTGGCACACCCAGCAGCCTCAGCAAGGTCTGTGATTGCCTATAGATCAAAGCCACACTTGCTGGCAGCTACCAACACCCTCCGGCATAACAGTGTGAATGAAATGCAAGTTGGTGTTCCATCCTGGAGGCAGAGATGACCTGTGCCTGCCAATAGTGGGTGGGGGAGAAGGAGTGAGGGCAGCCAGCTTTAGCAGTGTTACTGAGCATGCTCAGTACAAGCCAAACAGCAAATCTGAGGGTGGGGGGCATGTGACCCCTTATCCCCCCAGGCCCCACCCACACATCACCTCTGCCTGGAAGTGAAGATGGAAGGGACTGAGCAGCAATAACTGAGAGAGATACTTGGGAAGTACCATCTGCAAGTGCTGTAGGGGACACTAGCGTTTAGTGAATTAAAAGTCCCGCATTTGCGCAATCACAAAGACATCTTTACCAGCTAACAACTCTGAAAGCACGTCCCCGGCCAGGGGCATGTCCTCATTGAGGACCATAACTACAATAGCATGTTCCTCTAAAGGAGGCCTCCACACCAGCATTACCCTGTTCCTGGCAGCACCAACACACATTAGGACTTGTGGCCCAGAGGGACACCTGAGAGTTAGACTGTGTTGCAAGGCATGCTGGGAAGGAGGCAGCGTATATAAGTAGCTCCCTTCCTTCATAACAGAGAGAGAGGGTGACATGATTACTGACAGTCTCTTCAAAGGACCTTGAGAGAACCCGTGTATAAAGTCAGATGGCTGGAGAAGGAATCCCAAGGAGGGAAAAAATGTTTAGATACTTGTGGCTCAGGGAACCACTGGGAAGAAGAAGCCCCAAGTGAGTGAAGTTTGTTTGCATTGGGACTTTGTGGTTTATTTGGACGTCTGAGTTTATCTGAATGAAGCACCAGTATCTTGTGGAAAAGTGATAGAGCTTGGCTTGAGAACCAGACACAAACTGTGGAAAACCCTACATCTCTAAGAAGCAAGGGGTAGTGGGAGGTCAGAAATCAAAGCGGGCTGACTCAAATCTCAGTCCAGGCATCTGCTTCTATATCAGGGACCCATCTTGGAGCTGCAGCCACCAACTGCCAGTTTTAGACTTACAATCACCTAATAAAATTGGGCAGAAGTGGGTACTTTCTACATAAATGCACGATCTTATGTATGGTGCACCCCCTCACCTTGGATGTCTGGGTAAGCCACCATATAAAGCACTGCCCAGCGCATGGTGGTGGTTGTGGTTTCTGTGCCTGCCAAGAAAAGGTCGAAAATAGTCTGGACCAGGTTGTCTTCATCAAAGGTAGAATCAGGGTCAGCTTTGCTCTGCAGGTGACAGTCAGAGGTTTGAGGTTAGGGTGCAGAAGGTAGGACAATCTGGGTAATAATGAGGGTCACTCTGTACTGTTTTGATGCCCAGCAGTGTGCAATGTCTATAACTTTACAAAACAAAAAAAACCTGTATTTTTAAAAGAACACTGAGAAACAGGAATGAGGATTTCATCCCTCCATGCTCCTTCATCGTTTCCACATGCCATGCCCTGTCACTCAAGCAAGAGGTGAAGAAAAGTTTCTTTGCTTCCAGCATACGAGTTGCAAAATCCTGCTCATCTGAACTGTTCTGTGTGACAGATAGTCCTGGGCGGTTTAGTTGGGTTGTTTGCATCTGCTGGCAGAATCTCACAGTGCCAGGATTTGTCTAATTATTTTGCAGTTAACATTGTTCAAATTCAGAACTTGATAGGGCTCAAAAAGACAAATGCAGAGTCTCCTCTATTTGACTTGAATCCAGAGGAAGCTCATGAATTTCGTGAAGTGCTGGGGGGATATCTGTGCTATGACCAGCGAATTATATCTCTGACTTTCTTGGGTGGTAAAAGGCAGGGAAGAGGAACTGGGGGCATGGTTGGATGTGACTGGCAGTGCCTCACAGAGGGAGACATTCTATTCGAGGCCTGACACGCTGACCGATTAGAAAATGGTCCCTAGTTGGGGTAGATAGTGAGGCCTCCTCGGTGCTGTGGTAATAATAAAAAAGTAGATCTGGCCAAAAAAATATTTTTTTTCCAGATAGTAATTTTGCTGACAAATGGATCTTTTTGGGCACCAAAACTATTTGTGAATTCAGGTCAAATTTGGTGAAAAGTTTCAGCCAAAGAAAGAAACGGGGGGGGGGGGGGGGAAAAAAAGACAAGAAAATGAAGGATGGTCTAGATATTTTGACTTTTTGTTTTGAAAACTAGTTATATTAATTTTAAAGGGTGCAAAACATCCCAAAACAAAATGAAAAACTGAAAAATAAACCATTTTGTGTCGAATAAAATGTTTCATTCAACCCAAAAATAATTTTTGTTTTCAGGTTTTCATTTCTTTTTCAGCCTAAATGGATTTTTTCCCCCCCAGAGTTTTCGGTTTGGCCCCCAAACCAAACAATATCAATTATTCGCTCACTTCTGTACGGCAGTGCAAAAGTGAACTTGTTTAGGATCTTTCCATCAGTTTTTTCTCCATGTGATAGGGCCTATTTCCAACCCTGATAGGCATTGTTTTCCATGTGCAGTGCTGTTGTAGCCAACAACATTTTCATTTTCAAGTGAAAGTTCATGAGGCCTTTTCTCAATCGTATCAAATATTTGATCCAACGTGTTCCTTGAATCCAATAGTTTTGTGATTCATTCAAAAAGAACAATGACGTTTGTCTAGTACGATGTATATTTTAAATCCCCATTCTATTTACTACTCCCAGTACTGATGTCTCTGAGCACTGACTGCAGCATATCTTTCTCCTTACTGTTAATTCCATGATATTATTAAGGGTTTAAATTACACTTACTGTCATTGCTCTCTTCCATCTTTTAAAATCTCCTTACCACCTGTTTGCTTTTTTCCCATTACTTTGATATCACCCTGGTCTCCATGGCAATTTGTTTGGGTCATCATTTCTAAGTCTACATTCACATAATATTAGGGTCTTGGAATTTTTTTAAAATAAACTCTTCACAGATTGTCTATAAAATCAAAGAACTTGATCCTACTTCCAAAAAAGTAATGACTTCAATGGGAGGAGATTAGAACCGTAAAATCAAATGAAACATTTCAGAGGGTTCTTTCCCATCTTATCCTGGGGAAGTTTGTGTTTATACCAGAGGACAGCAGTGAAGCCCCAAAAGCACAGTCGTCATATACAGCACAGACACTTACTTTGTCTATCTGAGCCAGGTAGAAATCAATGAAATCCTGGGGTTCGTCTGGTGACCCACTCTCTTGGTGGCTTCTGAGCTCCTTCCTTGCAAAAGACCGGAGAAACTCTTGGCAATAGAATGCCTTCTGGTGAGCGCCTGGGAGATGATTCATGAACCAGGGGAAAATATCATACAGCTGTGAGAGAGGCACAAGTGAGATGCTTTCATTCGTTGCTTTTAACAAATTCATGGTGGGTCTCTCAAAATGTTAAAATATCCAGGTGAAATTTAGCCAGTGAGATCAGTGAGTTAATTACTCAGCAGGGTACATTTTCAGCATCATGTGCGGGGATTTCAGCCTCAGGACTCCAGTTGGTATTACTCGGACATATGGCTAAAACTCCATTGTATAACGTTTGGAAAACGTAACCCTAGAGTCTAGGGAGGAGAACCCTTTGAGTGTAAACAGAGACAGATTCAGAAAGAGAGGCTCTGCGTCAGCTGTCTGCTTCCTCTGCTCTGACCGAAAAAGCCCTATGGGGCCAGAGAGTCATTTCTGCCACGATATCCTACTGCCAGCTGGAAACTAATTCCTGCTGTTTGTTAGCACCTCGAGTTCTTTCAGTCATTTCTGCTTTTCAGCTTTCTGACTCTGATTAAATACTAGATATTGTATTTTTTCCTTGACAAATTTGCTTGTATTTAATAAAAAGAAAAGGAGGACTGGTGGCACCTTAGAGACTAACAAATTTATTTGAGCATAAGCTACTCTGAAACCTTGTATTTAATGTCAGTTTATCAGTCTTGCCCATATCACCAATCTTGCCACCCCCAGCCACCTGTATTATCTACTTGCTTTCTCAACACTCCCCTTTGTATAATCTACAAAGGTAATGTGTACTTAAAATCTTTTGTTTAGATCTTTAACAAAGAGTACATGGAACAAGATGGAACGCTGCTCTTTGCAGCACCCCATTAGATATTTCTCTGCACCTCAATGCATCGCCGTTCATTTTTGCTTGCTATACTTCACTTACATGTCAGTCCATTTGGAATTGATTTTTCTAGCAAGCTTTCCAGAGGCACTGAACGTGTTCCTGAAGTCCGGGGATCAGGTTCTGCCCCCTCTTGTGGTCACACAAGTGACGGGAGGATTCAAGGCCCTTTTCAACTTTACTCCTCCCTACTGATCCACTCCTGTCTATTATCATGTTATCTGCCTCTGCTAGCAACGCCAGCCTCAACCACCGGTTTATCGGCTTCTCCCAAAGCAGCCCTCATGCTTTCTTTCATGTCACCTCTTACATACAGGATACCTTCCCCAAGGTAGTCCATAGGGCTATCATATTCTGAAGGCCCACTTCTAATCTGATACCTACAGGAAATTAGCCCAGTAACATTAAGTAGGGGCAAAAGTCAATTGTGATGGAGACTGCTACACTTATGATGGTCAGAAGCGCGGTGGAAGTCAAAAGTGATGGGTCTCCATCCTGGAGCAATTATAAGGGGCAGGAAGATGTAAAGCGACCGGATGTCCTGATAATATCAGGACAGTCTCAATATTGGGGGCTTTGTCTTTTATAGGCAACTATATTCCCTCCCCCCACCCAAAAAAAAAAAAAAAAAAGGTGTCCCAATTTTTCACACTGGCAATCTAGTCATCCTAGGGAGATGGCTGCTGAGGGTGGATCAACAGCCAGGCTGCAGACAGAGGGGGAGGAGTTTCTCCAGGAACTGTGCATCTTGCTCTGTTGAAGAACTGCTTTTGCTTTTCCTTCAGGAGCAAGAAGAGGTTTCAGGACTGATAAAGACTGGCACAGAACTACTTTGACAAGCAGATCTCCTAAATCAGTACTGGAGCATCACAGTGTCAGACTGAGCCTACTGGACCTGAGGTGGATCTAGGCAATGCCCACAGCATATGGGAACCCTCAGGGCTTTCTTTGCACTCCCTTTTTTTTAAAAAAACCCAGAAAAGGCAATCGACTAGCTGACAATCTAAGTAAGAAAAAACAAAAATAAGTCCCCAAAGGGGCCAAGAAAAACTGACAAGGGACACGCCAAGGCCACTGAGTGCAATCTGGGTTCACTGCCTGTTCCAAACGAACTAACGGATGGATGGGTGGATGGAATCACTGCCCTCTTTATACCTTGGAAACCCAATGCTGTAGCTAGACGTGTGGGTGAAAGGCTCTGGCATCAGGGAAGCAGTGGGGGAAGGCTTCAGTGTCATCACTCACACAGGCCCAGAATACTGGACGTTCCGGTACTTCTGGGAATGGTGTGGGCCCAGCCCCGTTGGTGTGACCCCACCCCAGCTGGCATAACCTCACACGCACAGTGCATCTGGGAGTTACCCTGTATGGGAGGCAGTGCCATCTGTAAGTGCACCCAGCCCCCACGGGTGTGACCTCAAACACACCATGCATGCAAGGTCATGCCAGAGGGGGCAGAGTGGCACACTCTTAAAAATGGCATCCCCCATCCGATACTGGACAAACCATGTCCAATTTGGTCATAGTACCAGATGGGGGACAGATCACCCCAAAAGAGGACTGTCCAGTTCCAAACCAAATGAGTAGCCTCCCTAACTTCAGCAGCTCGCCCCTGCAAGAGCCTTACCTTGCTGCCAGCGTCTTTCCCTGCAGGGAGCAGCCCAAGTCCTTCCCCATAGCCAGTCTTTCCCTGCAGCGGGGAAAGGCTCCAGCTGCAGGGAGGCAGTGGGACACCACACTGCTAAAAACAGCAGTGTACATGGGGAGGCAAGGCTTGGGCGCTGCATACAGACCCATGCTTTTCAGGTGTGTCTTTACTCTGCTGCCCTAAACTGGGCCTTCACCAGAGACACTGCTATTCTTACCCATGCAAGGGGGGCTATGCTCGTATGCACCCTGTGACGTTGCACTCCATAGGATTTTATAAAAATATGCTAATGAGTGTGAATATAATGTAACTGGAATATGCTTCATGCAAAAGGTCTCTTGTAAGGTATCGTTACAAAGCTTATAATCTACTGAGTGTGTTCGTCCTATTTGTATGAATGTATCATTTTTATATCTGAAACTAGAAATATGAAATATAACTCTGAGGTCCTATTGTAATGATGCAAAGGGTGGGCCATTAATGGTGGTTTAGAATCTTGATGGCACCCATTGACTAGGACAATTGGCTGTAGATGGTTTATTTATCTGCAAGCCTTCTTGTGGACGTGGGGGCCAGCCTGTGGGTAATGAAGAATGAGGTCTTACAGGGACATGTGACCATGTCACCTAATACTGAAATCCATCTTAAATATGGTGCTTTTCCGTTTAGAAAAGAGAGAGACAAAAGATTCCCACCTTGGGCCGAAGCTATAAAAGTGGGTAGAACAGAACAAAGGAGGCGGCAGTCATGAGAAATCCCCTAGCTACCACCTAAACTGGAACAAAGGACAGTAACTACGGGGGTGTGAGTGATTGCTGGACCCAGACTAGGAAGGAGTCCAGTCTGCGAAAGCTTATTGGAACATTTCTGTGGGTGAGATTTCATCTGTATTCAGTTTCCTACTGTATTAGGCTTAGACTTGCGTGTTTTATTTTATTTTGCGTGGCAACTTACTTTGTTCTGTCTGTTATTACTTGTAACCACTTAAATCCTACTTTTTATACTTAAGAAAATCACTTTTGCTTATTAATTGACCCAGAGTAAGTAATTCACACCTGGGGAGCAAACAGCTGTGCATATCTCTCTATCAGTATTATAGAGGGCGGACAATTTATGAGTTTACCTTGCATAAACTTTATACAGAGTAAAACGGATTTATTTGGGGTTTGAACCCCATTGGGAACTGGGTATCTGGGTGCTGGAGACAGGAGTACCTGCTAAGTGGTTTTCAGTTAAAGCCTATAGCTTTGGGGGATGTGGTTCAGACCTGGGTCTGTGTTTGTAGCAGGCTGGCATGTCTGGCTCAACAAGGCAGGGTTCTGACGTCCCAAGCTGCCAGGGAAAATGGGCTCATGGGTAGTCTCAGCACATCAGGTGTCAGTCCCAAGGGGGTTTCTGTGACCCAACCCGTCACACACCCTACATGATGCCGAAAGAAGCAGGCATTACAGATGTACCCTAAAAGAGACTGGAAGCCACAGGCAGCTTCATCCCACTAATGCAGCGATACCTCACGTCCCCCCTTACCCTTGTCTGCGCCCCCCCCTCCCTAGAGCCGGGGCCAGGAGCAGGGATGCGGCTCCAGGAGGGGGGATGGGCCACAGCTGGGCGCAGGGCTGGGAGTGAAGCCAACACCCAGGGTTGGGGCCAGGAGTGGAGCACGGTGGTGCTCCTACCCCACCCCCCGTGGGAGCTGGCCTGGGCCCCAGCGGTGCCCCCTAATATTCCTCCATTCCCCCCTACGGGGGCACACCCCACAGTTTGGGGACTTCTGCACCAATGGGAATATGCAGAGGCCGCCTCAAAGAGGAAGTTGAATTTTGGTTTCTGCTTTCTTGATAAACACAAGGAGGAGCCCACCTTTGCCTATGAGCCAACAGCATCTCACTGCCAGTCAGCATCTCCAGACAGAGCTGCTCTCGGCTTTGCACCAATTTGTCCCTGAACCACCATGCCAATGGCTACCGTGATTCTCTGCCAATTCCTATCTGTATGACCAGCTGAGAACTTGCATCTGGGATGGAAGACAGGCTGGGAGAAGAGAGAAGGTTCCCAAGAAGGAGGCAATCCAAGGCCAGCTGCTATTGGCTCCATGCGAGAGCACTGACATGGCCTGCCTGTTAGAGGTCAGAAGCCCTTCATCCAGCCTGAGATAATGGCACCCACGCCCTAGAAGCTGGCCCAATGCCCAAGTCTGAATTTTTCTATGAATTTTCATGTAGTTTTCTACATGTTGAAGCTTCAGGCCTCGTCTCAGCCTAAGACAAATCAGTGAGACTGTCATAGGCATGCGGGGTGTAACATCTGGGTGTGCTTCAGGTCTTCAGACTGCAGCATACGATGAGTGCTGAAGAGACCCCGTACCAAGGTATCCAGGAGGGGAGGCTGGGCACTGACGGTTTGATAAAAAGATGGCTACCTGGAGTTAGCCAGCTAAGGCTGTGTCTACACTATGCACCTTTTAGCGACACAGCTGTGCTGCTGCAGCCGGGCCACTAAAAGGTGCCCAGCGTAGCCGCTCTTTGGCGGCAAGAGAGCGCTCTCCCGCCGACACAATAAACCCTCCCCCAACGAGAAGCGGTCGCTTTGTCGGTGGAAGAAAGCACTGTCCACACCAGCGCTTTTCATCAGTAAAACTTGTGTCGTTCGGGGGCGTGGGGGTTTCACGCCCCTGAACGACACAAGTTTACCAACAAAAGTGCAGCATAGACAAAGCCTAAGATTCCATTTACTCCAAAAACCTGAAACCTTCTTTAATCCGGCATGTTGTACACCAGCCCTCACTAACTGTATAATATATAGTAAATTCCTCAATGTAGAGATCTCACTTCCTTCTTTGTTGGGTGAGAAACCTCGCTTGCTTTGGATACTGATAAAATAATGAGAAGCGCTTGTACGTACTCACCATCTCGGTGATGCTGCCTCCAAAGTTGACCAAATAATCATTGCTTTCAATCAGCTGGTGGAAATTTTTGTCCTCAGTGGAAAAGCGATGGCCAAACATCACAGCCGCAATCACGTTTGAGACCGAATGGATGATGGGGAAAGAAGGATCCAGGGGATCTCCTGCAAAAATAGTGATCAGAATTCACATTAACGTTTCCAACACTGCTCCTCCCTCCTCCTACTGAGAGAGGAATCCTGCGCAGGCCACTGAAGAGGGAGGGGGAGAGGCAGCAGGGCTTTCTCAGTTTGAATGGGTTTGATTCTGTGGAACTGGGGGGTCAAGCACTCTCGATGGACTCATTGCCCAAAATGAGTTTGAAATAAGTAGGTTCCTAACTCCATATTTAGACACCAAACTAATTGTGGTCTGATTTTCAAAGGTGCTTCGGCAGCCCCCAGCTGTCTGCCTCTAAACCCAGACCAGTTGGTGGTAATGATGCCCGATAGGAAAGGTTTGGCCAACTTTTTGCTGGAAAAGTCCTCAGGTTTGAGGTCCTGCTGGATCACCTGCTGTGTTTGAATGAGCAGGTCCAGCAATAGTCAAGGCTGCTTTTTTATGTTGTCAGCTGTTGTAAAGCTAGTAAGGAGCCTGTGACTGTGCCCTGTCATAGTCTGCCCTCCCTGCATTCATACAGGGCGTGATCACTTCTCGGATGGATTACTGAACTGCACTCTTCATGGTATTGATCCACTGCTCGATGGAAATGGTAGGGTTGTCAATAATAATGCAGAAAAGGCAGAAGTATTCAGCTAATATTTTTGTTCTGTATTGGGGGGTGGGAAATGAGAAGATGTAGTCATATATGATGATGAAACATTTTCCATTCCAACAGTAACTCAGGAGAATGTTAAGTAGCAGCTGTGAAAGTCAGACATTTTTAAGTCAGAGGTCTTGATAATCTGCATCCAAGACTTCTAAGAGAGCTGGCTGAGGAGCTCACTGGACCATTAATGTTGATTTTCAATAGCACTTGGAACACTGGGGAAGTTTCAGAAGAGTGGGAGAATGCTAATGTTGTACCAATATTTTAAAAGGGCAGGCAATTATGTGTCTGTCACTCTGACATTGAACCCATAGATATCAGGCAAGAAAGGGGAGCAGCTAATACAGGACTTGATTAATAAAGAATTAAAGGAGAATAATATAATTAATGTCAATCAACACAGGTTTAGGGAAAATAGATCCTGTCAAATTAACTTGATATCTTTTTCTGATGAGATTACAAGTGTAGTTTGCTAAAGGTATTAGTGTTGATGTAATAAACTTAGAATTCTGTAAGCCATTTGACTTGGTATTGCATGACAGTTTGGTTAAAAAATAGGAACGATACAAAATTAACACAGCACACATTAAACGGCTATAAAAATGGCTAATTGATAGGTCTCAAAATGTAACTGTAAATGGGGAATCGTCACTGAGCGTGTGTTTTTCTAGTGGGGTGCAACTGGCATTGGTTCTTGGACCTACGTTATTTAACATGACTAGAAAAAAAAACAAACCATTCCTCATGAAGTTTGTAGATGACAAAGATTGGGGGAGTGGTGAATAATGAAGACAGGTCATGATCATTTGGGAAGGGAAGTGCACGCAAACCATATGCGTTTTAACATAGTGAAACGTAAACGTATACATCTGGGAACAAAGGATGCAGGCCATACTTACAGGATGGGGGGCTCTATCCTGGGAAGCAGTGACTGTGAAAAAGATTGAGGGGTTGTGGTGGATAATCAGCTGAACATGAGCTCCCAGTGCAATGCTGTGGCCAAAAGGACTAATGTGATCCTGGGATGCATAAACAGGGGAACCTTGAGTAGGAGCAGAGAGGTTGTTTTACCTTTGTATTTGGCACTAGGGCTACTGTTGCTGGAATCCCATGGCCAGTTCTCGTGGCCACAATTCAAGAAAGATGTTGATAAATTGGAGAGAGTTGAGAGAAGAGCCACAAAAATGACTCAAGGATTAGAAAACCTGCCTTGTAGTGATAGACTCAAAGAGCTCAATCTGTTTATCGTAACAAAGAAGGTTAAGGGGTGACTTGGTTACAATCTGTAAGTACCTAGATGAGGAACAAAGATGTAATAACAGGCTCTTCAAACTAGCAGACAAAGGTATAACAAGATCCAACAGTTGGAAGTTGAAGCTAGACAAATTCAGACGGGAAATAAGAGGGTTTTTTTTTTTTTTTTAAACAGCGAGGGTAATTAACCACTGGAACAATTTACCACGGTTCAGGGTTGATTCTCCACCATGGCAATTTTTAAATCAAGATTGGATTTTTTTTAAAAGCTTAAAAGCTCTGCTCTAGTTCAAATAAAATTATTTTGGAAAAGTTCAGCGTCTTATTTTATACAGAAGGTCCGACTAGAAGATCATAATGGTCCCTTCTGGCACCGGAATATATGAACCTATGAATAGGGCTATAATTGAAGGCTCCAGAAATATCAGCTGGTGCTGAACCACTTCCTTAGCAGTGGGTCTTACAAGGAGCACGTCCCACATATGCTCCATAGCTAGTACTGGACTCCAGCTTAGTTTCAGCTAAAATTCAAAGTGTTGGTTATGACCTGTGAAGTTATTCATGGATTGGTTCCTGGTAGAGCCCTGCGCAGGACGACGTTTAATTCTGCTCCTGCCCTGCAATACTCACTCCCACTCACTCCCGCTATTGTGGCAGCAGGTCCTGCAGGTCTGGCGGGATCCCAGTCCCGCTGCAGGGCTCTAGTTCCTGGCTACTTTAGAGCCTCACTTATGTGTGTTCAGATTTATCTTAACATAAAGCACTGGTATTAACTCCGCCCATATCTAGCCATCTGTGGCCTGGAATTCTCTCCTCTTGCTGGCATGACAGAGACACGCGTCTGGAAGTGAAAAGGCCCAGCTATGCTGGCAATGATGTACCTCTCTCATTCATAAAGTACTCCACCAGGTGACGGGCCTCCTCTTGGATTCGGTGCTCCAGGCCTTTCTTGCCCAGCCCCAGGTTCCGTAGGGTCATCAGCCCAAAGCGTCTCTGCTGCTTCCAGGTGTGACCACTTGTGAAAATAATACCTGAGGCCATTGAGAATTGTTGTTTATATAAAGCAAAATCCTTCACATAGTAACAGTTAAATCTAAAATAAATTTTCTAACAGGAGAGGTAAATGCAGAAGAATGTGACTCCTAGCTGAACTCCTTTATCTGGCCACAGATGTGATAAGGCTTGTGACAACTTCAGAAAAGTACTTGATGTCGAGGGTTTTGTTGCTCTTATAAGAGAAATAGAAAGTGGGGCTTCAAAAACTCAGGATGCAGTTTTCGTAAATCATTTGTAATACAAAACCATGTAATTCTACAGCTGGGAACCCACACCAGGAATTCTAGAGAGGAGGGGAATTTCGTGGGGTGAGATTTGCTGCAGTGCAAGGCATGAATAAAAGGGCAAGAATGGTTGTGTTTGAATGACAGTGCAGGGATCTGACCTGAAGCCCAGCAGGTGAGAAGATCCTGCCCAGGTTAAAAAGCCATCACATTAGATGACTATGACAAAACTAGTACTGTGTAAAGCATATGTACAATGGGAGTAATGCCAGCTGATGTTCACATTCCTGGCTGATGCTTCAAACAAACTTATTAGTCAGGATTTTGCTCCTCCATTCTATTCAGTGGCTGTTTGCCTCATTGATTAGTATCAGAAAAGTCACTTTTGTAGTGATTTTAACTGTTTGCAGCAGCATTCCCATGGGGAGATGACTATGGAAGCAGGGAGCAGCCGCACTTAAAGGATCATGTGAACTTACTTTTTCTGTATAGTTAATAAGGAAAGAAAATGTTACCCTTTCCTCCGGCCGTTTTCCGAAAGAAAGGGGTTGTTGGCCGGCCAGAGACGTCTTCAGGGTGGACAGTCAGGCCATCCTTCACAGTTGGGAATCCATTCAGTATGATGATAGGAATATGTCCCATCCACAAGGTGAAGATGTTGCCGTAAATCTGTGCCAACTAGAGACATCATCAGTGCCAGAAAACCACAAGTCAGAAAAACTGTACACAATGAATCAACCGCCCAGCTTACTCCAGGACGCTCTCTTGGGGGTGGGAGGGGGTGCTGTAGAAACATTTGTAGTGAAACCCCGAACCATGGCGAAAGACGAGCTAAAGTCAGAAAAGCCTCATAGCTGACTGAGATAAGACCATACTCTCTCATCCAACAGGATGTCTCAGCAGCTGTGTCATGGGGATGCTATTTAAATGTCTTGTACGGAATGGGAATAGAATTACCTACAGGTGAGTTTCACCTCATGATGGACAGACGTCCCCAGGAGTAGAATGGCTTGTGCCTTCCAATTAAGGGGACAATTCTGTGGTGTCTCTTCTAATACCTTGTGTGTAAACATTGCATATAAAACACACCGAATAAAGGTGGTAACTGACATGCTTGGGAGATTTATTATTGTCCCTTGGAGTCACAGTTTATCAGGGTTAGTTATATGCGATAATGCTGGGCAATCTCATGCATCTCAGTCTTCCTAAGTGCCCCTTGCAGTGACCTACCTCTGAACTCACTAATAAGCATATCATTTTCTCCTTTAGAGCTAACGGCAAATTACAAACAGCCCAGTGCCCAGAAACATCCCCATTAATTTATTTCCCCATCAGAATCCTAGAAGATTAGGGTTGGAAGAGACCTCAGGAGGTCATCTAGTCATTCCTCTCACCTGCCCCTGTTTTCCGAATCCTTTAAAGCAACCAGATCTCTTGGCATGTTATAAAGGGACATTCACTCCAGAACTTGTATAAAGGGCAAATTTCTGCCTAAGGCAGCTGGTCATTTGCTGCCTCTCTCTTTGCAATAATTTCTGTTGTTGGTGTTTGAAAAAGATCTTTCTGTCTCGCAATGCTCCTTCCTTCTGCCTGATGAAATTGGGTGTGTTCCAGGTTCTTACCGTAGAAGTGAATGCAATGCCACCTACTGAGCATTAAGGCTTCAGCAAAGAATTGAGCTGGGAAGGAGCATAGCCATCCCAGAAACAAATACTTTGGATATGAGCAAATGTAGCAAGAAATACTGAAGGAAACCAGGCGACAGTTGAATAGATTGAGGCTGAAATTGTCTAAGTGCCTCAATAAATCCGTATTTAACACCTGCAGCTCCCATTGACGTCAGCAGGACTTGGGGGAGCTCAGCACCTCGAAATATCATCTCACTTTATCTAGGTAGTTACATATATATTTAGGAGCCCACTCATGACCTACCAGGGTTTGGGGACCCCCCCTTTAAGTCAATTCTTTTTGCTGAGTCAGGAATACTTCGTTCTCATTCAATCTTCTGCTCAGCAGATGTCATTAAATTCACACTTTCATCACTAACAGGTAATGGAATTTATGGCCATCGTTTACTATCCCATGCACAAGCCAGATGAAATGTTATTTAGCACGCAGAAGTGCCTTATGTGCCGCCTTTTGCTAATTTTATCATTTACTTGGTTATATTTGGACACACACTCACAATACCTTAATGAGAGTCTCATGCTGGCGTTTGAAATCCATCTGCCACATGGTGCCGATGAGCGGGAGGGGAGTTGGTCCAGGAGGAAGCCTGCTACATGCCCACTTCAGTTTCAGAAATTGCACAACAAAGAGAGAGATGACCAGAGTTACTAAAAACTCACTTATCCCCAACATCACCCTGCTGCTCTATCTGTCTGTCCACTCTGTGGTCAGGTCTGAACTCTCCCTGTCTTTTTTGAGGTTCCAGCTCTCCCTAAATAGGCTTTAATCCCCTTCTATCTACCTCTCTCCTTCTCCCTGTGATTCCCTGCTTTTATACCTATCATCAGAGTGGTGAATTGCAAGTTTCATGTGTATTTAATAAGACCTTTGTACTGTAAGCCAATCTTTCTGCTAGCCAAACCTTACCCACCAGACCATAAACTCTAAGCTCACAGTGAGACTGGCCTGCCCTCTGCTGTATAAATGTTGTGTGTAAAGGTAAAAACCAGTTTCAACATTAATTATATAATTTGATGAAGGGCTGGGAGAAAGCCCTTGGGAAAGTTTTCACACAAATTGAGAACTCTCTCAGAAAGGAAAGGTTACTTATCTTGTACAGTAACCTGAGTTCTTCAAGACGTGTCCCCCTATGGGTTCTCCACGTCAGGATATCTGCATGCCCATGCCCTCTTGATTTGAGATTTTGTCAGCTCTGTCCATGAGTCCGCTCCTGCGCCTCAGACACCCTCGTTCCCCAATACAAGAGTATATGGGGGTGCAGACCTGCCACCACTTGTAGCCTATCAAATATATTAAGTAGAAATTAGGCTTTGGTATGACAGAAAATAGAAGTTAGAAAGAACATGACCCAGGGTTATGCTGCTGTTATGTTTTGGTTGTAACTGTTTAAGCAAGGTTTTCAGTGAGTGATTTCAATGTTTCATTAAATGCTATCTGTATTGATAGCATAGGAAGGACAATGGTGGAGATGTTAATTTAAATAATGTGTAATGGAAAGAGCCAATGAGGAGATAGCAGAATAAAATTATGGCAAGGGGCAGTTTATTGTTAATTAGTGTTATAATGGATTATCAAAGGAGCCATTTTGTTAAATTGGGGAGAGCTCCAATTAATATCAAAAGGGGACCGTTATGTTCCAGGATTTTAAGGTTGTACTGCACTCTGTGGTCAGTGGACTGATCAGCCATTGATACATGAGTTCCTGTTTGAGTGTAAATATTGTATAATTGGAGTGTGGTGGAAGTGGTAATTGCATGCCTCTTTGCTTAACTAGTCATTTTTCTATTTGAATAAAGTTTGGTATTAAAGTGTTGCCTAGTGATCCTCTACTAAATAAATGTTCGGTGAGTCTGAGAGGGTGCTCTATACAGAGGAGTTTAAGTCCGTCCTCCCTCAGATCTTAAAAACCCTTTTTTTTAAATCCAAAGCAAATTTTAAATTGAGAGGGAATGTGGGTTTCTCCCAAGCCATAAAGGCAGCTGGAATGTCCGTCACTGTGGGGAAAGGACCTGTGGCAGGTCTGACAGAGTTTGAAGGCCCAAGTCTTGGGCATAACCTGCACTCGAGGCCATGCAAGAGGCCCAGAGGGGAAAAAAAACAACAAAGGGCCAAACAGTAGGGAACCCCTCAAAGCACAAACTTGTGGTAATTAAAAAAAAAAAGAAAAAGAAATAACTCAAACTAAAAAGGTATAAAGAAAGCGAGGTGTAGCAAACTGCATGGCTCAGCTTACAGACATCTCGATGCTCCATCTCAAGCAGCAATTGGAGCAGTGACGGGTCTCCCCTTCCCTACATGCCCTCACCCCATGGCACAAGGTGTCTGGGATGCAAGTGTGGCTCTGAGTAAACTGCTGACAAGAATCTCGAATCCAGCCTATTCCGGAGCAGCCACAGGGACACGACTCTGTAGTATCTGGCTGGTGAGTCTTGCCCATATGCTCAGGGTTTAGCTGATCGCCATATTTGGGGTCGGGAAGGAATTTTCCTCCAGGGCAGATTGGAAGAGGCCCTGGAGGTTTTTCACCTTCCTCTGTAGCATGGGGCCCGGGTCACTTGCTGGAGGATTCTCTGCTCCTTGAAGTCTTTAAACTACGATTTGAGGACTTCAATAGCACAGATATAGGTGTGAGGTTTTTTGCAGGAGTGGTGGGTGAAATTCTGTGGCCTGCGTTGTGCAGGAGGTCAGACTAGATGATCATAATGGTCCCTTCTGACCTAAATAGCTATGAATCTATGACTCGAAGCAGAATCGTTGGCTCTCAATTTAGTTTAAAAAAAATGGAATTCCTTTAGGCTCTGCAAAACGCAAGTTCTTGGCCACTGCGTGTTTGTATGATTTTTATTGTATTCCCCTGGAGGCCCTAGGATCTGGGAAAGAATTAAATTAAAATCAGAGTTTTTATCGTTTGCATAGAACAACTTCAATTTGGGTAAAGAAAATTCACTAGTATGCTCCAGCTGCTCTAGGGATGCCAGGAGCTGTAAACCCACGTTAACCAGACCATTCAAATGGAGCTATGGCTTCTTTGCATCACAAAAGTGGTCCAAAGGAGCTGGTGTATCCTGGTGAAGCTGAGCCATAGACCAACACCTCAAAAATGAGGAAAATGTTTTATCATTTTAAAACTCTAGTTCCGTAGCTTACCAGGACCTCTGAGCTGGATTTATCAACCCAGGGACTTTGCTTCTCTAGCTTTTCCTTTATCTTCACATTTGTATTCTGTATCCTCTGGAGGGTTGCTATGGAGCTGCTTTTTGGAATTTCAAACTAAGACTTCTGCAGGGGAAGCCACTGAGCTGAGGATAGGGTAAGGAAGAGCACAGCTGCGAGCTTCTTGTTAGTGAATCTGGTAAACCCTGTGTGTTACAGTGTGAACTTGGTCAAACTTTTATAAACTTAATTGAACTCCAGCTCAGTGAAGTTCAAGTCAATACAGAGGCGTTTACATTCCAAAATTAAACCTTGACAACAATGTTTTGCACAGTATTTATCCAACATTTCATTACCGCAACTGGATACAAACTCCGCTGTATTCATTTGAATGTCATTGAACTGCCTCCTGCATGTGTACTGTATAAAGGGAGATCACCACAGCTGATTATCTAGTTGAGTTGTGTAACACCCTGTGAATTTCCTCTAAGCCCTTCACTATTAATGTGTTAGATTGGGAACTGCACTGAACTCACTTGAACTGACTAAAAGGAAAACTACTTACCTTTAGTAAGTGGAGTTCTTCAAGATGTATCGTTTATGGGTATATCCAGCCGGGGATAAAAGATCCACAGCACACCTGTGGCTGGCCCAGTGAGCGACTCGGGCTCACAGCACTCAAGAGTCCAGGGCTAAAAATCGTTGTGTAGCCATATGCATTCGGGCTGGAACCCAAGCTCTGGGACCCTTTACTCTTGCAGAAACATCTACACAGCAATTTTTCAGCTCCAGAGCCTAAGCCCTGTGTCCAGTCAGCTGATCCAGATCAGCCATGGGTTTTTATACCTCTGTGTAGACATACTCTATATGCGTTCCACTTCTGGTGTGCACTTGCCCCGTGTGCTCGAGAGCCAAACACTTTACCCAGAAGCGTGCTTCTTTGATGACCTCGAGCCCCTCCAACTCAAGGGTATAAAGGAGCAGAGTGACCAACGAACCCTCAGCTTCTGTGCCACTATCAAATCCAGGCTATTGGCTTCGACAGTAGCCGTAAAAAGCAGGGTGGGTCATGGAACACATGTAAACAACGCATCTCAAGGAACTCCAGTTACTAACAATAAGTGGCCTTCAATTATGTTAATTAATCAATTAATTATGTTAATTATGTATGACATTATGACATTAATATGTCAATTATGTTAATGCTTCAGTCAAACACAAGTTATTGGGCTCAATGCAGGAGTAACTGGGTGAAATTTGATGGCCTGTGATATAGAGGAGGTCATACTACATGATCAAATGGTCCATTTTGTCCTTAAAATCTATGAGTCTGTCAGTCTAGGAATTATTTCAGTGGCAGAGTCAAGCGAGCAAGTTAGGAAAGGCCGGATTGACAGTTGCCCTGAATGAGGAAGGGTCCTGTGGAAAAAATAATGTGTCATCATGTTATTAAAGGCTATCCCACTGCATACGCACAAGGAGGCCAAATTAGATAGCACAGAGAACAATAAATCCTAACTTTTGCGTGCTTGACTTTGCAACCAAAACAACATTCTTTTAATGTAAGTTTTTGCATGTACTTTCCTCCTAAGTGATTTTTTTTTAAAGGGAAAAGTGTAAAAAACAAAATTTTACTATGTTCATCTGTAATAACCCTCCAGGCATGCAGGGTTTGAACCCTGAACCTTCAGCATTGCCGCACACATGGCTACCACTTGAATTACAGGACTAACTACATTAAGCTTGCAGTAGCAGAAGACTGTTATCCCAAATCGAGGGTTGGACCACTGGGTCCAAGTGCTGAGCTCTGGGGTTGGCCAGGGGATAGCCCATCCCAGTCCAGCTCTCTCACCCCCCCCCACAAATCCAGCCATGGAGTGCTAGGGGAGCTACTCCCCTGTGTGGTACCCCCAAGGGGGCAGGGGGCCAGGCGGCAAATGCTGAGTCTGGGAAGTTCCAGTGTGTATGGGGTCTTCAGAGTCTTCAGTGGAAGAGAAGGATGGATTCAAAGCCTACAGAGAAGAGAGGGAGGGAGGCGCTCTGAGCTTAGGGTTACAAAAGAAGAGAGGGGTAGAGCTTTCAAGAGCTAAGGGGGTGTTTCCCAGTGGGGGAAGGGGAGACGTGGGAGCGCAAAGCCTACAGGTGTTGAGTGCAAGAGAGATTCTGAATGGGACTGGTTTGGATTGGAGGGAGTTAAGATGCTGGGGTGGGGGGGGTGGCTTCCTAGGCTGGCAGGGACCAGGTTGGAGGGGGAGATAGATGATAGCTGTGTGGTGTGAAAATGTGCGTAAGTAGAGGGAATGGTGACCGGAGGGACAATACTTAGGGCAGATAAAAGGTCACAGCCAGACTGGTGGGGAAAGAGAGACAAAAGAGGCCAGGGACTGGAGGGGAAAGGAGTCACAGAGATACTGTTTTCTCTTACCAAGCCCTTTCCTATAATGTGTCCCAGGGTTTCATGATAGGGGGAGGGCAGGGGCAGAGGCAGAGGGAACAATTTTGTCTTCTCATTTCCCCGCCCCCTGCCCCGAACTCTTTCATCCCCTCTCAAAGCTTTGCCTCTGAGCCCCTGCCCTCTCCTCACCAATGGGCAGGTTTTCACCTTGAAAGTCTATTCAGGCTGGAGCAGGAGGGAGTGCATCTAGGATGCAGACAGGTTCCAGCACCTGCGGTCCCACCACTTATTAGAGACATCAGGCACTGCTGCCTATGTGTCACCTCTGAATCTGGCCCAGCGAATGCTTCAAACAAGTTTCTTATCAGTCAGTTTTATTTCTCTGGCATTTTTATTCTTTTGTTCTCTTTAAATGGCTGTTTCCCCCCTTTTTCCCCTATCAATCTGGCTGCTCACTTACGGTAGCACTGAACAGTTAAGATCTGCCATTACTGTGCCAGAGACAATGGCTACAAAATAGAGGAATGGCCACCTCAAGCAGATATTCAACATTTCCATTTAATTTCTATGGAAAACAAATCTCAGCCTCTCCATTTGACAGACCTTTGAAGAAAGGAGTCATTGCCCTCCCAGAAACATCTTCAGGGTGGATGGTCAAGCCGTCTTTCACTGCTTGGAATCCATTTAGTGTGATCACAGGGATCCCTCCAAACCACAAGGTGAAGATGTTTTCATGAATTTTTGCCAGCTGTAGACTGGATCAATGCCAGAAAAGCACAGGTGGGGAGGTGAGGAAAAAACCCCACCAACCCAATAGGTGATGAGTTTCCTTTTCTCACTGATGACGATCTCTCAGGGGGTCTGTAATGGGGGGTGATATTCCCCTCTCATCTATGGGATCAGGATACCAGCAGGAAAATTTCACCTCACTATCAGATTTGTTGTTGTTTCCTGAGTTGTCCCCAAGAACAGGGATGTGTCTACTCATTATATTCACTGTTAGGAATGATTTTGTGGTGATCCTTCTCACTCTCCACAGCATCAGAGATGCTCTAATTTATTCCAGCCAGCGAATTTTATCATTAGGGGCCATTCTGCTAGCCCAGGATCACTGGACCCCAATGTACTCTGGCCACCCTTTCTCCTCCCACAAGACTGCTCTCTCTGTTCTGTCACATTCATGATGCCCAGGGAATTTTCTATGCAAGGAGAATCCCCAGTGATTGCTTAAGCCCATTTTCCATCCTGTTTGCTCCGCTAAAAGAGTGTAACGGGAGTGGAGCAGGGCCAAAATCCTGGCCAAATATCACTTCCTTGACAACATCTTTACACCTTTTACCCTCCCTCCTCCCCCCAAAATGTTAGACTTCTCACAATGAGCAGTGAAGCAGCCTGTTTCCCATAGTGACACAATCTTTCATCGTTCGTTCTGAGCCCACCTGACCTTCCACCAGCCACCCAAACTTCACTTTGGCCCTAAACAGTTGCAAAAACTATACACGAGGATCAAAGTAATAAATGACTAGGAGAGTATAAAATCCCATTTCTTATCCAAGGGGCCTACTTCCAATAACCTGTAATAATTTCTTTCACCCTTGGAATGAATTAGAATACAATCTGTAACTCTTATTCTCCTAACAGAGCCACATACTAAGGACCATGTTACCTAGTGAAAATTATGTTCACCAGCAAGTAATAGGCTGGCACACTGGAACTCTGATAATCCCTAGTGCCTTAAATAAACCATCCCTTTCTAATAGAATCGGGCCAGACCGTGCCTGAGCCATCAGGGCTTGCAGGATTCAGTGAACATCTTTGTGCTGCCATGGTGTGCAGCTGACTCAAGGCAGCAGGATTCCATCATCATCACAGAGAAGCCAGAGACTCTGTGCTCTCGTAAACGTCAGAAAGCCCAGAGCACTTCGGCGAGGCTGGCAGTGAAGGTTAAAAGTGTGAAGCTTGTCACCAGACTTGTGAAACAACTGGAGGGGACTCCTGGTTGATTTTGAGTTCTCTTCCTCATGTGGTACAAATAGAGCATTTATCCCTCACCTGGCCCTCACCAACACAAATCAAGGAGCTCTTCTGCCTCCCTGTGACAGGGATAACAGCCCTGCCTGTGGCACACTGCTCAAAACCTGGGGATTTTTTCATACCAAAATCCTCCAGGAAACTGGTAAACTATAACTAAGTACTAAATACTACTAACTATACCCAGTAAAACTATAAAATACTGGCTAACTGATGCAAATGCTACAGGGACCTACAACTATCGCCATGGGCAGTGAGAAGGAACTGAGAGAGAGGTGGTGGGCACCCCTTTTATGCACTCCCCTCACAAAAGTTTCCAACTCAAGAGCACTGTGCATACAGACACCTGCAGTGGAATGTATATGGACACAATCACTGTACAGGTAAGTCACCGTTCTCTCCTTTCTAATCTTTGACGATGATGGAATCCACCTTCTGGGACCCACCGGCACCCCAGTAGCATGTCAATGGTATTCACTGATTCCTGACATCATCAAAGGTTAGAAAAGAACGATGGTTGGAGGCACTAGAAGCTAGCAGTGTCCCATACAGGGGCAGATATTCACTGCTCTGCTCCTGGTTCATGAGTCCTTGTCAAAGACTTACCAGAGGGATTCCAACCAGTCTTGCAAATGGAGCATGGACCCACATTCACTTTTGGAGAAGAAAATATTATGCAAGAAGCTATCAGTTGGGAATAACATTTCTAAGGCACCCATCCCCACATTAACTAGACACAGCTGACTCAGCCAGGCATTTTCTATTTCTCGCTTTACAATAATTTTGGATATCGGTACTTCAATAAGATCATTATCCCTCACAATGTGCCTCCTCCTTCTGCCTGATCCTGCAGTGAGATGATAGGAATCCGTACATTGCCCCAGTTGCTGAGATCACCTACTGAGCACTATGAATTCACTGCAGGATTGAGCAGAAAGGGGCAAGGACGGACTGAGAAACAGCAAGCCCTGAAAAAAATGAGTGAGAACTGAAGAGATCTGTTAATTTCTAACCTTTTCAGTAATACAGACAGACGTACAACACATAGTGCTAATCCTTTGGTGAGCAGGCTAGAAAAATGTCCGTGCTCTAAAGGGTTAAAAACCAATGTGTCTGAAAGTTTCATATTGTTGAAAGTCCCTCTTTAAAAATGTATTCCTTTTCCTTCTTCACTAGTCAGAAATACTGGCCCCACTTGTTTAATTTTTATAAACATCAGCGTTCTCATGAATTTGACACATCCCACATTAAAAGGCGACAGAGTTTAGCTATCAGGTTGATTTTCACATTTGCAATACTTTGACCACAACTTTCCAGAGCATGTAAATCCACTTCCTGCTACCAATACATGTCACTTAATTAGCCCATTAGACCATCAACCAACCAGTGTCTAAGAATGAATACCTTCATGAGACGATCACGATGAAACTGAAAATTCATCTGCGTGCAGTTTCCAACGACTGGGCAGGGAATTGGTCCAGGAGGAAGTCGTCTTCCTGTGCCTGTCGCAACTTCAGAAACTTCACAATCAAAAGAGAGACAATCAAGGAGATGAGAACCTGACTTATTGTCAGCATTTCACTGCTTTATAAACCACCTTGTCTGTGCCTAAACTAGGGGTGGGCAAACTTTTTGGCCCTAGGGCCACATCGGGTACAGAAATTATATGGAGGGCCAGGTAGGGAAGGCTGGGGGAGGCTATGCCTCCCAAAACAGCAAGGCACAGCCTGGCCCCCGCCCCCATTCCATCCCCCCGGAACTCCCACCCCCATCCAACCCCCACCCCCCGCTCCCCACCCCGACTGCCCCCGGGACTCCTGCATCCTATCCAAACACCCCTGCTCTCTGCCCCCTGACCATCCCCCTGGGACGCCTGTCCCCTATCCAATCTCCCCTGCTCCCCACCCCCTGACCGACCCCCTGGGGCTCCCCCACCCCCTATCCAACCCTCCCTGTTCTCCCCACCCCATGTTACCTGTGGAGTGGGGAAAAGGGGGGGCTCAGTCCTTTTCTTGTGTGTTTCCCCTGCTCGTTTGGCTGGTCTCCCTGGCAGTCAGGCAGGGCTCACTCCCTGTCTGGGCTTGGCTGCTGGGGACAGGGGCCAAGCATGCTGGAAGTGGAGGGGGGCCCTGGCTTGCTCTGCCCCTGTTCCCGGCAGCAGGGCCCAGGTCCCTTGAAGAAGAGCTGTGTTAAGTGGGGGGGGGAGGGCTGAAGACAAGTTGGTGAGCGGACGGCTAGCGCGGAGAGCGGAGCAGATAGCTGGACGGCTGGCGGAGAGGAGCAGACAGCAGGACAGCGAGCAGAGAGCGGAGCGGACAGCTGGGTGGCTGGTGGAGAGGCGCAGAGAGCGGAGTGGAGCGGATAGCGGGGCAGCTGACGGAGAGGCGCAGCTGGTGGGGAAGACTGCAGCAGAACCCGTGGAGAGGCCTGGCATTTGGCTGTCGACCCGAGCAGCGGAGCATGTAAGATGCCCCCCGTACCTCCCTCCACTTCCACCCAGGCTGGGACGTAAACTCTGCAGATGACCTTCTGAACTCTGTGCAGGGGCTGCACTGACCAACGACAGAAACTGGGGGGATGACTATTGGATTGCTGGACTTAAGACCCTGAGGGGAAAAGGACACTGCCAAACTTACCTGGGGGCGAGTCTTTTGCTCATGGTTGGTGTTATGAATCTTGTTTGTGGTGTTTCCCCAACATAATGCCGCATTGTTTCCCTCCTTTATTAAAAGGCTTTTGCTACACTCAGACTCTGTGCTTGCGAGAGGGGAAGTATTGCCTCTTAGAGGCGCCCAGGAGGGTGGTATGTAATTGTCCCAGGTCACTGGGTGGGGGCTCGAGCCGGTTTTGCATTGTATTATTGAAACGGAACCGCTAGATACTGAACCCGGCCCTTGTTGCTGCCAACTCTGACGGGCAGAAGGGTTACAAGTACACAGATCTTTACAGACTCAACACCTCAATTCACAGTTCACATACATGAATTACAGGATTTATTAGATTAAAACCCTGTCACTTCAATATTATAATAAATGACGGCATCTACCTCTTAAAATTCTTCCTCCCACTAGTCAGTTTTCAGGTCAGTGAGAAGTAAAGTCAGACACTAAATTTCTTTGCTGTAATTTTTTAATTTGTAGCACATCTGGAAGAAATTTACAAAGACTTTTTGAGCACAAGACAATGATGGAACAGCTGCACTGTTCAGCTGCATTGCCCAGGATCTAACAGCTTGCGATAATGTGTGATGCTGACACCAGAAAAAGAATAAGAGATGCAAGGAGGAGAGTTATGGGGTCAAGCAATCTTGATGAATGATTCTTCTCCCGATCTGTGATGCACTGCAGCCTAACGAGGAACAGCACTGAGCTTATATGGCTGGGGCTGCACTGTGCTCCCCAAAACAAGCTTTGTGCTTATTTCCTTCACTCCCTTTGGGAGGGTGAACTTGAATGCCCTCAGCAGGTTGGTGAAGATGATGAAGAGCTTACTCCTTGCCAGCTGCTCCCCAAAACACACCCGGGGCCCTGAAGAAGAGAAGGGGAAGGACAGTTAAGTACCCAAGGATTTCTGTCTCCACTTGCCATCTTCCAACTTGCAGGTACTTTTCAGAAGCAAGATTGTTCATTCTCAACCGAAAGCAAACTGACTCCCGGATATCACTGCACCTCCCCCCCACTCACCAGCAAGAACTTGGCACCTATCATAGGTGTTTATGTGGCTGTAATCACAAGCAAAGACACTGTGAAAAGGTGGCTGTCTACTGATCTCGACAGATTTATCTGTGCAATGCTGATCATTTTGGGGAACAAGTGGGGGGCTCTGTGGCTTGAATTGGAAGAGATTACTCTACTCAAGGGGATGTTGATATCCAGTACGAAGCTGGAAAGGTCAACAGCACAGGCTACTGTTATATATTATATATACACACACACACACACACAAAGGGTGCTGCCCCTCAATTATGAAGATTAGCATTCTCAATCTTATTCTGCTATATATTTCCAGGCACTTTCAGAACTTTCAGAAGAAATACTCCCTCTGTACACATGGTCATGATTTATTTCTCCCCCGGCTATCTTCTAACTTACATGCACTTTTCAGATGCAACATTGTTCATTCTCACCTGAAAGCGAAGGTATTTTTGCTGAACTTGTAATTTTCTCTTGGGACTGAATAATACAAAATGGTGTGTGTGTGTGGGTGGGTGGGTGTGTGTAAAGTTTTTTTAAACTACTACTACTTACTCACTACTAAATACTACTAATAAACTACTAAAAGAGCTAAGAGGACACACTTGAGGTAAAACTCAACACAGACAATTGCAAAGGCTCCATCTCTTGAGAAGGAATGGAGGGTGGCTCGCCCACGCAATGCTGCATAACAATGGCATGGAGCAAGCCTGAGTAATACATATGCATGCGCCAAACGGCCACTGCTATGAAATATCTCCAATCAATGGTGCATGGGGCACAGCGTACCTAGAGTGGAGCACCCAGAGGGATATTACTCAAAGAAGAAGTGTTTATCCGTCAGTGCATTTACCTATTGAGAATGGTAAAAAACCTTCTCTGTTCACAAAATTTCCTTCCTTATCCAAGAAACGACTTGGGTTGAACTGTCGAGGAGACTCCCATTTCTCAGGATCAAAGAGGACAGAGTCTAAATTTGGCAGAATGATGGTGCCCTGCAAGGAAGAAACAGTTGGTTCAGTTCTCTGAGGTCTGGTCTACGCGGTGAGTTTGTGGGCTGTAATTTCTTGTCTGCACCAACCTGTCATGTGCTAACTGGCCTGTGTAGACCCGCTGGCACACACTAAAAGTTCCCTCGTTTACATGAGCATAGAACTGTTTGAAACTGGAAGATGTTAATGTGCATGAGGGAACTTTTAGTGTGTGCCAGCCGGGTCCACATGAGCCACTTATTGCACCACACTCTCACATCGAGTAGAATTTATTCTCCACTGGTGTGGGCTAACACACAGTGTAGACAAGGCCTGAGTCTTTCTCCATCAGATAAGTCAATAAGGAGAGGGACATGGACAAATTTCAGTTCAAATTTATTGCAATGTGCAGAAGGTCACATGTAGAATGTGTGTGTCACATGTTTTGGATTTAAATGGCCTTTTTTCAAAACCAGAAACTTTCATTTGGAGCTTTCAGTTTTTCAAAATGTTTCAGTATTTCATCAAAACCAAAAATTTTGAAATTGCAGGTGTTTGTTTTCTTATCCTTTCTCTCTCTTCCCCCCTTTTCTCCTTTCTGCCACTGAATGCAATAGAAGCGATGATGTCTTGTTTTTGTCAGTTTTTCCCCTTGCCACCCTGTAACTTTTCAAAGCTACTCCACATTTTAAAAAGTTATCCGGGACCAGAATTGTTGAGTTTCATTTTTCCTTTTGACAGTCTATAACTTTTGCAAAGTTGAAAATTCAAAATGGTTAGAAAAGTATTTTGAATTTTTTTTTCAAAAAAACAAAAACAAGGGTTCCGTTTGGAACCCTGCAAAATGGGAACAAAGTTGAAATTTCAGATATTGTTGTGAAATGGTTTTTCCACGTTTTGACCAGTTCTCGTCACACAGTGACAAGCCTGTGTACCAGGAGTAATTCAGAGGATACTGCACATTAAACTGTTTATTTCAAGCTTGCTACCGGCAACGGCCACGTTGCCAAAAAGGAATAATATTGATGACACCAGTGACATGGAGCCCACCTTTTACTTCTAATATTCACGCTTGAAAGACACTGGCAACAGTTGGGCTGTTTCAGCATTTGCTAGAGAAGCAAATTTTCTAGAGGGCCAATTCAGAAAAGCTTTTAAGTCCATCCTTCTTCTGGAGATCATTTAACTATGTGCTTCACTAAAACAGAGTCTTAAAGTCCCACTGACTTAAACAGAGCTTAAGCATGTGTCCTTAATATGGATGCTTACCTGAATCTGGCCTCAGGAAGAAACTTTAAAAAAGAACATGAGAGAGACAGCAATATATTTGGAATCATGAGTTGACTTGGCTTCCTAATGCACTGTACCCCTTCAGTGGGAGAAGGGGGTTATAAATCTGCACCTCTTTCACAGATATTACACAGAAGACGAGCATATCGAAGTGAACAATGTCTCTGTACCTTTGGAATGAGAAACCCCTGCAGTGTTGTATCCTTCCCACTTTCTCTGGGGATTGCAATTAAAACAATGCTACAATAACGTTGGATCTCATGAATCACGGCGTTGGTGTAGGGCAGTTTCTTTCGATCCTCATAGTAGATTAATTGAGAGGGACCCAGTAAAGTGTCCATCTCCTTCTGGACTTTCTCTGAGGAAAAGCATTCGGCTTTAGAGAGGGGGAAAGAGCATATATTCTGCATACTGTGTATTTATTATGGGCACTTTCATTTCCCTTTTGGCTATTATAGTGATAAGAATACAATAAAGTAAATAATTAAAAGAATTTTAATTATTTGAAAACATAAAAGTAAATAAAGAATAAGAATATTTTCAAATTCCAGGACAAATGACTAAAGTATAATTTGACTTTTCACATACTTCTGCGTTGCATCTTCAGATAATTCGTTTAAACAAATACTAGAAGACAGTGAAATCTTACCATCTGCCCATTCCCAATGAGACAGCTGATTTGGGGATCTTTTATAAAATTAGTCTTGCAAGTTGTTGTATTTATAGTTAGGCTCTGAGAGTGAACCATAAATAAAACATTAACTGCTAATTAAGAAATTAATTCAGTGACACAATCAAGGAATCTATTTTGCTCTCATAGGAGACAGAGTTACAACACATTTAGACCACAAGAAAAGCACTGCATCATCACAAAACTCTGAAGGCAGGAATATACTCCAAGAGCAAGATAACATTACCTAGCAACTACTGAGCGCTAATGAACCCTTCGCTGGTTGTCACATACCCCACAAGATTTTATTCAGCTTACAAATGTTAAAGGTTTAGAAAAGCAGTTAAGTAATAATTAATCTAAGATTAATTTCTGAAGTTCAATTAAAACTGGAAGTGCATGCATGCCCCTCCGCTCCAGCATTCCAGAACCAAGGGTACAAAAACCTTCCTCTCACTCAACTCAATTCCTCTCTGAAGCCTGGCACACGCTTTAGATCTCGGATGCTGAGGGGAAGAGGGAAGGTCAATGTGAATCTGGGGAGGCACTGCATTCAGAAAGCAAAAGTTACTCCAGTGTATAACCTCTTTTGCAATCTTAATTGTAATAGGTACTACCTGCCTGCACTATAATGCCAACACGTGGCCTGTTAACCCCATATCTAACCAATCACAATTCTATACTATGCAACTATACCCCACCTCCTTGGTCTTCTAGTCTTCCTTTTACCTTCTTTATCCAGTGGAGGGCAATGAAAATGATTAGGGGGCTGGGGCACATGACTTATGAGGAGAGGCTGAGGGAACTGGGCTTATTTAGTTTGCAGAAAAGAAGAGCGAGGGGGGATTTGATAGCAGCCTTCAACTACCTGAAGGCGGGTTCCAAAGAGGATGGAGCTCGGCTGTTCTCAGTAGAAGCAGATGACAGAACAAGGAGCAATGGTCTCAAGTTGCAGTGGGGGAGGTCTAGGTTGGCTATCAGGAAACACTATTTCACTAGGAGGGTGGTGAATCACTGGCATGGGTTACCTAGGGAGGTGGTGGAATCTCCATCCTTAGAGGTTTTTAAGGCCTGGCTTGACAAAGCCCTGTTTGGGATGATTTAGTTGGGGGTTGGTCCTGCTTTGAGCAGGAGGTTGGACTAGGTGACTTCCTGAGGTCTCATCGAACCCTAATCTTCTATGATTCTATGATTCCCACTTCTCTTGTATAATCATCTCACATGTTGCTATTAATATTATTATGAAAGAGAATACCGCTGTGCGTACCCGTATGGCCCCACAGTATGCCAACATTTTTACAGCTGACTTAGAACAACGCTTCCTCAGCTCTCGTCCCCTAGTGCCCCTCCTCTACTTGTGCTACATTGATGACATCTTCATTATATGGACCCTCAGGAAGGAGGCCCTTGAAGAATTCCATCTGGATTTCAACAATTTCCACCCCACCATCAACCTCAGCCTGGACCAGTCCACACAAGAGATCCACTTCCTGGACACGACAGTACAAATAAGTGACGGTCACATAAACACCACCCTGTACCGGAAACCTACTGACCGCTATACTTACCTACATGCCTCCAGCTTCCATCCAGGACACATCACACAATCCATTGTCTACAGCCAAGCCCTAAGATAAAACTAAATTTGCTCCAGTCCCTCAGACAGAGAAAAATACCTACAAGATCTTTTTCAAGCATTCTTAGAACTACAGTACCCACCTGGAGAAGCGAGGAAACAGATTGACAGAGCAAGACGGGTACCCAGAAGTCACCTACTACAAGACAGGCCCGACAAGGAAAATAACAGAATGCCACTAGCCGTCACCTTCAGCCCCCAACTAAAACCTCTCCAGCGCATCATCAAAGATCTATAACCTATCCTGAAGGACGACCCCTCACTCTCACAGACCTTGGGAGACAGGCCAGTCCTCGCTTACAGACAACCCCCAAACCTGAAGCAAATACTCACCAGCAACTACACACCACACCATAGAAACACAAACCCAGGAACCAATCCCTGTAACAAACCCCGTTGCCTACTCTGTCCCCATATCTACGATAGCAACACCATCAGAGGACCCAACCACATCAGCCGCACCATCAGAGGCTCATTCACCTGCACATCTACAAATGTGATATATGCCATCATGTGCCAGCAATGCCCCTCTGCCATGTACATTGGCCAAACCGGACAGTCCCTATGTAAAAGAATAAACGGACACAAATCGGACATCAGGAATGGTAACATACAAAAGCCAGTAGGAGAACACATCAATCTCCCTGAACATTCAGTAACAGATTTAAAAGTAGCCATCCTGCAACAAAAAAACTTCAGAAACAGACTTCAAAGAGAAACTGCAGAGCTACAATTAATTTGCAAATTTAACATCATTAATTTGGGCTTGAATAGGGACTGGAGTGGCTGGCTCACTACAAAAAGCAGCTTTGCCCCTCCTGGAATTGACACCTCCTCATCTATTGTTGGGAGTGGATCCACATCCACCCTGATCGAATTGGCCCTGTCAGCACTGGTTCTCCACTTGTGAGGTAACTCCCTTCTCTTCATGTGTCAGTATAAATATGCCTGCATCTGTAATTTTCACTCCATGCATCTGAAGAAGTGGGTTTTTTACCCACGAAAGCTAACGGTCAAATAAATCTGTTAGTCTTTAAGGTGCCACCAGACTCCTTGTTGTTTTTGTGGATACAGACTAACATGGCCACCCCCTGATACTTAGGATTATTTCTGCTATCCAGCAAAGGAGAACACGGTCATGCCAGTTATACTTTTCTGAGAGACCACTGTACAGGACGGTTTATTCTAACTTCATTGCAGAGGCCAACTCCCATTCTATTTGGAGCACCGTCAGCTACGGGCTCCCAATGTTAGGTCTGTGTTGGATTTAGACTGAGAGAGCGCTGAAGCAAAGACTGTGTCTTCCTCAGTGTCTGTACAGGACTGAGCACTCAGACAACAATCAATAAAAAATGAAATATGTTTCCAAAGAATGACTATCCTGAAATCATATCTGCATCTCTGGCTGCAACGTATCTAATTCCACAGCTCCAAACAAGCAGCTTTAGTACTTGCACTATTCTTCTTAAAATGTGCAGAAATGGTGGGTTTTCTGCATCAATCTCCTGCATGGTTTGTGTGTGTCCCTGACTCACCTTGGATGTTGACATAAGCCACCATATAGAGAAGTGCCCAGCGCAGGGTGCTGATTGTGGTCTCTGTACCTGCCAGAAAGAGGTCAAAAATACACTGTTCCATGTTGTCTTCGTCATATGTAGAGGTGGGGTCATCTTTAGCCTGCAGATGTCAATCAGAAAGATGATGTTAGAGCACATAAGGTAGGACTATGTAACAATTAACCTGACTACATCACTGGAATGTGCACTGTATAATATTACACAACAAACACACCTCTAAAAGAATTAGACAATCAAGCTAATAGAATAATACAAAGAGATTTGCAAATATTTTATTGAATAAATATGGAGAATTTGTTCCAGTATTATTCACATGTTACTTGTTCTTCCAAAACTGTCAAATTTGTAAATCCACTTACTATTCTGTCTGTTAAACTCACCGCCTATTGTAGCTCACCACCTGCCTCACTTTTAACATTATGCACAGAGCTAGTCCAGCCAAAACACACCCCTCATGTTTTTCTCTCACCTTCCTTCTGTCGAACTCCTGCCCACTTGTTTGTTTCATCTATATGTTGCATATTGTCATTAGCCAAGATTGTAAGATCTTTAAGGCAGGGACTGTCTTTATTGTTCTTAATCTCTCTCTCTTTCACACACACACACACACACACACACAGTTACATTACAAGAACATTTTTAAGGTTGCAAAGTCAAATTGCAAAGTTCTAACCGAAAAGTTGGAAAATTCCAGAATTAAGATTGTCTATGCAATCTGAATTCAGCCCCTTTGTGCAAATGCATTATGATACAATTTTTTCCATACAACCATTGCCTCATTCAGTGCACATGATAGATGGTGCTTTGAGGATGAATCGGGGCTGTGTAAAGGAAGCAGGCTGTTGTCTGTGTGGATCTTTACCAATAATCTACTTGAAAATTACAGGTAAGTAGAACTCCTCTTTCTCCTTTGAGTACTATCAGTTCAAATCTCCACTCTTTGGAGGCTCATAAACTATATTAACCTGACAAGGGTCTCCCATCTCTCTATTTATGACCTACACTAACAGCTACATTCCCAACGATGCTGCTGCTAACAGTGCCCAGGACTAAGGTTATGACAGAAAGAGATAAAATAAGTTTACTCAGGGACTCTTACTAATAAGGGGGAAATAAGACTGAGCCCAAACCCAAATACCTTCAGAACATGATGCCAAAACACACCTGTTTTACATTAAAAATCATTTAAAAAATCTTCTCACAATAAACAAAGACAAGGAGTTTCTAATGCTCACATGCACTAAACAGGAAGGAAAGCTGATGGAGGAGATGAGCAGTAGAATCATTCGGGAACTCTGTTGAGCACAATGCTATGTGACTGATAATTAATGCATTTAATTCTTAGATGCTACAGTGATCAGTGCCCCAGAAGCACCGAAGATTAAACAAGCTGACTGACCAACCCTGATCAATTCAGTTTAGCTCCCAGCCTCGGTTTCCCTGTCTATAAAATAAAAAAGTTAGTATTTAGCTGACTTGCAGGAATGCTTGGAGATGTATTAGCGAGTCTTTGTAGGCTGCTTTGAAGATATACTTCACGATGTAAGTGCTAAGTGTTGTTATTTTTAAGCTGCCTGTTTGTCATGGAAGAAAACACGAGTCATAAATGTAGTTAAATAAGAAAGAGTAATGGGCATGATCTTTTAATATTAAAATGTTTTTCATGTGGACTCATGTTTTTAGATGTTAATTTTACATTCAATATAATTTTATACCATTGGAAAATATTTTAGATTCAAATACATATTAAAATGCACTTATTTAAACCCCCGAGGACTTTTCTTTATAACTAATGTAAAATATTTTTGTCTTTGTAATAAATCAAAAATACATTTTTTAGGCAATATGTATAACAAATCAGCAGTCTCACCTCACCCCTTGAAGCATATATCTACTATAATTTATGCAAACAAAATACGTAAACTCATTAAAAACTCATTCAGAGCTGTAGTGAACTATAGAGAGTTAAATCTGTAAAGCTGCCTAAGGGAGTCTTACTGGGTTGGAGCTTGTAAATATGACAGACTGTAACTGTTTATAAAAGAAAAAAGAAATAAAGTAGCAGTTTTACTCTTGGGCGTCATGACCAGAGAACACAGGAATGAATTACTGGCTTAGACTCAAATCCATCCAATCCAACATCCTGTCTCCAAAAGTGGCCACCACCAGATTTGTCAAGAAACAGCATAAGAAACTCCAGTGGAAAAGCCTTGACAAATTGTCCATAGAGGAAGTTTCTACTTGACCCCCGTCACTCACTGCTTGTCTTATGTCCTGAAGAATGAGGTTTTATAGTCCTTAAAAACACCATTTATTTTATCTAGTCTAATGTAACTGTGGATGTTCTCCTCTAGTTGTTCAGCCTCTCGGCACTGGGTGCCAGCAACACTGCCAGCATACCCCTTTCCCTCGGGGACAGGCCCATGCCAAGCCACACAGCCCCCCCACCCAACACCCCCTGACTCCCTCTGGCCAGAGCCCCCCGGGACCCACTATGCCCAGCGCCCCTCCAGACCCACCCACAAATGCGCAGCATCCTGCACAACACCACCCCTGCCCACAGCCCCACCACAACTGCCCAGCACCCCCCACAGAATCCCCACTCCCTAGTGCCCCAACATACACAGATCCTCCCCGCCCCTTCACAGCCCAGCACCCCACCAGACCCATTCCCCCACCCCCCTGCCTCCCAGCCACACTCACCAGCCCTGCTGGGAGGCGACTGTGTCTGCCGGACTGAACTGGCAGTGCAGCCAGGACTGGTCCCAGGGCCGGGAATCGCTCCGGCCCCTCAGGAGTGGTGAGATCAGCCAGGCCAGGGCCTGCCCGGCCGGGCTCCCTCAAAACACACTTGCCTGGAGGGGCCCAGCCAAGCCCCTCACACTGTTTCTCCCCCCACACATGGCCGAGACCGGCAGGCTTCTGCACCAGTCCCAGGTGGCTCAGCTCCGGGGAGACAGGTGGTGGGAAGCAGAGACTGCCCGGAGCCAGAGGCGCACTGGGGTCCGGCCAGGGGGCTGAGAGGAGCCCTCGGCTAGCTGGTGAGCAGGCCGAGAGGAGAAAGAGGTGGGCGGGGGGAGCCAGCGGGGTCTCTGGGCACAGTGCAAGGGGAGCAGGCCGGGGCCCCTTCTGAGCATGGAGCTACTGTAAACCCGGCACTAGAGTGGACTACATCCACCCTGATCGAATTGGCCCTGTCAGCACTGGTTCTCCACTTGTGAGGTAACTCCCTTCTCTTCATGTGTCAGTATAAATACGTCTGCATCTGTCATTTTCACGCCATGCATCTGAAGAAGTGGGTTTTTTACCCACGAAAGCTTATGCCCAAATAAATCTGTCAGCCTTTAAGGTGCCACCGGACTCCTTGTTGTTTTTGTGGATACAGACTAACACGGCTACCCCCTGATACTATCTAAAGATCCACCCCCTTTTCCTTTGACCCTCCCCCAGCTTACTCCAGAACAACTGAATAACGATAAATAAGACTATTTACAAGTACAATCCATGAGCCAATGGCACGATTGGATCAACATTCCCCTCTCACTGAAATAGGTTCTCGTGTCCTATGTTGAGAAAGACCTTTTGCTGAGTGTGTAATTGCTGCTCCATTTGCTCTACAGTTCCTGCACACTCGGTATCTAACTCACTGTCTTGTAAATATACAAAAAGAACAGGAGGACTTGTGGCACCTTGGAGAGACTAACCAATTTATTTGCGCATGAGCTTTCGTGAGCTACAGCTCACTTCATCGGAGGCATACTGTGGAAAGCGTAGAAGATCTTTTTATACACACAAAGCATGAAAAAATACCTCCCCCCACCACACTCTCTTGCTGGTAATAGTTTATCTAAAGTGATCACTCTCCTTACAATGTGTATGATAATCAAGGTGGGCCATTTCCAGCACAAATCCAGGGTTTAACAAGAACATCTGAGGGGGGAGGGGGAGGAAAAAACAAGGGGAAATAGGTTACCTTGCACAATGACTTAGCCACTCCCAGTCTCTATTCAAGCCTAAGTTAATTGTATCCAATTTGCAAATGAATTCCAATTCAAGAGTCTCTCGCTGTAGTCTGGATTTGAAGTTTTTTTGTTGTAATATCGCAACTTTCATGTCTGTAATCGCGTGACCAAAGAGATTGAAGTGTTCTCCTACTGGTTTATGACTGTTATAATTCTTGACATCTGATTTGTGTCCATTTATTCTTTTACATAGAGACTGTCCAGTTTGACCAATGTACATGGCAGAGGGGCATTGCTGGCACATGATGGCATATATCAGATTGGTGGATGTGCAGGTGAACGAGCCTCTGATAGTGTGGCTGATGTGATTAGGCCCTATGATGTTGTCCCCTGAATAGATATGTGGGCACAGTTGGCAACGGGCTTTGTTGCAAGGATAGGTTCCTGGGTTAGTGGTTCTGTTGTGTGGTATGTGGTTGTTGGTGAGTATTTGCTTCCGGTTGGGGGGCTGTCTGTAGGCAAGGACTGGCCTGTCTCCCAAGATCTGTGAGAGTGTTGGGTTGTCCTTCAGGATAGGTTGTAGATCCTTAATAATGCGTTGGAGGGGTTTTAGTTGGGGGCTGAAGGTGATGGCTAGTGGCGTTCTGTTATTTTCTTTGTTAGGCCTGTCCTGTAGTAGGTGACTTCTGGGAACTCTTCTGGCTCTATCAATCTGTTTCTTCACTTCAGCAGGTGGGTATTGTAGTTGTAAGAATGCTTGAAAGAGATCTTGTAGGTGTTTGTCTCTGTCTGAGGGGTTGGAGCAAATGCGGTTGTATCGCAGAGCTTGGCTGTAGACAATGGATCGTGTGGTGTGGTCAGGGTGAAAGCTGGAGGCATGTAGGTAGGAATAGCCGTCAGTAGGTTTCTGGTATAGGATGGTGTTTATGTGATCATCATTTATTAGCACTGTAGTGTCCAGGAAGTGGATCTCTTGTGTGGAGTGGACCAGGCTGAGGTTGATGGTGGGATGGAAATTGTTGAAATCATGGTGGAATTCCTCAAGGGCTTCTTTTCCATGGGTCCAGATGATGAAGATGTCATCAGTATAGTGCAAGCAGAGTAGGGGCGTTAGGGGACGAGAGCTGAGGAAGTGTTG